ATTATAGCTATTATTTATAAAGATTGGCTACTTAATATATATAAATTAATAATTAAAATAATAAAATTATTAAAAGCATATTTTAAGTATATCTTTATAATATATTAATAAAAGTAATATAAAAACTAAAATACCTTACTTCTTATTAATATATTTAAATTTATATATAAGTATTATATATTTTTTCTTAAAGCTATATTAAGGTTAATTTATAGTAATAATTATTTAATATATTTAAAGATTTATTTTTAGGATTAAAAGCAAAATCTTTTAGCTTTATATATTACTTAATAAATAAAAATAAATATTATAAAGAATATAATATATAATTTTAAGAGAAATTTTATATTTTTTTTATTTAATATTAATATTATTTCTTATTTAAAGCTAAAACTTAATTATATTTAAGTAAAAAAACATTTTAATTAATATTAAAAAGGTTTAATACTTAATAATAATAAAAAATTACTCTTAATATTAAAAATATATAAAGCAAGTTTAATTAATAATAAATATAATATAAAAGCATTATTAATAATAATAATTAATAAATTTCCCTTAAGGGTTAATATAAATTTTAAAAAACTTATAATTAAAGCTATTAATTAAAAGTATAAGAGTTTATAAAAACTTTTAAATTTTTATTTTAAGTAATTACTTAAATTATACTTCTTTTATATTTAATACTTATTTATAAACTTTTAAGCCCTTAAATTAACTTTTTTATAAATTAATTTATTATTATTTTATTAATTATTGCAAACTTATTATAATTAAGCCTTATAATATATAATAAGCATTTATATTTTTAAGTAATTTTAAAAAAGATATTTATTTATTATTAAAAAAATAAGTTTTTAACAATTATTACTTAATTTACTTATATAAGTTAATAATTAAATTATTATATTTTTTATATTCCTAAGTTAAAACCTATTTTATTAAATTATTTACTTTTTAATATATACTTATTTATTTAATTTTTAATTTACTTTTATAACGCCGCTTTTTTAAATATAATTTAATTATTTTTCTTTTTTATAATTATAATTTCCTTTTCTTAAAATTAATACTTTTAATTATTATAACCTTTCCTAAATACCCTATTTATATTATTTATTTCTTTATAACTAAACTATATTTAATTATAAATAATACTTTATAAATATTGCTGCTTATTAAGATTACTTTTATAATAATAAAAGCAAATAAAATTAATAATAAACTTTAAATTATTAAAATAAAAAACTTAAATAGCATTATTTATATTATATGCTTAAATTACTTTATTATAATTATTAATATATTTATTAATAATATTACTTAATATATGCATTTTATTAAAATATCGCTAATTAATCTTTAAGCAATAATAATTAAACTTAATAATATAATGATTTTATATAAATAACTTTTTAAATTGCTAAATATCTTTATAATAATAATAAGTAAATACTATATATAATATATAAGAGTTATAAGCTTATTTATAATAAATCTTAAAGCTTAAATCCTTCTTTATTTAAGTATATAATTATAAATAGCGCATTATAGCTATTTTAATAATTAACTTAATTAAAAGCTAATTTAAATAAAAAAAAAGCAACAATAAATAAAGCATTTTATTTTTTTTTATTAAAAACTATAAAGAACCTTAGCATTATAATTAATATATTTATAATTAATACTCTTAAAGTTATTTACACAATAATTAATAAAGTATGTTTTATAATTATCTTTAAGTTTTTTTATAATTTAACCACTAAATATAATACTTAAATGCTATTAAAGCTATTATAATTATTTTTATTTTATAAAATATAGCATTTAAATTTAAAATTTTTATATAATTATTAAGCTTTAATTATAAAAAAAAAAGATAAATTTCTTAAGATAAAACTTAAGCATAATGCTAAAAAGTAATAACTCTTATATATTATATTAATAAGCATTTTAACCTTAATATATTAATTAAAATAATATCTTAGCTATAATTATTAATTATATATAATTAAATCTTAATTTTAATTAACTTATTATTTATTAATTATATTATCTTAAATTAATGCTTACTTAATATATTATTTTAAAATATTAAAATTAAATTAAGTTAATGCTACTTTATTCCTTTAATTTATTAAGAATTAATTATTATATATTGTTATTTATATTATATACTTTACTTAATAATATTAATTAAAGTTAATTATAAACTTTTAATCTTTATATTATTTATTAAATACCTTAATATCTTAAGATTATAATATTTAATTAAGTTAATTATTATATTAATTATAAAATAAATAATAAAATAAAGAAATTAATAAATAGCTAGCTTTTTATAATAGCCATAATATTAAATATATATATATTATTATAAACTTTCTTTTAAGAATTTTTATTGCATTTTAATATTTCTAATTATAAAAAAATTGCAATTAAATAAGTAACTTATAATTAGCAAGTTTATAAATATAAGTCTTTATATTATAATCTTATAAAAAGGTAAAGAAATTTATATAATTTACCATAAACTATTATTTTTTCCATTTAAGGTATTAATAATAATGGTTTATAATAAATTATTAATCATTTCTCTTATTATATATTAATTTATTAACTATATATAAAATACTTTTATTTATTTAATAAAAATATAAAATTAAATAAATATTAACTTAAAAGTTATTTTTAAGCTTATTAATTATTATTAATAAGTTATATTTTATTATTTAATTATATTTAAAACTTATATTCTTAAACTATATTATATTTATAATTTCTCTTAATCTTAATTTTCTATCTTTATAAATATTAATAAACTATTAAAATAAGGCTTAATATTATAATTATAAGCTTATTAAGAATTAAAAAAAGCTATAAAGATAATATTAATATAATCTTTATTAAAATATATAATATTTAAAAACCTTTAGCTAAATAAATATATTTAATATTTATTTTTAAAACCTTTAAAGATATAACCTTTTATAAAAAACTATTATATTAATTAAAGATATTAATTATATTAATAATATTATTATTAACTTTATTATAAAAGCAAATTATAAAATTAATTTTTATTATAATAAAAAATAACTATTTTATTAATATAAGTTGCTAACCTTTAAATAATAATTTTAACTTTTATATAGTAATTTTAATTCTTAAAATATTAGCTTTACTTAATAAAAAACTTAATTTTATATTACTTAAAGCATTAACGCTTTATAAATATATAATACTTAATAATATACTTATATTTTAATTAAAATGCAAAGCATTTATATAATTTTTTAAATTAAAAATTAAAATATTAATATATAAGGTAAGCTTATATAATAATAGTTTTAATAAGTATAATAATTTAATCTTAGTTTATAAAATATGCTAAATTATATAATTATTAATTAATATAGCAAGTTAAGTTAATTAATACTATAATATACCTTAATAAAATAATGCTTTATTATCTTTATTATACTTTGCTTTATAATTTAAGTTATTATTAATATAAAGTATAAATACCCTTTAAAAGTTATTAATAATGAAAATATCATTAGCGTTATAAAAATATATAGCATATTAAAGACTTTAACTCTTAACTTTTAATAATAAAAGGTATATAAAATGCTTATAAAAATAATAATTACTTATTATTTCCCTTTTAAATATTTTTCCATTTATTATAATAATATAAAGCTAAATCTTATTATAAGTAAATTATGTTAACGCTATTATATAATGCAATAATATAATTACCTTATTATTAGCTTTTTAATATTATAAATAGCAATATAATTATAAAATATAAATTTAAAAGAATGGCCCTTGTAAGCTTTAATAAAGCTATCCACACAATATATTATAAATAAATAATAAATCTTAATTATTTATGAATTTATTAGTTTATTTATCCTTATTATAATATATCTTTATCATTATAATACCTTTATTTAATTATAATAATTTAATTATAACTTATTATTTGTTGTTAGGCTTGTAGATAAGACGGATAATTTAAAGGGGGCACATCTTGTTAGCAAGGGAGTTAGTACTTGTCCCATTGGTCTGATATATTGGTGGGCATCTCACTTACTGCCTACTTGGTGTTCCTTTTTCAGGTCGCGGTCTTTGAGACCGGCCCCTGGAAGATCAAATGCTATGAGGTCCTCTCTTATATGATTGCACCGTTTATTCTTCGGATATTAACTGCCTCATTTTCAGTATCAGTGTGACGGTACGGTGCTTTTATACCGCTGGGTATTTCCAATCTAGGGATTGGAAATTACTGGTCTTTTGGCGGAGCGGTATCTATTTGCCCAGCAGTAATAGATTCGTCTCAATCAGCATGATTTCTATGGTGGGCATTCAATTGTCAATAAGGGTTGCAGGGAGTTAATTGGGTGGTCTGAGAAGAGACGAAATATAAACAAGTCAGAATGGATATCACTTCAACAAAAGATTTTACACGTGGTTCCAATCACACGACATTTACTAATATAAAACTCATTGAGCTGCGAAGTTTACCTCACTGGACTTTAATCTTGAGGCATGAAGTACACTGGGCATCTCCTGCATTACCTTTGGCAAAAAGTTCTTGGCTTTAGCTGGTCACAATTATTTTCGCTTGGATTAGCAGATTCAGGGGCTTCTCATTCATTCCAATTCAACTTCTTGTTCAAATGAATAGCCAAATGTGATCCCTTTTTTTTTCTTTGTGATTATCATCTGCTTAATTTGTTACCGCTAATTCATGATGTTTAAAGGATGCTGCGCAACTCAAGGCCTCCTAAGATTACTACCGTCTCCCCCTCGCGGCCCCAGTGAAAAGAAAGAAAAATGAAAAGCGCCAAAAAAGATTAAAGGAGAAAAACAACGAAGAGAAAGCTACCAAAAAATCAGGGTAATATGCTGTTCCAAAATGCTAGTAGAATACCAGCTCAGCTGAGGCTCTCTATCGCGCATCCCAAACCCTCTCTGTACCCTCTCACCTGGGCTCAATAAGGTCTCGGGTTTCCCAGAGTTTTAGGCCTGTCGCATCGCGCAAGCAGCCTATAGCGAGCCTTAAGCGCTTTTTTGGTCCGATGGAAGGGGCTAGTCCTGTTGTATGCCTCCGCAAAGACCTCCCAGTTCCTGGGTTCCTGTTCAAGGCGGCGCAAATAGTCGTCTTCCCCCCTCTCCCAGAATCGACCCAGTTCGTTCCATTTGAGCCGGCATGCGCTCGCGTGCCGTTTAAGCTTCTTTTCCAGGTCCGCCGTGGCCTCCTCCAGGGTTTCATGACCGGACATAATTTCCTCCAGCAAGTCGTAGTCTTTTTCGACGTCCCACTTGGAATGTGAATTCTCCAGGGGAGGTGGTACGAGCGCAGGCCTCGGAGGCTCACGGGCAGCTGGCGGTGCGCCGGCTTGTCTCCAGTCCGCGCCTGGGAAACTGCTCTCGCCTTGGGGCTGGGCGTATCCGGCTCCAGCTCCACTCTGGTTGAACAAGAGCGCTCTCGGATCAATGTTCTGCGGGACATACTGATGTTGAGAGGCGCCTTGTGTGCCGATTGCGCCCCAGGGTTGGGTGACATATCCTCCGCCAGCTTGGCTCGGGTCGGTGAAGCTCGCACTTGGGCCAGGGCTCTCTGTTAGGCCGTACACAACCTGACCGGCGCCCGGTGCACTGGTCTGGCCTTGGCCTCCTTGCTGCCACTCCGGGCTGACTTGGCGCTGCTTGCCTTTCCATCGCCGACCCTCTTCGCTGGAGGGGCTCAAGTGGTCGTGCGTTCTCTTTGACTGTCCTCCGGCTTGCTGATGTGGATCGACGTGCAGCCCAGCGGATTGCGCACCGCTGAATTCTCCGTGCTGATACGGATGTGGCGCAGGGTAAGGCGGTTGAGCAGCTGGCGAGGGCTGAGCAGACACGTTGGGCCGAGAATATGGTGAGCTCCTGTCTGCACCCCCTCCTGACGAGCCTGGATCTGCAGGGAGAAAATTACTTGGAGATTCATACGACATAGCCTCTGAACCGCCGCCCTGGATACCAGCATAAGGGTCGGCCCAAGACTCATCCAGCATTTCACTGATGCCAGGGGTTCCAGAAATGTATGGTTGAGTTGATGATAGGTCAGGTCCAGACGCGTAGTGGATATGAGGCGCTGGCGGGGCGGACTGGGGTTGAGAAAATGACGGGTCTTGCTCAGCATCGTGTTGTGGATCAGATGACGAGCCTGTCACTGCGCTCTCCGCTGGCGAATTTGAGAATACAGGAGTACCCAGATTCAATCCTTCAAAATTCCCATCCTGGGCCCCGCTAGGCAACTGGTTCCATGCGGCCGCCCGTTCCTCGTTGGTTTGCTGTCTGGGGCCATAGTTGTAGTTCATGCTGATCTGTAAGGTCGGCTCTTTGAGGTGGTCGAGAAAGAAGAGAAAGGTGGGATGCGTGTGGTTTGCGTTTTGTTTAGTTCCGGTCGACGAGGGCAAAGTCAAGGTAGATGTAGAAGGTGAGCTTTCTGAATGCTTGTTGTGCTGCTGAAGAAGTTCTGTTCTGGTCTTGGTGTGGGTTTATATAGTTTTGCGAAGCCACCATGAAGAATTCTGGAGCAGCCGTCACTCAATTCTCTTATGAGCCTACCAGCATGTGCGACGGTTGCTCACAGGTGTGGCTCACTACAAGTGGAGCCATTATAGCTATCTATAACACTCCTTTCTGGGTATTGGGGCGTACACTCTCGTGAAAATCGATCCCATCTAAGTCCGGATTGATTTGGGTGACTGTTCAGCAATCGTGTCAAGGACGCATGGACATCTGTCAAATCTTGATGCAAATTGGAATTTGACCACATATGAATCAAGTTAGCTGAACGAATGTATTGCAGTGCACGGCTGTACTGAACAGCAAAAACTCAAGCAACACAAAAGTCAAGCAAGACCAGCTTTCGCTGCCAAGACCTCTTGTTCGTTCTACAATATGAGGATCTTGGCTGCCTAAATGCCAGGCCAGACCTTTCTCCGACATGGTTGTAGGTTGACAGTCACAAACCAGCGCCCAGCCCCGGGTCAGTCACTCGCGCATCTAACCTGGATCACGACGGGCACTCCGTTATTTGCAGGTACATAAGTATCATTTCAGGACAACGAATCACAAGTTGTCTTTCCGCTTTCGAAGCAATGGTTCTAGCATCTACTAACGTGTCGAACTACCCCAGTCTATCTTTTAGCAGTCTATGCCCGCTCATTCTGTGACTTGCGCCGGAACAACCCCTTAAACCCATCAACACCCTTACCAAGCACGCCAAACAACCGCCCAAATCCAAAGCTCCAGCCCCGGATCCTCACGGTATAAATAAAAAAGTAGACCAACGCCCAGTTACTAATCACAAAAGCCAAGAAGATCCCAAAGTCCCTCCACTTGTCCCCCGCCGCCACGTTCAGCTGGGCCAGGTACTGGTCCCCGCTGCTCAGCGAGCAGTACTGGCAGCCCGCGGTGGCGCCCGGGTCCAGCAGGTAGCCACCCGCGGCGTTGGCGAAGGCGCCGGCGTACGAGTCGCACGTCTGGCCGGCGGGGACGTCGAAGCGGGCCGTCTCGGAGGCCGCGCACTCCACGGGCGCGCCGTGCAGCGTCGCGGCCAGCACGCCGCCGATCCACCACGTCGAGGGGTTGATGTAGTACATCCAGTAGCGCCAGAACACGGGCAGCATGGAGTAGGGCCGCACGACGCCGTTGAAGAGCGAGACCATGACGAAGAAGAAGGGGAGCACGTTGGAGATGACGGTGAAGCTGGGCGCGAAGGCGCAGATCCACTGGCCCCAGCTGCTCATGAAGAGCCAGAACAGCATCGTCATGAGGAAGACGTAGCCCGCGGTGGAGGGGTCGGTCGGGAGCCCCGCGGGGAAGTACCACAGCAGGAAGTAGATGACGGAGCAGACTATGGCGATGGGGACCTCGGCGACGACCTGCGCGGTGGTGAAGGCGAGCCAGCCGTAGATGCGCGAGGGGTGCTCGCGGGCCTGCCAGAGGGCCATGTTCTGGAAGAACTTGGGGACGACGGTGTTGACAATGGTGGGCGGGATCGTGATGATGAGGAACACCGAGAACATTCGGTTCTGCATGTCCTGCACCGTGTTTCCCAGCTGGTAAAAGGTAAAACCGTTAAAGATGCCGATGATTACGGCCACGAACAGCTTTCCGTACAGATACGACGGGTCCCTCCAGTACTGTGTGAACAAGCGCTTCGTCAGCATCGTCGTCTGCGCCCACACCGGCGCGGCGAACTCGGTCTCGTCCTCCTTCTTCTTGTGCGCGCCGGCCGACTTGCTCCTGGTGAGCTTCAGGCTGTTGATCTCGGAGAGCACGTCCTGGGCCTCCCGGCTCCCGCGCCACTCCTCGTTCCAGTCGATCCGTGTGCCGTCCTCCCTCTTTGGCCTCTTGGCCGCCGTCTCGAGGATGAACTCGGCCACGTTCTTGTTTGGTGGGCAGTGCACGCCGCGGTCCGCAAAGTACTTGGTCACTGCGCTGCCATTCTCGCCAACTGGTCCGAAGTAGAATGTGTTGCCGCCCGGGTTAAGAGCCAGGATCATGTCAAACTGCTGGATGAGCTGGGAAGACGGCTGGTGAATCGTGCAGACAATCGCCTGGCCAGCCTGGGACAGTTTCTTGAGGAAGCGCACGATACTCCATGCGCTCTGGCTGTCGAGGCCGGAAGTGGGCTCGTCGAGGAAGAGGAGCAGCTGCGGCTTGGCGGCGAGCTCAACGCCGATGGTCAGTCGCTTCTTCTGCTCGACACCGAGGCTGCTGACAATGGCGTCCTGCATCTCTGTGAGCTCCAGCAAATCGATGATCTTGTCGACGTAGGCAAGCTTCTCGTGCCGGGGAATGCTCCTGTCCTGGCGGAGGATGGCGGAGAACTCCAATGCTTCCCGGATGGTGGCTGTTCCGTCATGAAGGTCCATCTGCTCACAGAACCCCGTGCCACGTTGGAACTCGAGGCCAAGAGCACTGCCGTCGACCAGCATGTCCCCAGAGACGACTCCCATGCGCTGACGCTGAGCGAGCGTGTTCAACAGCGTGGTCTTGCCAGCGCCCGAGGCTCCCACGAGCGCAATCAGGAGACCTGGCTTGGCGTAGCCGCTGACCTTGTTCAGGAGCTTGCGCTCGCCACCTTGATAGGGCACCGTGTATTCGACATCCTGCCAGGTAAAGATGCTCTCACTCTTGGAGATCGACTCGAGCGCCTCATTCTCCTTGGTGGCAGTGGTGCTACCGCTTTCTCTCGAAAGCTCGCCAGGTCCTCCACTCGGCCCCTTTTCCACATCAGTTGTTGCTGCCGCGTTCTCTTGCTTCTGCAAAGCATGCTTCGCCTTCTTTGTCTTCTTGAACACTATCGCGCCGCCCCCGCTGGTAGCAAACGAGAAGACCTCGGTGGCAAAGATGGTAATGAGAATGTACAGGACGGCAAATGCGATAATCACTCCAAAGTTGCGCCAGAGGTCGGCCCGGGTGTAGTTGTACGTTGTCTCAAGGTACGACGCGCCGCTGACCAAGTTGGAGTTGACCTGGGCGCCGCTGAGGCTGCAGCCCTGGAAGGCAGGGTCGATGCCCGCACCTTGTGGCACCAGCTGATTTGGCGCGCACTCCATGTTGCGACCGGAGAACTCGTTCGCCATGACCGCCTCGAAGCTGTACGCGATCGGGTTGACCCAGTAGAGCCAGCCGAACCAGATGTAGTCCGACAGGAGCTGGGTTCGGGGGATAACATAGCCGGTGTAGATGATGAGAAGGTTGAGTGCGATTCCAGAGAAGCGAACTGCGTCGTCTATGGTCGGGGACAGGCTGGCGAACATTCGGTAAAGCGCAGTGACGCAGAGTGTGGTCGTGTAGACGAAGAGAAGGTAGATCCAGAACTTGGAAGCCACGACATCCAGGCCATTCATGAAATACATGATGATCGCAAATATGCAGACTTGTGTGAGGACAACCGGGAAATCGGCAACGATCCTGGCGACGCTCACGGCTGAAGGCCGGTAGAAGGCATAGTCCTTGTGACGGGCCACAACAGCACGGCCGCTGACGGCCTTCATCAGCTCGCTTAATTGCAGCCAGCCCAGGAACAGGATGGAGAAGAACAAGGAGCCACCCCGAGAGAAGGCACCTTCCGTGGTGAGAGGCTGTCCGTAGAAGAGGGACCCAACAATAAGACCGTTGCTGATGATGATGAATAGCTTTGTGTACAGCGTGGTTGTGTCTCCGAGGAGCAGCCAGAACTCGCGCTTCGTGCAGGCCAAGACTTGCTGCACAAAGCTAACCGTGTAGCTAGATTCTTTGGTGACGGTCCTGGACTTGTCCTCACGAACGGCCTGTTCGAACTCCCGCGCATCGGTGTGGTTGGTCTCCTGGAGGTAAGCCTCGTAAGACCGGATGTTCTCTTCCACCAGCTTGTAGAAACGTGACTCCTTGAAGGCCCTCTCGAGCTCTTCCGGTGTCTTTGGCGTGCTGGCCTCGCACCCTTCACGGAATTGACGCTCGTTCGGGTCGGAGACGGCTGTCAGGAAATCGGCAGTCGTCTGGCGGTCTGGAGCCTTGAAGCCAAGGTCGGTGAAGTATTGCCGTGCCTCGCTTGCTGGGCCTTGGTAGATGCAGCGCCCTGCATCGATGACCAGGACCTTGTCCATCAGCTCGAAGATGCCCTCTCCGGCTTGGTACAGGGTGACCAGTGTCGTGCGGTTGCTGATATCAGTCATGATTCTCAGAGACTTGGCGTAATCCAATGCAGTGGATGCATCCAGTCCGCGGGTGGAGTTGTCCCAGCACACCACCGTAGACTTGGAGGCAAGTGTCTCTGCAATCGACACACGCTTTCTCTCACCCCCGGACACGCCCCTGACATACTCGTCTCCGACCAGAGTGTGCTTCGTGTGGCTGATGCCGAATACCTTCATCAGTGCCTCTGCAATGATCGGTATCTCGTCTCTTGCCTTCTTTTTCGTCTTTGTGTACAGAGCAAACACGAACGTCTGCCACACGTTCAGGTTTGCAAAATGCACGTCATCCTCCATGTTGTAGTTCACTTCGCCGCGGAAATTTTTCTTCTGCTTGGAGGCTGAGATACCGCCGTACGACACGTCTCCTGTGACGGATGCGTACGAGTCCCGGTTGTTTGCAATGGCCTTCAGAAACGTCGAGCATCCGGACCCCGGCCTTCCAAGCACCAACATCATCTCACCGTCCCTCACCACGCCGGTGAAGTCATTGATGAGGGTTCGCGTCTCGCCGGACTTGATCTGTAGAGCCGGGATGAATCGAGAGATGAGCCGATAGAGGTCGGGGCCAAAGGTGCCTAGAACGGCTTGTGGTAAGGTCTTGACAAAGGTGGCCGACGCCCCGACGCCCTTGACGGTAAGGTTCTTGAAGACAACCCCGACCTTCTTGGCAGACCTTCCATCTTTACGCTTCTCGAAGTGGCCTTCCCGCATGAACTCCTCCAGCTCGAAGTCTTCGTCCTCTTTTTCGTCCTTTTCAGGGTCTCCGGCCCGCGATTCTATATCGTCTTTTCCGGCCGGAGGTGGTCGTGGTCGAGATGCTGTCCTCTTCGTGCCTCTGGTCGCCTGGCTCGCTCTGGATCGTGATCTTGACAGGCCAGTGAGCTCCCTTCTGAGAATCTCAAAGTCCTGCATCGCCCGGCCCTCGTCGGGCACCATTACATCGCGCTCGCCCCATGTTCCCTCCCGGGCCTCGTCGGAACTTGACCCAGTTTCACCAGGAGCATCGTGAAGTGCGTGCGTGCCGGCTGTGTTTGGCTGGACTTCATTGTGCCACTGGTTCAGCTGGCGGCTGTCCGACTTGGACAACTTGGACTCGTCCACGCCCGTGCCCCACATGGTGAATGGGTGCTGGACACAGGAGCTGGCAAGATTGAGGCGAGGCGTGGGCTTGCAGATGAAGACGTCCTCGAAGTAGTGTCTTCACGACTCCGGGTGCAATTCACCTGTTGGGCTCGTCGTCGTGGCTTGCCTTGCTGAGCCAGGACTCTGGGAGGGGAGGGGGAGGGAAGCGAGGAAGAAAAGGCAAGCCGTCGGTGACAACAAGCGCACAGAGAGAAGGGCATTACATATCTGGGTAGTGTAGATGCCGGACGGGTGAGACGGCGAGCGAATCACACGTCATCGGCCACTTTCTTTCTGCTAATTCACCATTACAAATGCGAGAGTCGGTGCCGGCCAACCCAATCTAGCTCGTCTAGGCATGGGCCACCGCCTCGACGACTTTCTGATTCCAGAGCCTCATGTCCCACCGCAGATTCGTCCGCTTCCGGCCTTATCGGAGGTAGGCTGGACATTAGATTAGATTGGAGGGCTTAACAATCCGGACGATTGTGGGCGTTGGAATCTGGGCGCTGATTAATCTACCCGCCCGCCTTTTCCTCGACGTGTCTGGCTTGTTGCAAGGGGGAGCTGGGTGAGTGTTCGCCGCACCACCGGGCTGGAAGTTCGATCGACTCATTTGATCGGCATTTGGGGGCCCTAGATCGTCATCCGGCGGAGCCAAGAACTTTAGAAGCTTCCAAGCGGTCCGAGATTTTCGGTCGGGATAGAGCACTAGTACAACGCACTAACCACCACTAATCATCGTAGCTCCCAACGTATACGCGTGTTGTGACTGGGGCAGACCGATGTCTCAGATTCAGCCTATCATGTCGCGTCTGGATCCGTTCATATTCGAGCCTTGATGACCGGGTAGTCGGCCATGTCATGTTTACAAACTGAATATCCTCTGCATTTAAGCATCACGAGTCTTCTGGCTATGCGAGAATGTAAAGGACTCTTTTTCAGCTACATAGGACGGCTTCCTCCGGTATGTCACAAGCAAGAGGTAGGCTCCCGGCCCGAACATGGTACCTTGTACTACATTAGACTAAACTTTGTTGGTAATTCTCACACTCTGTCTGCACGATCGAAATCCCAATTGGTTGCGTATACAAAAAAAGTGTATCCGCCTCCAAGTGCTTACTGGATTTGTCATACGGATACAGTCGCAAGCCCTGCGTCAGAAGGACTACTTTTACCGCCCCCATACAGATCCCCGTGTGAGGGAGAGAGTTTCGCGAACTTGTCGCTGCATTTGTTAGAGAATTCTTTTGGGTCATAGAATCAATTGTACAACTGAGCCGCTCAAGAACATCATCAGGATAGGGCTGTCAGAAGAGAGCAGTGTCGGGTAGCATGCAGTGCACTAGACCCCAGTCCGACGGAATTCCTCAGCAGAAGGGTTGAGGAAAGGCATGGATCGTCGCGGAGGAAAACGGCAAGAAGCCACGTATTGAGGCTGTAAGAGCCCGGCAATAGAAGGTGATTCCCGAACAACATCGGGCTTACTAGTCGGGCGAAATTCAGAGGCTCTCGGCAATAGGAGTTACGGGTATTAGGGCAGGCGATTTCAATCTGTTGAGAGATAAGGTGTAAGACAACTCAAGACAATCGATTGTCACTCCCTGGCCTTCTGTATAAAATTAGGTATAGGTCTCCTATCCACGATGGTTTTGCTGGATCTGCCCACTTTGTTTGCTTCAATGAGTGAGTGCTCCAGGCCAATTCTGCAATTTTTTCCGATCGAAATACCCTTGCAGTTTGTCGGCTATGTCTAAGGATGGCTGTGAGTATCGGAAATTAGCATATCTAGGTTTTGATTCTTGATAAGGCTGCTTACAATTGAGCTAGCCTTCTGCGACAGGGTGATATCATTATGAGCCATAGGCATATCGGGCTCAATCCTGGGCAGTATTGGCTGAGTCGGAGTAAGCACATATCTACGTCCATTAGGAAGTTCATCCAATGCGTGCAGTCGTTCATTGCTTCTCACTCGAGTAAAACACACACACATACACACACACACACACTTGTACCAACGACTCTGTCTCTGAGAACACCAATGGTATTCGTTATGCGAAGTGGCTCTCCAGAGATACTCTTAATAAGGGACCCTTGGCCCTTCTTGACATGCATTCGTGGAGACTTCGTGATGTGCCGAGGAGGATCTAAGCTCCTAACAGGTCCTGTGTCCGGACAGGCGGAGGATCTTATCTTAATGACCTTCTAAACAACATTCAGTGGCAAATGGTAGTGAAGACTCATGTTCACAGAAGGAAAGGAAGCATGAATAGTACGCAGAATCTCTTCAGCCCAAATAAAGCATATCGTGCTGCATCTCAGGCCTCTTAGGGCTCTTGGATGCACCGGCGAGGTTCAAATCATCTTTTGAGAAGCCCACTTCGCATCTTTTCCACGCCTTTTCCGATTCATCGCAACTCAGACACCGGACCATTCGAGTATCCCAGATCGACTTTTACCATGACTGCATTGTTTTGTTTTTCATCGCAGTAGATTCAAAACTAGTAGCAGTCACTGCGAATAATTACAACCGTACCCTAGGGTAATGACGAAAGCAGAAGAATGTGGAGGGTATCTGGAAAGCATCGCTAGCTGTGCAGCGCAGAGGGGACTGATCCTCTTCTCTGCGATTCCCTCCCTGGATTGCTCCAATTGTATAAGAACTCCGGCTGCTTCTCTTGCTCCTCAACACCCCCCCCCCCAGACTTCTCCCCTCAGTGAGGGCGTTCCTCCAAAATTGCTGGCATTTGCCTCCGTCCTCTCAGAGCAGAGTGCTCAAGGCCCGGTGCATGAAGGCTCAAGAACTCGACTCTAGAGCCACAACACCGCTGAGGCCCAGACCTTCTTCGTTATATCTATTTCGTCACAAGGACAAACTCTGTTGTTGAATACTCCCATCAGAAACCAATGAACAAGAGAAGAACACACATCCTTGGAGGTGCGGATGTACGGCACTTACTCTTCTGCTGTTTCTGAACCTCTCTCTGCGCCAGCTTGGCAGAGTTCAGGTTGTCCTCCACGGCCTTGACATGGTTCCTGTGCGAGGGAGTGCTGTAGGCGTTGGGGTATCTGGTCATGAACCCAAGTCGAGCCTCTCCTGCCCTAGATGAGAGAAGCTCAGTCAGCATAAGTGCGATTGAGGCTGATTCGAGAAGGCATTTTGACATACCGAATGGCGGCAGCGGACCTGGCCTTCTGATCTGCGAGGGCCCTCTTGCAGCTCTCCTCGTCATCTCGAGCCATGGCGATGTTGGTCGACGCAGTGGCCTTCTTGTTCGCATCTGCAAGCGACTTGACCAAGGCCTTGTAGGAGGCGTACTCCTTGGTCTGCTTCTCCGTCCAATCTTCTCTATTCGCAACGTCTGCCGGGTCCCGGCGCTTCTGGATGTGAGACTGGACTTTGCGCTCCGCAAGAATGCTCCTCTTGGTATCGAGTGCCTTGACCTCCTTCATCATCTCGACGAAGCCCGCGTCCACGGGCTTGAGCTTCTCCAAGTAGGAGTCGTCGGAGAGAAAGGATTGGAAGGAGGAGACGGAGGACATGGAGGCGGGTGTGTTGGGTTGAGACATTGTGAAGGCTCAGTGTAGAGGAAACCAGGTCAAGAAGGTGTCAAGAGCAGATGGTATGTAGAAGACAACGACCAGGTTGGGTATGATGGTCGAGAGATCGCCGCCACAGGTGTTGACGGCCATGGTCCAGATTTGTATAAATAAGACATCTTGAAGCAATTCACTTTTGGCGTCATGGCCTCTGAACCCTTCGATATAGTGAAGTCTGGAGTTCAATTCCACAGAGACTCAAGCATCTTACCGGGCGGGCTTGGTCGCGAGACGCAACTCGCCGGGTCGTTGCTGAATCTTCGGTAGATGGAGCAGTGAATTTGATTAATTCACTTGTGATGGCTATTTCACTGCTCTGTTTTTACGGGCCCTGAGCACCAAACGGTTGTCACTTGCTGGCTGTGCACCTCGCTCATCCAGTCACGGCTGTTCCGTGCAAGTGAATCTCAACTCGATCAGCATTTGTTGAGTAGGAATGGTTGAGGAATGCCTCATATAGATCGGTATTCAAGTCCTATTGTGCAAAATTGGTTCTATGCATTTATTCGTTTTCCTGCCGCCAGTGAGCTTTCCGAGGACAGCCCACACTCATGCTGTAGTATTGTGTGAAGAGATCCCTAGATTTCTTGCTACTCTCAAACTCAAATCCCGCATAGCTGCCACCGCAAATGAATGAATTGGAATTGATTGTGTATAAAGAAAAACTGAACAAGTCCCAAATTCACATGGTTGCATTCATGCAATCTGTTTCGTGATGTTGAAGGGACTCGGATCAGACCATGTGTGTTTCAATATGTCTAGAGTCTTACACTTCCAAGTGTGTCCTTGAATTGCTTCCTTTCTTCTTCACTAAAGAAGTGGCATCTTTAGATTCACTCATTAATTCCGGTGCGAGTCCTGAGGAGTCAATTCACGGTCTTTCCAAGGCTACCTAGATATGTAGATTCTTTAACAGTCGAAGCCCGCTTCCTTCATGCACATACCAAACTATGTATCCCGCATCCCGCTGCAACAGTACAGGTGCTCAATCTCATGCCAACTCTTACATGTAAGATCGATGCTCCCTACCTAAAAGTATAGTCAGTACATATCTGTTCCGGTTCGATTCATCACCAGTGTCTTAAGGTTATATTTGCAGCAACGACACCGCCAGTAGCTTTCAAAAACGCTGCCAGTAACCAGCGAAAGTCTGGTCACAAACACGATAAATTGCAATGGGCACTCAAAACTAAAGCCGCTATTCTCAGAATATGAGAAGTTCAATGTCTACCTGACCATGAGCCCCTCTGCCGTTTGAAACTTGTCGCTTATTACCAAGACGTGGCGGTATGTGCTTGTCTCAACCCCCTCGAACTCTGGCCAATCCCCGAAGCACGTCTACAATCTCGCGGCGCAGATTTCGACGCCCATCACCATCACCTCCTCCATCTCCTCCACCCTAGTATCTGTTAATCACCTGCTATGAAGCCCAAAGTGATGCTTGAACATTCCATAACACAACGGACGGGGGACCGCAGAAGCAGAAGAGTTGTACTTACACCATCTCCTCCCCCTCCAGGAGCTGCAGGAGCTGCCTGGTCAGGGAACAGGTTCGCTAACGGATTCGGCCCAAGAGGAGGGCCTAACTGATGTAAAGGTATAACATCCTGGCGCTGACTTCTAACATGCCAGGCAATTTCGCCCCCCATCCCTACCACCCACGCTACGGTGAAGACCGCCGCCGGCACAGTAAGCATCAGGGCGTTGGCGAAGTTGAGATAGCTCATGTTGGTAAGGGGCCTGCACTGCGCGAACCAGGTCCAGGAGCCCCAGACCAGGTACCAGCCGAGAAAGATCACGGCAGCGAAGGCGGGCGTGGCGAGCCTGTTGGCCGTCAGGTGCAGGATGGTCCTGATGGCGGACCCCTGCTGCCGGCGGCCGCCCAGCCGGACGACCTTGGCGAAGATGTACGCGCACCACAGCAGAAGGAGGAGACACATGACCAGGTGGAAGCCCGAGATGACGGTCATGGCCAGCGGGTCGCCCTCCCAGTCGTCGTCTTCGCATAGCCCGTGCTGCCTGTGCCTGCCCCCCTTCCTTCCGCCTCTTCCGCCTCCGAGTCCTCCGAGTCCTCCCTTCCTGGGGACTAGATCACCACACAGCGAAGGTAAGTTATCTAAGGCATCGCCGATGGTATTGTTGACGGCTTCGTCTATCTTGTCTTGGATCGGATCCCATGGCTGATGGTCGGCCATGAAGGGCCACATTTTGCCCACGATAAAATAGATCAACCATATTGAGATGCCGAATTGTGAAAGGAAGTGGAAGATGAGAGCCCCAGACAGGAGGATACCGAGGGCATAGAATAGGCTCTCCATAGAACTGAATGCTAAAATAGCGAGGATAAATATCTATAAAGGGTCCAATGGAGCTTGCCAATTTGCAAATCGAAAAAAGTGATGTATGTGTCGCGGGTTTTTCTGAGACACTTGGAGGTATCACGATGTGAACATTGCTCACACAAGGGGTGGATAAGACATTGAAATACATTTATAACAATTCCGTGTCTTTGAATGGTACTCTTCCAAACCTTTTGCTTCTTGTCGTTCGAATGAGCCGCAAACGGAATATAGTAGCCGAAAACAGTTTTCCAGGGTTGCTTTGCAAAGCGCTTGCCTTGTTTGAAAGGCGGTTTTGATTCCACTCTTTGTATCATTATTTATACGACTACTTACAATTACTTGGGTGCACTTTCTATGGCCTACGAATATTAAAGATGGAAGCAAACCATAATTTCGAGATATCCTTGTTTGAATAATTAGCCCACCAGGGCTATGATATCAGCCACCTTGGGTGCGAAGTCAACTCACACACGTAAACTTCAGCCACACCACACATCATCACACACTGAAATGGCGAGTGCCAACGGCCCAGCTGGAGGCGTACCGCCAGCTCCCCCTCCGGCTCCGGCTCCGGCTCCGGCTCCGGCCCCACCAGGTCCGCCCGGTGGTCGCGCGGGCCTCACCAGGCTATGTCCGGGCTGCGGAGTAAGGAGGCCAACATACCACTTCATAAGGCGCAACGCCAAAAGTATAAGCAATCTCGTCATGACCTGTGCCACGTGCCGCGGGTTCCAACCAGTCGACCCGAGCAGGCCAGACGGCAACGCGGGGGGTAGGGGTGCTGCTAACGGTGGTAAGCGGATTCCGGATACAATTTCAGCCCTCTTCAGAGCAGCAATCCTCCATCTGTGGCCTGTGCCTTGAAGGCCTTATCAGACTGCAGGCTTTGAGGCAAGGCTATGGGCATACCATGTCCTGGTCCTCCTCATATCCGACAGAGACTTCTTCCTCGGTGCTTTGATAACTGACTTGTATTGCTGCAGGCGACGCCACAAGTGGCCACGAGGATGACGATGACGATGACTATGAAGACGACGACGACGACGACAATGATGGCGATCGGAGCGGGCGGCACAGTGTATCGGCGCGGAGAACGCGGCGCGGGACGAGACACGGCGCGAGCAGCGGGGATCCCCACGACTCGGATTCCTCAGACTCGGATCACTCCCATGGCAGCGACGACGACCGGAGGCGTCATTTTGGTGGGACGTCTTCGGGCAGGCGCAGACACCACAGGCGGCACAGGCACGTGGGCGGCGGCGGCGATGAGGCTCAGCTGCGGGATGAGTCGGAGTGGGTATTGACTGGGCTGGGGGTCGTGCTGTATTTCTTTGGCTGGTTCTCTATTGTGGCTTTGTTTGTTGTGATTGTAGCATTTTAGACGTCAGTTTAGCGGCTGAGAATGAGCATGGATGACATCTGCCTTGTTAGACGAGGCGTGAGGAAGTCCAAGATTCTTAAGGTGTAACGTCAAATGTGCGAAATCACCTATGAATAATTACATGACAGACCCAGTATGTCGATCCTGTGATTGATACTCTTATTCCACTAGGTTCCAGATCTTGGTTTCCTCAAAATCTGCCATAGGTTTGTGTAATGCAAAAAAGTATGTCTTGATGGGTGCATCAGGGGTGGGGCCCAGTGTAAGCAAACTACGTCTTGGCTGATATACCGTGTCCGTGGTGCATATAGCGACTATTCATCCCTATGAGTATTTGGCGAGGAATGCTGCAGGACAGAGCCTTATTACAAGGCGAGGGCGATAGGTTAATGGCTGCAATAAACTTTCGACGAAGTCGTTGGCAAATTTCACTTGACATTAGACCCCGGAGCTGCCCAAGTATGCCTATTTATTTACGTGGGTTAATACCCTCCCATGTGATGCCTTCCCGTAGAACAAATCCGTTGGATAACCTCCTGTTGGATCAGCTCCTTATTTGGTTGTCTTCCCTTCTGTGCCTCCGGGTACCTGGTCAACCTTTGGCCAGGATCTGCCCCCATCCTCCCGCCGCAGTCTATTACTCCACTCACCCACTGAACAGTGTCCGCAAGCTCGATCCGGCAGATCGATACTGCGGCAGTGGTCCCATACCTGGGCCTCCAATTACAGGTCGACGTACGGCCGGGACGGTGAGAGCCAGTCAACGGGTGTCCCAGAGGTGGCGGTCGGCGCAACGGGGTCTGATATCACGGCCACATGCGTTATGTCGGGGACATCAAACATATGGCTGGTCGAGAACGGCAAGACTCATATCAAAGTGGTACACAGAGTTTCCTGAGTGCCATATGAGGCGACAAATTCGTCTCATGACCTGGCATTCACCTTCTCCATCCGGATGATTTGCCCACCAAAAACACCCAGTGCTGGGGATGAATCGGTGAGCGTGGATTGAGACTGAGACATGCAGGAATGGCGTCGAAGTCAGCCAGGAGGCTCGACCCCTTGGCATTTTGAATGCCGTGTTGGTCTCCTGCATAATGCATGCGTGCTCCTCTGTGTGGGACTTTTCCTGTTGGAGCAAGAACAAGGCTGCAGGTTGCGATATTCCCCCTTGTCTGAAACCAAGACGTTGCTGGTAAGGTCTGAGTTGAGCGGCACAGCAAATAGATTCTTGCTGTCAAGGGCGCATGGCGAAGCGAAGCGAAGTGAGGGCGTGTGTCGTGTGTCGTCTGGTCGTCTGTATCGTCGCCGGGCTGAAAGTTGAGACACGGAACAAGGCAGCCATGTTCTGGGGTGATCCTTCCAACCGGTGCTTGGACACGGCCCGCCTGGGTGGTGTTGGGCTGAGTGCAGCTCCAGAGCTCCACACAGCTCCACACAGCTCCACTGTACCCAGGTAGGGTGGTAGGGGTCCAGCTTTGTGGGGACGTGTGGGCCCTGGAAATCCTCCGCCAAACTCAATCTGGGCTGTAGGTGGGGGTACCCAACACCAACCTACCGCCCAGACTGCCAGGAGGAAAGCTTCGATTCGACTCGAAGCGGTAAATGCAACAGTCGAACCGCCCTGCTGGGACGGCGCGGCACAGGACAGGACAGGACAGGACAGGACAGGACAGGACAGGACAGGACAGGACAGGACAGGACAGGGAGGGGGTCAGCCAGCGGCACAGCACCTGCAGTACGCACACACCACTGCACTACGACGACGACAATCACCGCCTCCACCAGCACCAACTGCAGCCGCTGCGGTGGGCAGCGGCTCCATCGCAGCGCCAGGACCTTTTTGGTGCAGGCATCGGCATCCTGTGACCGCTCTTTTCCATTCGAACCACTGCGCATCCTTCCATGCGGCACAGCAGCTCGCTTCCGAGAGCCCCCTTAGGAGCCAGCCCGCTTGCGCCCATCAGCACCGGCGCACTCGATCCGGAATTTGCCTGTCCCACCCCTTCTGATCCAACAAAGAGGCTCCATCTAGCTCCTCAGCTCGACCTCAGCCTTGCCCACCGTGGCACCAACTGGCTGCTGACTGCTCTTCCAGTCCAATGGTTGGCCCCGTCCTCGTCGTACTGTACGGGCCCCGATCAGTATCTCCGCCCTGGGCTTTTTTGTATTGCGGCTCGTGTATTTTGTTTCTTTTTTTGTTTGCCTTCTCCATTTATTATGCTGACAAGGCTTTGCCCTCGCGCAGATAAGATCCAGCATGTCGCCCTTCTCGCAATGAAGAGAGGTGCTGATTTTGCGACCAAGTCCTCCCACATCCTGCTCCTACGCATATCCCCCTGCCTCGATCTATCTTGTCGCCAGTCCGATTCTCTTGTCGGCGACAACTGATACCCGTGATACCCCACCCTTAGTCTCTTTGTTTCTACTCAGTCTTCAAAATGGAGGACAACGAGTACATCGTCTCGGTCGTCGCCCTGATCATATCGGTCGTCGCACTGATCGGGGCAATCCTGCAGCTCCTCCAGCAATACTATGCCTCGGCGATAGGATACTCCAGCTGTAACGAGCGAGTTATGGGCCCCTGGGCCGGCACAAGGAGGAGGATCTTCCGATATTCAGAACTCCGCTTCGAGGTCCGCTTCGAGGCCCCAGTCCTCTTCGTCTGCCCGCCGAGCAACACAAGGGGCCCAGTCCCCAAGCAGGAGGTCATGTTCCTCAAGGGGACAGAAGAGAGCGAGGCAGACACCAGGTCGCTGCCGTTGACGAGGACGGAGAAGGACAGGCAACAAGCCGAGAAGAAGGAGGTGGAAAAGCTGGGCCGCCAGGCCAGGCTCCACACACACGTGCACACCGCGGACAACGAGCGCGCCACCTGGGCAATCCTGCTACAGGCCCTACAGCAAATGGAGTACAGCAGCCACGAGTGGGAGGTCGAGACGCTCAAGCAGGACGTGACACGTGCCGGGCCCAAGGCCGAGCTCCCGGAGTCAGTTCCTGGCTGGGAGTCGCACTCTGCCGTGGTCGCCCTGCAGCCCAAGCTGAGGAGCTGGGACACCATGCCCGACGCGGTCAAGAAGCCCTACGCGACGACGACCATCTGCCATATTGTCGAGATTGCGGCCATGTTGGGCCTGCACTGGAGGGAGTTTGACCGGTCCAACCACAAGTACCTGGCCGAGGGGAACGGGTACCTGCTCACGGGCCACGAGGTCCAGGATCTGGGCATCGCCTTCAACTTCCAGATGTACGGCGGCAACAAGTTCGAGCAGAACCGCATCATCCCTACCGATGAGATTAAACTGCTGGCTTTCGGAAACGTGTCCACCATCTACCGGCCAGAGGCGGGCAAGGACGGCAAGGTGCCTTACGACAACGAGGACCCCAAGAACACCTGGGTGCTCCAGTTCGGCAGCACGACGGAGCTGGTCGAATCGCTCACCCACTTTGGCTGCAACTCCAAGACGACAAACTACTTCCGTGACCCGCAGAAGAAGCACGCCCATCTTTTCCCTGGTAAGCAGCACTGCTCTTTTTTCCTTCCGAAAGTGGTACGGAGTGGACTACTACTGTACGTATCTGATTTATGCTAACCGGTTACCTTGTCAGTGGTCTTCGAGGTTCTTGGTATGATCGCGAAGCCCATGTACATCGAGAACACGTACTACCGCTACCTGCCCAACCCGACGACGTACAGCTGGAACAAGAAGAACTTTTCCCTCCCCAAGCTGATCCTCGAGTTCAACCGCGCCGTCAACGACGACGACATCGCACCCGAGACGGACCACCTGGTGCAGCTGCGGAAGTGGGTCTACGACGTTGCCAAGCACCTCCAGAACAAGAAGGCCTGGCGCGACGACAGCGTGTTCCCCATGACCCTCCTGCGGGCGCTGCACGAGGCCATCGCCAAGTGCGACAAGTATCTGAAGGACGAGGGTGCCGATCTTGTGTCCCTGGTCATCCGCGAGCACGTCCAGGAGATCATGCGCCTGCTTAACACGCGGGCACCGTCTTCGTCCAGCGACAGCGGTGACGAGTCGACACTGTCGGCGCGGGAGAACCAGACTTTCGACGAGCTCAACTCGGCGGGCCCGGAGGAGAAGCAGCAGAAGTTCATGGACATCTACTTCACGACGGTGGCGCAGGCGGTGACGCGCAACTGCCACGAGGTGCTGCGCAAGAAGAACAGCACGCGGTACGTGCACTCGCCGTCGCAGTCGAGGGTGGACCTGGGCATGGCCGCGACGCCCGACGACGCGGCGACAACGGTGCGCGACAGCGTGGGGTCGGAGCTCAGCGGCTCGAATCCGAACGAGAAGGCGGACGCGGCGGAGGTGCAGGTGCAGCCGAGGCGGTCGTCGACGCCGCAGCTGCTTGTGACGCCCGGCCACCCCCGCGAGGGGGAGGGCATGGCGCGGCTCAAGAGGATGTCGACGACGCTGCACGAGCAGCTCACAGGCAACGTGTGGTGCACGCTCGTGTTCCGGATGCTGTGCTGGCTGCTGCTGCACGACTTCCACAAGAAGGACGTGCAGATCAGCAAGAGCGAGCTGTACGGGAGCCGGCTGCCCGTCTACATTGTTTAGGCTTAGGCTTAGGCTTAGGCGGCTTATCTTTGTGTGTTTGCATGTTTGGGCATATATAGATACCAGGGGTGGGGGCGCATTGGGTTCAAAGGTGTAAGTTCTGGGCATGCGGTGTGATCTCAGCGTGCATCTGTCTGTTCTGTATTGGGGACACACGGCTCATTTTGCATACGAAGCCGGGGTAGACATATCAGCTTGGGCACGTTCCAAGCGCTGCTTAATCACGAGTTAATGAGGTCATTCGGCAGCTACCTGCATAGGACGTTCTTTTCAAGTCTGTGATGTTCCTGTTACGGAAGGTCGGGCCTCTGTCGATACTCTAGTGAGCTCACCCTGCCATCCTCACCTGCAGTGTAACAAACGGCCGCGTAGTCTTGCCGAGGCGTGTTGCAGAGCTCAACAGCTGCCCAGACCTGTCAGTCAAAAGCATGCTTTGTTCACTACTCTTGGTGGTTCATGGGCCGTGTGTTTGCCACCGCAGCTAGTGACGGTGGCTGCCTCTCAAAACTGGAAGAACTGAAGCTCTGACTTGCCCATGACCAATGACAGAGCTTACCAGCGGGTGAGTGACCCCCGTCGCATGAATTTGGCTGGTATATGATTGAATGCTATAGCCACTCTCCCGTCTCGTCGGCGCTGGGAGTGACCAAGTTGTTTGGGGGTAAAACTGCAAACGCGGCCAAGCTGTGATGGTCTTGTTTAGCGTTAACCACCCGCACCAGGTCATGTTGTGCACTGTAGTCTATGCACTGCATGCTGCACCGGGCAGATTACAGCACAGCAGGTACATGTCATGTTGCCGACATTTCCGGCGTTCCGGAACCAGGTCACGGGACAGCTGCAGGAGGCGTGGGGACCTGCTGCTGCGTGCATGCAGGAGTGAGCTGGAAAGAGCCCCAGGGGAGAATCCGACTTGTCGCTCTGGGGGCCTGCAAGGGCCCCGCCCTGGAAAGACTGATAGGCGGGCGGGCGATTACTTCAGGCGGGCCGGCCAATGACTGCCGAGCGGTTGGGGCGGCTGCATCGCTGGGATTTGCCAAGGAGGTCGCTCGATTGGCGCCGGGGCGGCCTCTTGGGGGTGAGCGGGTGTGTGTGTCCTTCCTCATTGCGCAAGCCTAATCAATCACTCGTGAATCAGGGAGGAGGTCGGGATGAGGCCAGCAGTTGGGCTCACCTTGGGCCCGTTCCCCGGAAGCGATCCGGGGCTAGAACATGTCAAACTTTATGCATTGGCTGGATCTTGACCACTGACACATGCGAGGTGGGCAGCAAGAAAAAAGGAAAGGAAAGAACAACGGCCGTTGTTGTCTCTGTTTGCCTGCCCACTAATACCCGTAGTCCCTCCCTCCCTCGCACCTCCCCTAGACTTAGTCCACCACACAAGCTTGGTGCAACTCGATTTCCACCCTCGCTGCAGTGCTCATCCATCTCCTTCCTCTTCGGGACCAACGATCGCAGCTGTGGGCTCTTGTTTCAGACATCTGCACTCCGGCGCAATCGACATCCAGTGACTGCCACTGCAAGTGGGCTCGCCGCTACTGCAGACTTCAGATATAGCTGCAGAAAAGGGGGGCTCGCAGACCGCCTCTTCGGGCTGGCGACAAAGACTGTCGCGAGACCTGCGCAGACAGTGACCTCGGGAGGCTGGAGGCTGGACACCGAGCTTTTACGGCTCTTCCTATTGTTTCCGTGGGGGGACCGGATTTATACATACTTTTTTCCCACTCTCTCCTTCCTCTCCCTGGTTTCGGCAATTGGCTCTGGACAGTCAATCTTGTAGCACGGTTTGAGGGATTTGGATTCACTGGTTGTCAAGATGCAGCTCACCGAGACGGTCACAATCATCAACAAGTCGGGCAAGATCATTGGCAATGTAAGTCACGCCCTTGCTCACTGCTGCTTGTTGTTCGCTGTGCGACTCGCAAGTTGAGGGTCGAGATTGAGAGTGCGGGTGCGGGTGCGAGTCAAACGGTGCTCTCTCTTCCCAGATGCCGTTCAACCCCGCCGTCAAACCCACACGCAATCCAGTTCCAAACAATAGACCCTCCCCTCCTTCTCGTCGTCTGGCATGGCACACCCACTCCCACCCTGAGATCGACTGCTGACAGCCGCGTCTGCCCCCACAATACAGGGAAAGCACATTGTCAACATCTTCAAGGAGGCAAAGGCAGCCTATCAGGACAAGAAAGCCTCCATCAAGGCCGAACGCGCCGCTGCCGCCGAGCTGCGGCCCGGAGTCAAGAAGGCCCAGACCTATGCAGGCCCTGCCCCGTCCCAGTACACCTACGGCCAGGACCAGGTCTACGATGTGCCGGACCGCAGGCACTTCCTCGCCTACGAGGAGGGTAGCTACTACACCCACGAGCCTCAAGCCATAGACGACGGCGACCGCAGGCGGTCCATCGACGATGCGAGGGCCGAGGCGAGGTCTATTGCCAGCTCCAGGAGGAGCCACGGCACCAGCCACAGGTCGCACAGGTCGCACAGGTCGCATAGGACCAGGAGGACCACGCGTGACGACGACGAGACCAGGAGCACGCGCCCGCCGCTGACCGCGACCAACCTGCGCACCCACAGCGAGGCGTCGTCTACCGCGCCCAGCCAGATCACAGCCGTCTACCGCTCGCCCTATGCCGAGACGGCCCCGCGCGACAGTATGATGATGAGCAGGCCGAACCTGGCCCGCGCCCCAACCGCCCCGCCGTCCACCATGGTCACCATGGAGCCGGCCCTCGTGCCGCGCCAGAGCTCCGGCGTCATGCACCACGCCGTGTCCGAGTCGGACCTGTCCACCATCAGGCCGACCCCGCCTCCAAAGGACAAGAGGAAGAAGAAGGAGATCGACATGAACCTGGCCTACGGAAACATCCCGCCCGACCTGGCCTCCCGCACCGACCTGGGCCCCGTCACCAAGGCCGAGGAGGAGCGCGCCCAAGCCGACGCAGAGCTCAAGAAGCAGCAGGAGGCTCGCACCCTGATGGCCCGCATCGACACCATCCTCGACGAGGCAGAGGCCGTCCAGCACTCGGCCACCAGCATCATCGACCACTTGCAGCGCAAGCCCGAGGCCGCTGCCGCCGTCGCCCTGATGCTCGCCGAGCTGAGCACCCTGCTCAAGACCCTCGGCCCCGGCTTCCTGAGCGTCGTCAAGGGCGGTTCGCCCGCCATCTTTGCCCTGCTGGCGAGCCCCCAGTTCTTGGTCGGTGTTGGTGTCGCGGTTGGTGTCACCGTGGTCTGCTTCGGCGGATGGAAGATTGTGAAGCGCATCAAGGAGGCCAAGGCCGTCGCCGCCGAGAAGGAGGCTAGCGCTCAGGCATTCGAGATGCAGGACCAGCCGCAATACGCTCCCCGGAGCGGGCAGTCCGGCTTCGAGGCGGGCAGCAGGTACGGCGGCAGCGTGGACGACGCGCTGGTACTGGAGGAGGAGCTGAGCACTATCGAGACGTGGCGGCGGGGCATCGTGCCGTCCGAGGCCGACGACGAGGAGCTGGCCCGGAGCATCGCCGAGAGCGCCGACCTGGAGCTCATCACCCCCGATGCCGCCCGCTCCGTTCGCGACGACGGCCGGTCCATCCGCACCGTGCGCACGCACCGCTCGTCCAAGTCGCACCGCAGCCACCGGAGTCACCGGAGGTCCGAGGACGGCGGCGACGACATCGACGTACCGGAGCGCAAGAGCAGTCGGGCGGCCAGCAAGGTCGCGACGGATGTCGCCAGCGAGGCGGGCAGCGAGCGCAGCCGGAAGACGTCCCGGTCCAAGGCCACCACCGTGCGGACCACCACGACCAAGGCCATCGAGGACGGCAGCCGGCAGCGGGAGGAAGACTCGCTCGAGTCGGTGCTGTCGCAGCAGCCCTCGCTGGGGAGCAGGAAGCCCAGCATGCTCAAGACGCTGTTCCGCAAGAAGAAGGACCGCGAGGAGGGCAGGGAGAGCGCGCCCGTCTCTGTTATGGCTTGATGATATGATTGTTATGAATATTTATGAACTTGGGTCTCTTGTTTTCGTTTTTGTTTCCTTTTTCATTTTTCCATTTTGTTACTGCATCTGCATTGGATACTGGAGTGACACACGGAGACGAGAGGAGCTCAAGTGCTGAGCTAGACTTTCTTTGTGGCTACGGAGTACATATTGATGATTACATGATATTTTATGTAGATTTAGGTTCAGACAGGAACAGATTTCTTCTCTGGCAATCAATCTTCCTACTACCAACCGTCCGGCTCTTTTGGATCAGTACTTACCAACACAGCCAACGACAACAAGAATTGAGTTGAGCTGGTGCAGTTGAGACGGCGCCGGGGACAAGCCTGATTCTTGTGCCCCGTCATCGAACAAACGATGTGGAAATTAAGCTGCCGGGTTGCCCCAAGATCGGCAAACGCATGGCAGACAACCACGTCCCTTACCTTGGGCAAGCGAAGTCCCTCCCAGAAACGATTGGGGAGTGGTTTTCTTGGATCTCATGATTTAAGTTTGCCATTCCTTTGCTACTTTTACCTGCATATCTGACATGCTGGACATCACCTAGTTTCCTCGGCATCAAAGAACAAATCCCCGTCCTCGTCAGGCAGGCCATCCTCGCCCTCTTCCAAACCGTCCACCGATGCCAGAAGCTCCTCAAATGCCGCCTGCTGGACCTTGTCCGTCACGGGCCTCCTCAAGAAGATCTCCCTCGGCGTGAGCCCAGCCTTATTGCTCCCCACGATATCAAGGCCCCTCATCCCAACCGCACTGAAGATGCGCATCGTCTCGGCGTCCCCCAGCTGTGCGACCAGGTGCAGGATATTCTCCCCGGGCAGCCCCGGGAGGAGGTAGTCCGCGCCCCTCCCGAGCAGGAACCGCAGGCACGCGTGCTGGTTCTGCAGCAGCGCGGCCACGAGCGACGTGTGCCCGACGCCGTTGTCCGCCTCGATGTCGGCGCCGCTGTCCACCAGGAACTCGAGCACGCCGAGGCCGCCCCACCGCGCCGCCAGCGCCGCCGCGGGCGTGTCGTTGACGCCCGGCGCCGGCATCGAGGAGGGCGCGGAGAGTGGTGTCGTCTTGGCGGACGGCGGCCCAGTGGACTGCTGTCATTTGGAAGATGGCGTCTTTGTGGTCGAGTTTCTCCTTTGTGAGTGTCTTGACGAGCTTGTGGATGTCGCCTTGGCAGATCCCTACCACTACCTTGCTGAGGTGGGAGAGCTCGAGGTCTTCGAGGTATTTGGACGTTGAAATCAACTCGCTGAACTGGCGGAGCATTTCTCCTTCGTACCTCCCAGAAGGCAGGTTGAATATAAACGAGCCGCCCGCAGACCTTCCGTAGTCGTCCACTTGATCGAGGTCGGAGCCTTGCTGCAGAAGAAACCGGGTGGATTTTATAAAGCCCAATTCTATCGCGATATGCAAGGGACCCCATCCCGTGCCAGGGACAACGCAGTTGATCGAGTCTGGGTCGGGCCTGAGGCACATCTTCAACGCCTCTAGATCGTCCGTCTTGACTGCGAGCATGATCATGCCAGGGAAAAAGGTCCATGCGCCGCTTGAACACAAGTTCAAATCTCGGGCTGCCCTGAATGGTTCTGTTGAAGGTGGCTGATATGGCATAGTATACGAACCAGCCAGGGAAGACATACTTGACTTCCAAAGAGGTCATCCCCTGTCCGCGACAGTTAATCGAGCTGCATTGCGGCCCCTTTGCTGGCTGGCCCGAGTAGCCGATGAAGAGCATTCCGAGCAGTCCGCTTCGGAACCAGAGGTGCCGGGCCGGTCGTGAGTGGCACACGCAGGGGCAAGTCGGGGGAGCATGTTGCCCGCCTTCGACTCTGCATGACAAAACTGACTGGTGACATTGCCCCGAGTGCCCTGGCACCGGCCTGGGAGTCTCGTAGCGACTGTTGGGACAGGAGCCAGGGCTCTTTGCCCGCACCTTCCGTCCACCACCTTCGTGTGGGGAGGGATTTCGACCTTGTCGAAGCTGTGCTGCTCGCGAAAGCAATCTTCTGGGCATCGATGCTCTCCAAGACTTTGGCAACACCTGTCTTTTCGTCCTCAGCATCAGCTGTTGTTGTGTGCTTACGGTCTGCGCGTTCCACAAACGGTAAGGCGAGGCTCAGGGCAAGATCTCGACTCGATGGCCTTTCTTCCCTCTCCTTCAGAATTTCTCGCTTAGTCTCCACTTTGATCTCGGAGGTGTCTAGTCTCGCGAGCGACTTCTGGTCCTTGTCTTTGGTTATTCCGTGGATTTCTTCGAGGTCGAGCTGTGCCTGAGAGCTCACTTTGCTGAAGTCACATCAGCTTCGGCCGGACTGAGAACGGACACGGTATCATACACGTTATGGAGTAGGAGACAATCATGCAGCGTGATCCGTACGTCCCTCAAGCGGTCCTTGAGGGTTTCTGTCTGGCCATTCTTGCACAAGATTCCCCCCCCCCCCGCGTCCCCCCGTCGTGAGCTTCAAGCAACTCCGCTACTGAGCTCTCCACCGCTGCCAGGAGCCGGCGTGCTTCGACTAGAGGTTTTCCAAGGTCGTCGAGGAGCTTGGCATGTTCCCTGCTAGTAGCGACCTCCGCAGCCGCACTAGTGTTGTCGAGGACGACAACAAGGTCCGAGATCTCGTTGTGCAGGGCGTACATGAGAGGGGGCGCGTGATGCCATGATTCAACGACGTCGTTTGTCCTGGCAGAAAGCCTCATGCTGGAGTCCAGCGCGCTCGTGACGCCCGCCATGGTCGCGCGGTGATCCATACTCGCATCTTGGACGAACCCTTTGGCCTGTTGCAGGCAGCAGAGGTCATTGTGTTATCTCGATGCGAGCTCGCCAGATCAGTAATATCTCCCATGTCCAAGGGTCGGAGGGGACCAACGACTCTTCTTGTAGGGTCGGTCAGAACTTCTGCGCGTCAGAACTTGGGGGCCGGAAAGCTCTAGAGCGGAGTCTCCACACCGGGATGGTACGCTCGTGGTAGTTATCCAGTTTATCTCCCAACCTCACCTATATCTATGGCCCCGAATGTCACTGCTAGTTGTCAAGGAGACATCTCATTGGTTGTGGACGAGCCAGGGTCGCGTGAATAGTCCGTACGTATGTTCCTTTACATTACCGTAGACGCCAAGTCAAGATTCCCACGCCAGGCCTACAGTTACCTCGGAATATCATGTCGGTATCTGGCCGCGGGCCTTGTCAGCTTTGATTATGTCCACACAGCGATAAGAAGAGAATGAGACTTGTCGCAAGCCCAAACACACTGATAAGTCCGCTACTTATAGAGAGGCCAGTCTAGTGAGGCTCCAGGAATAATACAATTGCAAACTGGGGTACAGATCTGGCTATGAAATAGTCGACAAGATCAAGACCGATGAATTCTATGATGTATCTGCGAGTAGGTATATCACAACCGCCGGTGCTGCCTCTGTTTTCGTCCCATTGCAATTAGGCGTAGCTCTCGAGACTCTGTCAAATAGTAAAGCATTTCTCTCCAAGTTCTCTGATAATCTACTCTATCTATATGCCCTTATTTGTCATGGTCTTTCTAAGCAGGCCTTGGGGCCTGAAAGCCTTCAAGTGCGGGCGTTGCTTGGCACCCACGGCCACGAGATATCGCCCCACTCGCAGGTTCCCAATGCTTGGCTCGGTGATTTGTCGCCGAATCATCCTGATTTGGATCATTCTTGAGGACTGTGTGGATGTGTGGAAGGCCTTACCTGCGCCTGCGAAAGTCTCGGTTGGCCCAGAGCGTACGGAAAATTTATATCAGTATCGAACCATTGCGGTGATTGTCTTGGAACTTGACCTTTTGTTCTACTACCCGTTATCCGGTCCAATGATAGCCGTTGTGCCTTTGATCCGACGGGTATGATGGAAGCCACAGCCTCGCTGCTGAATGTCCTCGGGCCGGAACGGGGGTGGCAGAACCATATTCGAGAGAGAGCCAACCACGAAAATGTACTCATCCGATTGGATAGTGCTGGGTTAACGAGGCAGTAGATGTCTTCGGATCACTCGACAATACTGCATACTGATTTTCCGTTGATGCTGCTCGAAGTTGAGCTTGATCCGTGGAGCAGGCCGACGCGGTCTAGGAATTTGTTCGAAAACGTCTTGAGCCAATGGTGCGGCCTCGGTGAAGCGATTGCTGCCAAGGCTCCCAGAATATATATATGAGTTGTCGAAGCAGTGTTCCCCAGTATCCTCCATACAATGACAATTGTCTTCGAAGCCTTGTCCGTCGGCCTTGGATGACTGGTTCAACTTCAATCTTTTGATGAAATCGCGCAAAACGGCTCCGTCCAGAGCTGCACGGTGATTTACGCAAAATCCAGTCCCGAGATTCCCAAAGGCTTGGCTGCAGAGCGAGTGCCATCCGCCGTCTTGGCGGGTGAGCAGGTGAGCGCGATAGGACTTAGCCCACGCGATTTCACAGCGGCGCACAAAAGCCAAGCACGGGGAATAGTCGACAATTGGGAAGTCGAGAACCCCACCGACTTCCGAAGTCCCTGATGAGCTTAGTACGATTAAGCATATTTTTGAATTGCCGGGGATGCTCCACCTTGGTCCAGGCCGTCTCCCAGTGCTGTTGCTCGAGTGAATCAAGGAAGTAAGTGGATTACCAACTTCGCAGTGGTGGAAGTCGAGGAAGAAAGGAATATCCGCCAATGGCATTGCGAGTCAGCAATACGAACTCGGATTTGGTGGTTTACAGTGTCGACAATGAGGTTCAACTGGAAAAAAGTGCGGTCTGTATTGACATAAATACCGTGTGCTTGTTCTCGGACAAAACCACGATGCTTTGCAACCTCAATTTCTCCAGTGTCCCATAGTGACTGGGTGACCGAACTTTAACCAGCAGCCTCCCTACCAACAGCTTCACCATGCTTGTCTTCCCTACACAGCTTCTTGCCCTGGCCTCAGCCCTGCCAGTTGCCCTGGCATGCCTGGGCTACGAAGGCGGCGTCCCAGTGGCCACGGCATCACACTCGAACTCGGCACCCATCACCGTGAAGTCGGGCCAGGTCTACGACTGCGGGTGGGCCAGGTACGATCGCGGCTCAGGCGCGTGCGGTAATGGGGAGGGAGGCGATTCTGATGCCGTGTTCCTGGTTCAGGCCGGTGGAACACTTCGGAACTGCATCATTGGCAAGAACCAGATGGAAGGAGTTCACTGCCTGGGTGCTTGCAACCTGGAGTTTATTTGTGAGCTCTTTCTTCAATTATTTACCAAGCATCGTTGAAGTAAATGCTAACTCTCTATAGGGTTTGAGGATGTGTGCGAGGATGCTATCACAATTGTAAGATCGTTGTCCTCGTACTCTCCACAAGATCGAAAACGAGTTCCTAACCAAATCCACAGAAAGGAGACAAGGCAGGCCAGGAATCCTGGATTGTCGGTGGTGGCGCATACAAGGCGAGCGACAAGATTGTTCAACACAACGGCTGCGGTACCGTGAACGTAAGTCCCATGTGCTCCTACATACAACCGCGGCAGGATCGCAACAGGAGATGAAATTTGACTGGTAATATCTGACAATGGCAATAGATCATCAACTTCTACGCGAATGATTATGGAAAGGTCTACCGGTCGTGTGGCAACGTAAGTAGCCCATCACGACTCCCAGGACGAACTCATGTATCTGAGCTCCCTTGCAACTGCTGACCGTTCCCCAAACAGTGCTCCAGCCAATGCAAGCGCAACGTCTACATCGAGGGCACCACAGCCCGCAAAGGAGGAGAGGTCTGCGGCATCAACTCCAACTACGGCGACACTTGCACGCTGAAGAACGTCTGCACCGACGCCTCGCACCCCTGCACCCTGTACAACGGTTGCGCGGGCGGCTGCGAGCCGTCGAAGGTTGGGTATTGCTCGGGCTGAGCATCCCGGATTCACTCAACAAATGGTGTGCATGGTGGCACGGGGCATTCTATTCTCGGCGGCAAGAAACTTGGATGAGCAGTGGTCACGGCCCGAAGGTTCCGAACAGTGCGTGCGAAACATTTCGGTAGAGCTACTGTCTAAATTTAAAATCACTTGTCATATTGGCTCTCCAGTCAGTTACATCGCTTGTCCAGAGGATCGGATAATAAGCCCTCGAACATACCATCACCTCTGCATCATGCACGAGCCAGCATCCTGCAGCCGGTTGCAGCCACCCAGAAAGCTGGGTGTGCCATTTGTGGGAATAGGCGACGTAGATCAAAGCTTCGACACACAGATTGGGACGCTTTTGAGTGCAGACTACAGTATGTTTTGGTACACACTTGCAAATCACCCTTCACTGAAACAGCAACACCACAGCTTGAGCCGGGCTTACATGCGATCACCAGGCCCGTAGTATTGGATGCGGGTGTTGTTCTGCGTGTAGTCATAACCGCTTATACCAAAATTAATACTTGAAATTTTACGATATTGCCCTAGAATCAGAGTTTGCAATCTAGCCATGTTGGCCGTTAGGCTCGCGAACATTCCAAAACATCGACAACCGGCGGGATCATAAGCGCACCATCTTGTACACTTCTCCTCTTGCAATAGTCGCCGGTAGCCACATCCTTCTGGCTCCAGATTTCATGCCCCTGCAGCTAGCCTGTCTTGATTAGCCCGCTACCTCCCCAACGGGCTTTTTGCCCAGCCTCAAGGGAGACACATTTTCTTTGTCCCCTTTCCTCCTATTGAGTAGTCCAAATGGCCTTGGGCGTTGGTGTTATTAGCGTTTTTTGCCGAATGGAAATATGTGTTAGTCTCAACGCCCTGAAATTCGGTTTAATACCAGCGCTTATCCTTCCGTCGTTGTGCATGCATTTCTTTGTCCAGTCTTGGGCCAACACACCCCCCCTGCGGACCAAACATGAAGAAGCGGTCACAGCTGATAGCAAGGAGCACGCCTACCTGATTTGGTGCAGATAAATCACACAGATTCTGAAGATTCCAAGCTCGGATATTTATTTCCTGCAGGATAAGTTTTTGGGCATATCTAATTCAACGATCTTGCTGCCTTGATATCGAGGGAATTTGTCTGCGATGGTTGGCACCGGACAAATGCTTTCCAGACGCTTTGGTGTACTCGAATGCACTCTTTCCTCAATCACCTGAGCCCAGCTCTGATTCACTACCAGTAGCCTAACTATATATTTAATGAATTACAAGTTGTAGAGGGTACCATGGCTTGCGATTGCATATTTGAAAGCCAGGCGTCACGGGCGGAATTACAAAAAAGACAAACGCTAGGGTATCCCAACACCGACAATTATGCCCCCCTCCATATCACACGGCGCTCGAGCTGAGTTCAATTTCGGATTCTGTAGCGTCCCGGTCGGCATTTTCATTTACCAAATTGCTACTGCTCGGCTCGGAGCCGAGGTTCTGCGCCGTGGCCTGCGGTGTCATTTCCGAGGCCCGGCGGTTCCCCGAGTTGCCGGGGAGCTTGAAGCTGTAGGATTGCCGAGAGAGTGACTTCCGTGTGGAGACCCACTGGACAAATGGCTTGATGCCGCTCAGGGTGGCGCAGAAAATAGCCGTCGTAAGCTCGGCGTTGCTCCACACAGCCACCCGAACATTGTCACCTGGAGAGGTGGTGTCAGTTGTTTGGATGCCCGAGGTTTGGGGGGTTTTCTTCTCACGTGTCACATCCGAGGTTCTTGCAACTGTGATTATGCTATCCAATCTTAGCATGGTGATTAGACACACTCTGTATTGGATGTTAGTGATTCTGACGCTCGGTATTGTATCTGGCTCTGGGCACTGACATGATCCCGATGCAGAAGACGCCAATGACTGCGATTTTCTGTCTCATGTTCATGTTCAACTTGAGGACCGTCTTCACGGGTATGAGGAAGATAATGACATCGGTGACGACGTTGATGGCCGAGTGGGTGAGCCAAAGACCTTGCTTGCTGATGCACTTGTCGGTTGGCGAAGGGTTCCAGAATCCCGAGACGGGAACGCAAAAGAAGATGGTGGCGAAGACCGAGGCTATTCCGTAGCATACACACACGCCGACCATGACCCAGCAGAATGTTGTAACCCTTGACCCAACGAGGAATCGGAGGAATTGGAGTAGGATCGAGGTCTTGATAGCGGCCACTGATACGGCGTAACAGAGGATGCTTGCCCATAGATACTGAACGATGGTGAGAGACGGTTAGTCAGTGTGTCTTCACGATTGTTGTCATGACTGTCACTGACCATAAGCACCTTGGATAGATCTTGGAGCGGAACTTCCTGTATAGGAACACCTAGGCCATACGGCAATTCTTGGGATAGAGTCAGTCTCAGATCTCGGATTCGGATTGGGCCAAGACGACTTACGGGCGCAGACGAATACATTGTATGCCAACATTCCCATCTAATACGTCTTGTTAGCCCCCAAGCTGTCACATCAGATGATGGAATGACTCGATGATAATCAGTAGGACCCACCAGAGCAAGTATTAATACAGCATCATCGTGCTTCGCCAGTTTGATAATGCGGACCCGGGCGTATAACCTTAAACCCACAGACGCGCATGCGATTAGCGAGAACGCCACCGACGTTCCCACTATCAGGTTGAAGGTCGATTGAGGCGCCATCGGGGTCGTTGAGGATTTTGGGCTGGTTATGGGAACATGTAGGGCTCCTCGAAGTAAGAAGTCTAGAAAGTCCGGGTCAAACGATGCCAGTGATGAGTTGAGAACTAGGAAAACCAAAGCGAATTCACGCCAGATGGAACGACGACAGACAGCCCTTCCTAAAAGAAGACCGAGATGGCTGGTCCTGGGTCCTCTAACGTACGCACAGCTTTGTCCGCCGCATGGCATCAAATACCACTAGCATGCGCGTCAAGGCGGCCAAACCTGATCGATTTGATCGACCGCACTCGGACGGTCATCGTTACTCCTTTCAGGAGAGTCGCGATCCCGCACGGCCTACGCTTGGGGCACCGCAGCACACCATCAGGCGGGCCGAGTTGTCTAAAGTTGAATTCCCGTCCAAGGCTGGGGGGGGGGGATACATCCATGGGTCCCAGCATTGCCCAACCTCGTCGGCCTCCACATTTCCGAGCCGGCAGGTGTTACTGTGGTAGAGCAATCCCGTGACGAATGCCCACTGCGGGAAAAACTGGACAAATCGGCCGGTAGCGAGCATCCGGGGCAGCATTCCGGCTGCTATCGTAGTATCGCTTTAGATGACAGCTGCAGGAGCAGTGCCCTTTTTTACACGGCGGCTCTTTGTGCGATGTGGCTGTCTAGCGAGGGTCCCCGGGAGCCATTTGCCTATCGGGGATCAGTCTCGACGTTCCGGCCCCGTACAGGTCCAAGCTCTACCAAAGCGCAACTCCGTCGCTCTTTCCCATCCCGCCCATTGACATCGAGGACGTCTGTGTGCGCAGGACGGACTTGAGAGGGACTGACGACGTGCTTCCAAGCGCACCCTGCAAGGAGCAAGCTCGCAACAAAAGGGGCCCTGATATTGAACCCCTATTATCTCCGTTCATCTGATGTACGAGATATCAACTGCCGAGCCAATCAAGGAATATTAAAGAGATATTTGTGGTACGGGTCCTCTGATTCCACAGCGGTTGTTTAGTCTTCCAAGACAGTTGAGGTTTTAGACGGATCGATCCCATTTGGTTTTTTTAATCCCACGGCTACTTCCGTGAAGTCCTTGTCGTACTGCGGAGATCACTCGCACGCCACTTCCAGTCGAGTCTTGGCAAAGTTATCTGATTCTCATTCTCTTGGACTGCGCCCTCTACTTAGACCTTCCCCCCCCCCTGTCGACTCCTTTGCCCACCCACGGGGAAGGTCCCGGGACACTAACGATGCATGTGCCAGGTGGAGTTCGCAGTAAGATATACATAATGCAACAAAGCGAGCGAGCCACCGCCAAATGGGTTTCCAATGAGTTTGGGCAGAGCGAGCTTGGGGAGCGCCTGTGCGCCGAGGGCACAACTCAACTTATTCGTTGCTAGCCTTGCTAGCCGCGGTAGAGCAGTCCTTTGTCCTGGGTCATCCATGTCTGACTACTACCTCTCGGCCGATCTATTTCCATCCCGGTGTCTAGCTCGCCCGTCGCTCAGGAATAACACTCGACATCCCAGTTACTATAGCCATAAGTATGCTGATATGGCAGTGTTGTGCATGTTATACATCAATTATATGAGCTTCTTTTCCCGCCGTCAGTAATAAACCCCTGGTGGGTTGGGGAAATCCCCGGTCCAGTCGCATGTAATGGTCACACAACTCCATACCAACCTAGGCTTGTACGTAGGTTGCCGCCGCAGCCTCCAGATGTCGCGTCTGAGGAATTCCAATCTGAATATTCAATCCGTACACGCGCTACTGCAATCCTCCTCCCCCCTCCTTCCTCTTCTTCACGGTGCGTCCTGAAACACCACGGGCAACGCCGTAGATTCCTCACATCCTCGGTGGCCAAAGGTCTGAAGTCTGTCTCGTACGCACACATCCCGCGCAGATAGCCCTCGGGCCTAGCCCGGGTCACCCCGCCGAATGCTGCAGGGCCTCTAACACTCCAGAGCCACGGGACCAGATTCTCTCGCATGTTAGACTTTCCTTGGGGGCGATCGGACATGACTGTTTGTGAGAATCGAGCTGGCTGTATCCTTCTGCTCGTCATGTCGGTAGCGAACATGCGGTGGCAGGCAGGGTTTAGCAAGGGGCAAGCGGTCTGGACGATCCCCCCCCCCCCCTCTCGTTCGAATCCAACTCAAGGTAGCCATCGATAGTGGATCCGGGGGAAACAGATCCTGTACGTCGATTATCTATGTATTCTTCTCCACTTGATGGGTGGGGTTCGTCGATCTGCGTCGCTTGGAACAGGCGGCATCACTCTGCATTGACAGTCGACGACAACGAGGTTTGTTGGCGTGCCGTGATTTCAGTCAAGTGACTTGGTGTGGAGCCCACGTGTCTCTTCCGTGCTTACTACCGTCCGAACCTGGCTAGGCGTCTCAGAAAAGAGGACGAGCGGGATGAGAGACATGCTTCAGAGTGGGTATCATGGCTAGGCATATTCTGGGGACTGGTTATCAGATGAGCTTCGTCATGGCTCGCTAAGCATCGTCCATGCGGTATATCATGGAGGCTTTGACGTAGAGATGGCCAATTCTAGAGATGCTCCGAATCAAAGTACGAAGTGCGGTGCCGCAGATTCTGCAAAGCATCGCAAACAGTTCAGAGCGTGGAACGGGCCTCCCTACATGATCATATTGGCAAAAAGAAAAAAGAAAGAAAGGGGGGAGGGGGGGAGGGGGGGGAGGGCGCACGCTTGCCCCCCTGAGAGGCTCGCAGGGGCTTGAATGATCCTCTCTTGCCTACCCTCCTTCAAAAGAACCGTAGATCATAATGATGTCCTTCGTTTTGCTGTGTTCTTCTGTAGTTCATCACTCCATCAACAATTTAAAGAAGCACGTAATAGCAATCCGCTCCTAGCCCCTCTGCTTTCATACTCTAGGACAATCGAATTCTCACAGCTCGGATGACAAGCCTGGATGGATAGTACAATGTCAGGGACAATCTAGAATGCCACACACGTAGTACACCGGTGCACCAAGTGGCCCCGATGACTTCGAAAGTTCTTTCAGCTTGATGCTCGGCTGCAGTTGACCGAGATAGTCCGTGAAATTCGATTATTTTTCATCTAATCTAATCGCCTGCAGTTCCGATAGTTGACTTTTCGAGTCCAACGGTCGATTATCCCACAACTCTAACGTTGTCCTAGCAAGACGCAATGAGATTAGGATTTGCTGCAAGGCTTGGGCCAAAGGTTGAAATGTACACCCTTGATCCTATACTTAGAACGTTGGTATCAAAGAAGGTTCAAGATAATGCAGCACTTTATCTGGCTGAGTCCCATAATTCGGACATAGGAATCGTCTGCCGGTCCGTCGTCCCGTCTACGGAGCTACGTCCCTGATCTGACGGGAACTCGCTGCAGATAGCATTGGGCCCATCATCGCTCTCTTTCTATGCTCGTGGGTGCTGAGGATGATTTTCTTCTGCCCTCGGCTCTGCTGTACCAGTGGCGGCAGGTCAGTCTGGTTTAATCACCGATATTCCTGATCCACGGACAATCGGGTGGGTGGTCGGGGAAAAGTCTGCTCTGTTGTTTGGAGTGTTGCTCGTCTGCTCGTGATACACCTTAGTCTAGCTCTATATTTTCCGCACTTCTAGCCGCTGAGAATTCAATCCTCACCTTTTCCGGCTTCGATATACATGTGCCTGCAGCGTTGTGCTGTATGGAAAAGCCTGCATGATGCTGATCTTCAGTCAGACTCGCAAACTAAGATGCTGTATTTCCACATCCCAGATGACCCGTGCTAGTATTCGATCCATTCACCCCCTGTTGGTCCCCTGCTTCTGTGACATCTTCAGATTGTCAATGAGCGACGGAATCCGTCATCTACGCAGGCCACCCGGGAGGGATAGGGGCCCTGGGGTAATGTTGGTCTGGAATGCCGTTGGGCTTGTGGCAAATATGATATTATCTCATTCAAGAAAGGCATTCAATCCCTCGTGAAACGACGAGCTGTGGGCCCAAATTAGGCGTGATGCGAGGCTTCCAACAAGCACTACGATGCTGACTCCTGAGGAGGGCTTTGGGCGAAAGGTTGAATGTCAGAGGCACCGAAGGTTGTTGAGGATACAGTTTCAACGCAAGCATGTCCATCTTGGATGCCCAGCCATATCATAAGCCAACGGTGTCTTAATCAAGCATGTAGTGCTCTGTGCTGGACCAAGCCCAAGACTACACACTCATTGGAAGAGACAGTTTACAAGTCTCAGGGGGAATAGCAGATTTGGTCGCTCTTCTCAGGAATGTATATTCAGATGCACATTGGCCAAGACTCAGGATCAAGCTGCTTAATTTCAAGGGTATATACCAGCTCCGATACCTTGGAGCACTACAGAAGCCATGACCACCATATGCCTCAGTGAAAATAAATGGCTGTCACCGAGCCCCCGAAGATTCCTAGAAGAGCTCGTTCAGGCAAGATCAGCTGCGTCGTCCCACAGCTCCTCGTCCTCCTGGTCGTATGCCACATCTCTGTCGCCGCCAGCCTGGGCCTCCAGCAGACTAGCCCTGCTCGGCGCCGGCACCTCGATACTGCCCAGCCCCTCGAGGACGCGCTTGGCCTTGTCAGTGACCGCGTTGACGGCGGCCGTCTCGGCGCGGATCTGGTCCAGGCGGGTCTGCATGGTCTGGATGAGGCTCTCCCTCGCCTGGTGGGGCCTGTACTCGTTGATGCCGTGGTGCATGTTGAAGAGGATGGTCTGGATGTCGCCGGCCTTGTCGAGGATGCCCTCGGGGTTGATGCTGGCAGCGCCGATGAGCTCCAGGAAGTTGAGCAGGACGGACTTTGCGAGCCGTTTCAGATTCAGAGCCCGCTCGCGGTTGGCGTCCGAGGAGGAGTGGCTGGCGGGTGTGGGCTGGGATGCGCCGGGGACGAGGCGAGGCACGCCCATCTCCTCGAGGGTGGGTAGCTCATCTTTGAGCTGGGGGCGTCGTTAGCATTCATTGCATGCATCGCTGGGGGTGGTTTTCAAAGACTTACAGTGAAGCGGTCGCCGTAGAGCTTCCATACACCTTCCATGGGCTCAGGCGGTGGCTGCAGATGCCTGAGGTCATCTGGGAGGTCCGGTATGAGGATGTTGTCATGCGAGTCGGCTTCTGGGTGATCCTCGCGCCATTTCTTGATGAGGTCGTCGTAACGCGAAACGTTTTCGGGTCTGAAGTCACGCCAGAGAAAGTCAGGCGGGTTGGGGTATGTGGATGAGATGTTTGGCGGCTGATGCTGTGCCGGGTCTGCCATGTTGTCGTTTGCCGAAGGGTGCCTCCACCATCTATGAGACTGGCTCGGAAGCAAGAAGACCCGGGCTAGTAGTCGTAGTAAGGATCCAAAGGGGAGCCAGAGTGGAGACGAGGCTGAGGTCGAGCCTCAGGCTGAGGTTGCGGATGAAAGTCAAGACGACGGAGAGGGATGTGTATGTCACCGTTCCCACGAGGGAGGCCAAGGGTTCTGCAGTTGGCGATCCATGCGCCTCACCAGTGCAATCGGGCTATTCTCGTGACAAACAAGAGAAGACGTGCACTTCAATGTCAAATGAAATTGATATCACCATCCACTGTCGCAGGATGCCCCAGGGCGAGGCAAGTAAGCTCAGGTCAACGCGCCCAGAGTGGGAGTGACGTTGGCAGACGGCAGTCAAAAAGATGCCTGCCGGGTGTGGTTCAGTCCAGACCATCGGTACGTACCTTTGCAGCTAGCTACCCTTGCGCGGTCCGCGGGCGGTGGGCGGCATGGCTCCGCTCCTGGTCTGTGGAGCTTGGACGAGGCCCGGAAGTCTGGACATGGAAGAGCCCAGGCAAAAAGAAGACCAGACAAGACAAGACAGTTACTACCAGGACCTGGCTTTCCCCCAGTAATTCGGCACCTCGACTCACCACCCACGAGCCCACCCACGAGTAATCGATAACGATTCGTCTGTCTGACTGATTGATTGGCTGACCACGCGAACGTGGGGGGAACATGAGCGGTGGCGGCGTCTGAAAGGCGCAGAACAAGTTAGGAGAGCAGACACTTTCCACGACAAAGGGCGACAGCAAACACCCCCAACCGGCTTCGCGTGTTCCGTACACTTTGCACCTCAACAATTCGCCTCGGCCTGCGCGATCCCACGGTCCCACTACTCCCGACAATGTCCGACGCCCGCTCCCTCCTGCGCCAACAGCGCACCGCCCGCCGCATAAACCACCCTCACGCCTCCTACACCGACTCCGGCAAGCTGACCTGCACCGTGTGCCGCGAAACCCTCAGGAGCGACGCCCTATGGGAGGGCCACGCCCGCAGCGCAGGCCACCGCCAACGGCTCCTCGCCCAGCAGAAGTCCAGACAGCAGCAGCAGCAGGCTAGCCCGCCTGCCAGCGCCGCCAACGGCAGCGGGCCCGAAAAGTCTAAACCGGCGGGCACGGACACACTGAGCGACGAGGCCCTGCTGGCACAGATCATTGGCGGGGGAGGGGCCGGAGGTGCAGGCGCAGGTGCGGGCGGAGGGCAAAAGCGTAAACATGGGGACGACGACTCGGATGTGGATATGGACGACGCCGACGCGGCAGAGGAAGAGGAGAGCATACGCAAGAAGCGAAGCAAGCAGGACATCACCTCACCGACGGCCTCAAGGCCCTCCTCCTCCTCGGCTGTCGCCGCCATGCCAAACGCCGCCGCAACGAGCAGCGGCACCAGCAGCAATGGGAAGAAACACCCACAAGCGGATGCCGACGCGGGCAAGAAGACCCCGCCCTCGTCGACGCCCCCGGGCCTTACGCGCCGCACCTCAGGGACCCCGTCGCACGGCGTCGAGCTCCAGATACCCTCGAGACCAGCGACCCCCAACGCGAACGGGACATCGGGCGGGTCGACACCGAGGGCGGCTCCAATTGGGAGAAGCCCGCTCATACCACAGGACGGCCAGGGGTCGGCATCTGCAACGACATCCGCCCCGAGGGCCTCCTTCGCGACGCCAGCGACACAGCCGGCAGACACAGCAGCCACGACGACCGCCGAAGAGGACGAGGACTGGGCCGCCTTCGAGGCAGAGGTCGTCAACGCCCCTCCACCAACAACATCCTCCACCAATGCCCCGGCCGCCCAACGGACAGCAGCGGCAGACTACTCCTCCGACGCGGTCATAGCCGCCGCGCCGCTGACGGCCGAGCAGGTCGCCGCCAAGTCCCGCGAGGAGGAGCGCGAGCGGCGGCGGGTGCTCGCCGAGTCCCAGCTCGAGGACGACAAGGAGGAGGCGACGCGGGCGCTGGAGACCGAGTTCGAGGAGATGGAGGAGCTCGAGGCCCGCGTCCGGAGGCTCAAGGAGAAGAGGGAGGCCATCCGGCGGGGGAGCGCCCCTAATGCTGCTGCTGCGGCGGCTGCGGGTGAGGAGCGCGAGGGCGAGGGACCTAAAGTGGAGGCGGACGCGGGCGGGGCTAGGGCGGAAGCAGCAGGTGATGACGATGGGGACGACGACGAAGACGAGGGTGAGGAGGACGATGACTGGGCAGGTTTCAGGTTTAGAGCGTAAAGGGATGATGGGTGGCTATCTGTGAAAAGCATTTACACGCATGCATGGTCTGGCGATGGTGGGCTCAAGGTGGAGGCATCTTTGGATGGAGGGAGGGCCTTTCCAACATCGGCGTTCAAGGGGCACAGCACACATTGTTTGAACAATATATTTCGATTCATACAACTAAATGTATAACACATTCTATGATCTCAATGCTGCTGCATGATTGACCTTTCCAAGCCCACAATTCATGGGACGGCCGATACAGCCCCCCACCCAAATAGCTCACTAAGAGCTGTGGCTAGAAGGTGATTCAGCCGCGTAGTATATGTCTCGCAGCGCTCCGTCATCGTATGTGGCGTTGGAGCCAGACCCCGTCTATCAGCACTGCTGTTGGAGCCCCGTAGGCCAAATAGCCGCAAGAGATGTCCCAAAACAAAGAACGCCAGCCATGCCGATTCGCCACGTGGAAATCAAATCATCAACTGTCATCTCATCTTGTCTCATCACGAACCATACCAAGCATATCAACGAGCTTTCTAAGCTCTCATCACTTATTGCCATGCCCTCTCTGACTTACCGATCCCCACCATATATGCAGGCCGCTACTCCTCAGCCAGCCTGTATCTCGCCCTTTCCGACGCGCTCCCAGAAGCGCCGAAGCCTCCACACGCGGCCCACGCCGCTTCGCTCCTCCCACCGGCGCCGGTCTTCTGCCTTCTCTCGCCACCGCCGCTCCCACACGCCGCCGACCCACCGCCGCATGCCGTCGCGCACCTGCTCGCGCTCGACGGCCCGCCTCTTGGCTACCAAACCGGGGGCCACGGACCCGAACGGCACGCACTCGGGCGGCAGCACGGACCGCGCGACCAGGGCCTCGGGCTCGGGGCGGGCGGCCAGCCGCCGCGAGAGCCGGATCGCCGTCAGCGAGCGCGCGAGCCTCCTGGACACCACCGTCGTGTTGGTGAGGAAGATGGAGCGGTGGATCAGGTCCGTCAGGGTCGGGCGCGAGGGGCTGGTCAGCAGCGGCGGGAGGACGTTGCGCGCGTGGCGGAGGCGGAGGCGGTGGAGGATCGGGGCGAGGGCCAGGGAGCGGAACTGGTGGGATGTCTGGGCGGAGATGATGGTCAGCTACACGTTCAGCAGATCTCTTGACGTGCTGGGCAAGTATTATCATCGCAAGATGATAGGACCCCTTCCACATGGATGATATCCCAATACAAGCACCGGGCTGGAGTTTGTGCGGATCTGAGAGGGCACATCGTGGAGACATTCGTGGGCAATATGGACGTCCCCCAAAAGAGCAAAGCCCTTCCCCGCCGGGAATTCACAACAGACATGAACTCACCCTCGAGGTGGCCAGCAGATCAGACACATCCAGGAAGCCCAGGACGTGTAGCAGGACCTCGTTCGGAAGCACGGCCAGCGTCACCCTGGCGTCAGGCCCAGCATACAGCGTGGCATGCTCCTCGTGTTCTGGACCGGGAGTCGGGGTGCTGCTGGCACCGGGCGCACCACCGGCTGCGAGCATAGGCTGCCGCCAGTCCATCCCCTGTGGGTACGCAGCAGCGTCTCCCACGCCCCATGCGTCGCCCTCGCCCTCGCCCCTGTCGCTCGAGTGCCCGCATGGGGGTTGTGATGGTGATATCGGTGGAGCCGGTTGGGCATCGGCGGCCGGGCCAGGGGTGGATGGAGTACTAGTAGTAGTAGTAGTAGTAGTAGTAGTAGTAGTGGCAGGCAAAGGCAAGAGTGGTCCGACCGGTGCGGAAGCTTGCCGGGGGCGCTGTGGCGGCGGGGAAGTGTGGTCGCTGGCAGCACAGCAGGCGGAGCAGGCTCGCCTATGGTTGGGGGCGGGATTTGGGGGCTCGGAAGGCGGAGACGTGCTCGACGTGACCGGTGAGACTGCAGCAGCTGGCGTCGTGGGCCATGGCATCTGTGTGGATAGGGTGAGGTGGCTTGCCTGGTGGGCCAGCTGTGTGGACTGTGTGTCGTCGTGTGGGAGCACCGTTCCTGCAGTAGCAAGGGTTGGCGAGGCAGGAGCCGGTTGGGAGCAAAGAGGCGTTGCTGAGTCCATGTCTCTGGCCGTTGGGTACCGAGGCTTGCGCTGTGCGATGGGGCACGCTACGGGCTGTCGGCTGCAGCGCGGTCGCGTCAGGTGTCGAGGGAGAGAATCGGCAGCCTCAGTCGATCAGTCAGTTGGTCAGTTAGCCGGCTTGCCAGCCGGTTCGCCCGTCTGTTCGGATGTGGGCTTGGGACGTGGGCGTCACCAACGCAGGTACGCCTGGTTGTCTTGAAAATCCTACAGGCGCGGGACCAGGGGCCAAGGGTCCTGTCAGCTCGCGTAGGTCGGCCGTTGGGGAGGGAAATGTGACGCGTTGCGACGGAGGGGGTAAGTCGGTGGTTCAATATCAAGACTGAGCAGCGCTGGCGGCTAAAAGGTGACCTGTCATGGCCGAGTTGGGAACGAGTGTGGGCTGCGGGCTTTTGCCGATACTTGGTCAAGGATCCAACAGCCGAGGACGGACAGGACGCGAAAAGGCGCAAATTGAGGTGGCCTTGGTTGTCGTTAGCCCGGGCCACAGCAGGTGTTGACAATAATAACCAAGAGGGGCAGGAGGGGCGGTGCCTGAAGGAGGAGCACGAGCACGAGGAGCTGGGAGAGACGAGCCACGAACCTAGCGCCCGAGTCACCTGGCCGGAAACAGGTACGCGTGTGCGAATAGACTTTGAACTAGGTACCTAGCTTCTCTAAGATATGGACGACGAAGGCGATGGTCTCTCTTAGGGGTGAGACAAATCAAGTGTAGTACTAGATGGAACTGGTTACGGGATGTCTGTCTAGGCAGGTACTGCTGGAATCTAAGGTTTGGGTGCGGAGAGGTGGGTCAATAGGAGTCAGAGCCAAGTCATGAGGGGTTTGGAGGTGATCCAGGTCACTCTTAGAACGGTCAGGTGATAGTCGCGCGGTGTCGTGGTCGGTGTTGTGTGTTGCGCGTTTTGTGTGTGTCGTGGGTCGTGTCGTGGTGTTGAATCACGGCAGGAGCTGGGCCCGACCTGGGAGCCTGTTCTCGTCGTAGGTCGCAGGACGTTGGACGGGCCGTTTGAGACGAGCGAGACACTGCCCGTTGCGTTGCGTCACGTCACGTCGCCAGGGCACAGGGGTCGGGTCCGTTTCGATCTCGCCAATCGTTACATCGGTATGTACCGCGGGGAGGTACTGCCTGGTGTACACATACTCCGTACCTTCCCAACCCCCCGGTGAGCCACATGGAACAGAGGGCGGGGTTCAGGTGAGCTCGTCCCTGTTTGCGTCGCCCTTTTTTTGCTCGAGACTACTGTATACACTAGGTAGACTAATAAGTGAACCATGCACGGCTGCATGACAACTCATCATCTCTGCCTTGCATCATGTTCTGTAGTGTACTTGGAGCTGGCAGGTTCTGTGTAGAAGCCTTGGTAGGTTCCATCTGCTGCCGTCCCGTCTGCATCCTGTGCCACGTACCGCCGTCTTTGGAGGCTTTGGTCGCCCCCTGCTCTGGCGCCTTCCCCAGTCCGGCTCGATTGATGACGGCCCGCAGGGGGATTTACATATGGGACAGGACACGGCCGAAATAACGGGTGGGGCCTGCCATGCCCATATGACGCTGCGGGGTAATGGAGCAGGCGACTGCACTACGTGAAGTACGTGCCATAACGCACCGTACCGTTCCGACCACCAGCACGATGGGTCCCCATAAGCTGCTTTCAGGGGACCGCACTGATTGACACCTTCCTTGCCTCTCTGCTGTGGCGTGTTGTGGTTTCTGGTGTGTGATATGTGATCTGGTGTCGACTGGGAGGTACGTCCATTGTCTACTGCCCTGGGCAGTCAGTCTCCCCAGCACAGTACGTGATGTACACAGCAACCTACCTAGGTACGCAGCTTGTTCTGTGATGTGGTGGTCAGTACGTGCCACGGCTTGTTCCGCGCCCTCTTCCGCCCAAACATGTCGTCCATGCACCTCATCTTACCCGTTCGCCCACCACCCACACCACGCAGCCACCAGCCGTCTCCCTCGGTTACACAACATCTACATGGAACCGTTGAATGTATGGTGTCCCGTCTCTTCCCGCAGCTGTCAGTAAGTCAGCTTATCAGTCAAGTGATTTAGTCAATTTTTGATGTGTTCGTCTCGACAACTTTGCCCATTAAGGGTCCTTCCCCCCCCCCCCCCCCCCAAAGGAGCCACACCCGCGACAGGGTCACCTATTTCAAGGGGGAAAATGGCACTTGTCGAACCAGCCCTGGATCGGGCATGAACTGTATCTACCATACCTGACCTGCACGACCAGGCTGCTCACATGCATGTTCGGCAAGGTGACAAATCACCTTTAACCGTCTGCAAGACATGTCTCCAGTACAGCACAGATAGATGTCCCGAGCCGTCTGCCCTGCCTGGTTGCTAATCTGCCTTCCAAGGTTTGTCTGCCTTGTCTGCCAGTCTCCAATGTGCCAATGTGCCAGTCTGTCCAGGAAACGAGGCTCCATCGCTCCATCCATGGGTATAACAGCAAAGCCTCTTGCACCTGTGTCACTTGTCACCTTCTCGCAACTCAGCCGCGAAAGAGCCGAACTCGCTCATCCAAGATGTCATTGCATGCCGTCCTGCCCAACATTCCTGACCGAGGTCGTATCGCGTGTCCGACTATCATCACTTCGGTCATACCCATTACATGTCTTCTTCTTTGCTGACACAACCATTGCTCCGTTGTGACACACACGTACACGCCGCACCCACACACACACACATACACACACACACACACACATGTTATACCCACCCACACAAGCCATGGCACACGCATACACGCACGCACTCGCGCACGCAAATACATCAGCAGGCTCAGCAGGTTTAGAATCGATCAACTCCGGCTCTCGTGGTCGGGGACCGAGTCATAACGAGCGTCACACAAAGATACAGAATTGCTCCCCGTTTCCACTCTCGACGGCAGCAGTAGGGTTTCCATTCCACAGAAAAGGTGTCCCGCTTCACCGGCCCGCGGGTACGTCTGCCGGCGCGGCATGGAGATGACGTGCGTTCGTCTGTGTGCTTGCGTCTATTTGTTTTCATGAACATGTATGTATGTATGTAGGTATGTTTTGTATGCATGCATGCACATGCGTGCGCAGATGGGGATCCCGTTCTGCACGTCTTGCCCGGATCATCGGGGGTGGGCTAAGTACCCTGTCTGCTGTCTTGCCCGAGCAACAACTGCAACGCCGCGACGCCGGGAGAACTAGGGGGAACGGGATGGACAAGGCCTGTTTTCGGCTTATAATTCCGACAAGGAGAGACATACAGATCGTGATCTGTGTTTCCTCAGATCCCGCGCCTTGAGGTCTTTGGCTAACGTGCCCTCTCCCTTGCCCCCCCCCCCGCCTTTTCCCTCCTCTCACCATCACCACTAGCACGCTTCTCAATATAGCATAGCCACCTCATCGCCCAGTAGATGTGAAGAGCTGTGTCTTACCGGAGAGAGTAGACTTTTCCGTACAAGCCTGGGTGGAGATGCTGTGCGAGGGTGGCCGCCTTTCGGGCCACAGTCCACTCGCACCCTTGCGCCTGAGTGGTGCCCAACCAATCAGGCTCTTTGCGAGGCGCCGAGGAGGCTGAACCTGAGACGCGTCTTTGCGGCAAAAGTCATAAAACAAAAGGGACCCAATCAACAGAAATTGAGGTATAGCGTGAGGGTGATGGTCTTGTATGCGGCTTGCTGGTCACGGGTTTATCCGTTCAACGTCTGTACAAGGGCGTTTTCCCCCGCCGTCCTCGCGTGGCACATTGAGTCGTCTTGGCACCAGTTTTGGGTATTTGGTACTACTGTATCCTCCGCAACGGCCATGCAGTGCAAAAGAAAATGGAAAAGCAACTCGAAAAACGCATAGTGTCCGCTGCGGGTGAGAAGGGAAACCCTCCTGCAGGCTAAAGTGGCTGGCTGTCAGTCAGGTTGGGAGCAGGCCCCAGAAATGGGCTGCCTGTGGGGGTGCCGCTGGGCAGTTGGAATAGAGCCCACCGGGACCCTCGTGTTATGCCATTGGCTGCTTCAGCTTTCTCCAGGCGGGTGTCCAGGGATACTCGGCATAGACTTGCCTCTTCCGGCAGTTCGCATGCCTAGATCCTCACATGATTCGTGGGCCGGGCGCTGCTGCTCCCCCCTGGCTTGATCGACTCGCGGCTCCCACACACCAGCGAGGCTGTTTGGAGAGGGATGCGCTCTTCCCTGGTGGCCGGCGGCAGAGAATGGCAGCCTGCACAGCTAGGACCGTATGCCTCTATAGAGCTGGGAATTAAGGTTTTCCTCGCTTGTGCGCTGTGGACCCAATTCGTTGACACTTCGGTTTCCCTTTTTTTTTTTTCGCGGCCGAATCACAAGCCGCAGACATGGTTTCATGAGCTCACACACGGAACGGGCCGTCACCGAGACGACCGGCCATATGTCGTGACCCGCCCCGACCCAACACACACACAGTCCAGCCGCGACGCCATTTCCTACCTGCTGACCCTCAACACAGAGGGCAGTCTGGCCGGCCAGGTCTGGCCGTCCATGGTTTCCACTTTGCGGAGCGGCCTTCCCTTGGACCGAGAAAATTTTCCTTGGGCCGAGAGGAGGTGGGTATATGGCTTTGTGAAGGTGCTGCTCCAGGTATCTCCACCCCTCCGCCAACCGGCGGAGAAGAAAACGGACGTTGATGTGGGATAGGCACCAATTTTCCCATTCTCGGAAATGCTTGCGGAAGAGTCCTTTGGCGATGACAGCGGAGTTGCGGCATTGAGTTAGTGTGTCGCCGAGGGCCAGATTCAGACCTGACTGCCGAAACTTGACCCGAGGAGATTTAGCTGCTGCGAGAGCGACCTCCCGAAGGAGCAGCACAATTTCGTCACTTTTCCGCCTTCTGACCGGTTCCCCAGTCTTCTGGTCGCGATTCTGGCCGTGGTGAGTCAAGTTTGGGGAGACTGTGGTCTTCATTCTGTCAGCCAGGACCTTCGACGTACCAGAAATGCCAACTGGTCTCGCAGAAACCCATGATCCTGTCTCTGTACCGGGTATTCTCGAGGTTTGGGTTGATGATGGTCTCCTCCTCCTCCGCGATGCGTCATGGCGGATCCCGCATTTCAAATGAATATAGTTCGTCATCATCCATATTGCGGCCGGTGAACGATCGCCATAGACTGCTGCTTCACGCACCACCCCGACTCCCCGAGATGGCTCATTTACATGAGGCTTGTAATACTTGGAAGCATGCCCATAATCAACGGGTGAAGTTGTATGACGTTGTCCGGGACGTTCCCTCGCGGCCCCCAGCCCCCGCCCACGATATGTCACCGTCGCGGGCGTCCAGATCAGTACGGACAGATGGTCTGTGGGGGTCAGTATCCTGCCTGTTTTGCTCGCACTCGCTTGACACATCTTTCGTTGTCTCTTGATGCTCCCCTCTGCGCCGTGATGTAGCGCGTGCTACTTACTGCCCCACGATATGGGCTACTCTTGCTCGCCATGTCGCTCGGTCGAACAATGACTCGTCGGCCCCTGACAGGTTACCTCACGAGGCGGCCACAAAAGGCGGCCACCAAGGCCTGCAGCACCACCACCACCACCACCATTTATACCCACCCCTGGCGCGGACGGCCGCCGATCTGGCCGCCGCGGTCATGTCTTCACGTCTGGGTCGCGTCTGGGGCGCTTTACGCGGCGGACTTCCTGGAAAATACAGAAAAAAAGCCGCGATCAGCGTGAGGCGGCGTTCGAGGGAGACATCGCCATCGAGACACTGTTATTCTCCTTGCTGACATCCGATCATCACAACCATGATTCCCCCCTGCTACCTTCACCCCTGTGCCGGGTAGCCTTTGTCGGGCCACACCTGGGCATGCGCGGTAGAGTACCTTGCATGGTTGATCTGGCCTCTGGGCAAGTCAGTCACGGCCACGTCGATGGCCTGTTCCGCTTGAGCTACCCTCCCTTTCCCGTTGAGGAAGGCCTCCCCCCCCATGACATTGGGGTCAGCACTCTAATAACTGATTCCACGCTACACGCCGTCCGATGTTAACACAGACAATGCCCACAGTGGTAGGATGGTGACAGAGGGCGTTGTCGCGCTCGGTGGTTTTCCCCATCGGCTAGTGGGTGCGGATGCCGCAACTGCCACCACAGCGCGTTGGACCCAAGGCAGTCAGCACAATAGAACGACGATGGCTCCATGTGGCAACGGCGGACCCAGCCTCATCAGGCAAGTCCAAAGCCTACCTTGGGTAAAGTCGAAACCTAATGCGTCTACAGTGTCATTGTTGCGGCTGCCGCTCGCCTCGCCTCCTGTCCTGATCCTCACTCGTCCGCGGCCCTGCTGGGCACGGTAGAGAGTGGTGGCTCCGCATCATGGAGGTGGGCCGGCTCGCTGGATCATCTGGTACTGTGACTCTTGTGAGATGCACGATGTGTTGTCTCACGGCTGTCTCCCCCATTCGCTTGCCCATGCCCAGGCTGGGTGGCCAGGTAGACAGCTAACAAGCCAAAAGATCCGGCCGCTTCTCGCTGCTCGGGTTTCCGCTGTGGCCTTGGTCTGCCTCCGCTAAGCCCATACCGTACAGTGGCTAGACTACCCAGTTGCAGGCGAGACGGGCCTGCTGAACGAGCCTCCAATCCCGATGCAGTGATTGCTGATGAGCTCAGGCTGATTCACTTGCCGAGCGCCATCACTTATACTTGAGGTGCAGATGATACATCTCCTTCGCCTCCGTATGAAGCCAAGCCCGGTCGGCAAGGCCCTCGACCAGAATGGCTGTGCTGTGGGTGATTGCACGCCTGCTGGCCGGAGCATCGAAGGCTGCCCTTCCGTTCAAGGCGGACCAAGCCATCATCAGCTCAGCCTTACGAGGAGTGTGTGAGACGTCCACGAAAATGTCCCAGGGTGTTCCATGTTCTCATGGGACAAATTCCCCATAGGGCTAGGACTTTGTCTGTGTTACTGACCTTATCGACCTGCATGCTTGAATCCCAGGCCCTGGCCCCTGATGGGCGGGGCGGGCCTAGCCTGAAGACATCCGACCTGCCCAGTTGTGCCCCGTGGTACGAACTGTCCAGCTTGGTGGCGTCCGCATAGGAGATACGACGAGCAGATCACCATCCCCTTGGCAGTTCGTGTGGCGGCGGGATGGAACCGTGAGATCAGGAGGAAGAGCATGCTGGCAAGGGTGACGGCGATGTACTTCGGTGGGCCGAGTTCTACCCAGTCTTGGTCGCTGCTATAGGGTGGGGTACTGACATGGTGATCTGCACGAGGTAGTGAGTGAGAAGTCGTCAGGATTAGGGTGCTGACGACCAGAAGAGGTAGTGTGGGCACCACGGGCGTCGACAGGCTCATGCTCATGCCAATGCCAATGCCCATGCCTCATTCGGACCTATCCGGCTTGGGTGACCATTCCGCGGACGAGCAGGCGTTGCTGTTTCACAGCACGAAACGGCTTGACATGCATGCTTCCTCGCCAGGGGGGAGAGGGTAGGGGGGTCGGCGGCGGGGCAATATAGCCTCGAACGCCTCGGAGAGGAAGTAACGTACCGGCCGTGGAGCTCTTCAATGCGGTGGCGGGAGTGATTTAAACTGAACACATGTAATATGATGGTAGATAGAACAACGTGGCTCCACCAGACCGAGCCCAGTGCCCAGAGCCGACGTTGGGAAGCATGCGTCTGGGTGAATGAGAGAATAAGGGATACATGTCAGGGGTCTGGGCTCCGGTACTGTGCAGCGTGTCCGAGGGAGAAAATGACCCGTTTGGGGTGGTGGAAATGTACCTACTCAGGACGGTTTGGACATTTCCTAGTACTGGTTGGGCAATTCTGCCCATTGACTGTGGGTTTTGACCGGCTGCATACTGGGGCTTGCAGACAAGTTGCTGTGTCTCCTAAGAAGCAAGCCTCGTCAACAAAGATGCTGCAGATAGTGGTGCGTTGGCAATGGTTCCGGTCCACCTTCCCAGACCAGCCAAACAGGGTCGGCCATCACGGTATAAGTATGGTGCCTGCTCGACGTGTTCTTTGCTCGGTCGCATCATGGAATGTGCCTGCTTCAATATCGTAAAGACCCGTATCAATTTGCACCGATTGTTGCATGGGAAGTCTAAGACATCCCAAAGTCAGCACGTTTCCGCCCCAAGACCACATATCACGTCACCTCTGAAGATATTTTGAGCCCGTCACGCACTTGGTGGGTCAGCCCTGTGTTGGTACGTCCCGTGTATTTTAGAGCCCGAGAAGAGCGCAGCTGTGCCGGCCATTAGGTTAGGGGTACATGTGGGCTAACGCATCTCGCCAGTGCTGGGTAACGCGCCTCATCAATAAAGAAGCCGTTGGTCTCCCACCCCTGCTCGGACATGTGTTATTTCGAGCAGACTCGTTGGCAATGTGGCTTCTGGAAATGGGGAAACTTCAGACAACAATGCAATAAGGAGTACCGGACCGGCGAGACTTGTGGCCTGAAATTGGTCTACGAGACAAATTACTTGCCCGGGAATTGCAAGCTGTGCGATCAATCGGACAAGAAACAGCGCCGTTACAACAAAATGGCCCAGGACGTGGAGCGGTGGAGGAGAGAGGGCAATCGAAGGGCAACCATTGAAAAGACAGAGATTGACATGGAAGAGGTCAGAATGGCGATAGAGAAGTTATGGGTTGAGCATGAGACCAGACTGAGAACAGTATCATGATTTGGGGCCAGCGGGGGGAGGGGGGAGGGGGGACGCAGCCAGTTAGTCGGCAACACTGCGTCGACAAAAGGACGACAGGCGCTTGGAAGTCTGGAGGCCGGCTGAGGAAGCACTCGGCCGCAGATATCGACCGAGACAAGATACCGAGGAAGGGAGGGGTGGATGTAAGAGGTTCAAATGGGTGTAGAATTTATCAATTTGGGGTGGGCTTTTCTTGCGAGCTGCTGAAAGTTGCTGGACACACTCTGGGCATGTGATGGGTTTAGGGCACTGGACTAGGCCAGAGTTGGGAAATGTACAGATCTCCATCGCCATCACCGATGGCAAACGAAACTCGATCTTCCAGAAGCTTGCCTGAGCCGTGTCGGAACTTCACAGCCAGCGGATCGACTCAGCTCAGTGACCGGTGACAAGCCAGGTGGGGTCCGAAAAGCAAGTCTTGCTGCAAGAATCTGCCCGTCTCGTCGCATCCCACAGACCCTTCACGAGCGAGCACATGCAGTCTCAGACGTGCCGGGTCATGCGTGCAAATGATGATGCATGTGAGCCGAGTCGACGGGGCCCCGTTCCCCACGTTGACTTGCATCATACTGGCCCGCAGAAGGTTCTGACAGGCTCATCGGGGCAGCAAGTGCCCCCCTGAGCACGTAAGCCTTAGCAACTGGGCTCTCGGACCGGCGAATGGGGTGAAAGACCAGAGATGAGGGGGCGCAGACTGGCACGACGGGACGAGTACCTCTGCGGGACGATAAAGGTGGTAGGCCGTGGCGACTTCCGCCCGAGCAGTCGTCCATGCCCAATATCAGACAGCAGCGACATGAACTCTAGCTTCTGCGAGGACATGATTGGTGGCAAAGTAAGAGACCAGACAAGACAGCGCCGGCGAATACCGTCTTGGGCCCCTGTGTATGTCCCAGGGGATCAGTTGTACGGAGCCGTCAGGACTAGCTTGTTGTGTCGACATCAAGCCCCGGGCTTGCTGGCCCATCGCTCTGCTCCACGTTGGACACGCTGCGCGCGAGTGATGCGACCATGCCGCGTCCTGCAGAGCTAGTAGCGGGCGTTGTGCCTATGCTGGACGCGCGGAACAAAAGGTTATGTGGGTGGTTGGCCGGGCTGGTCACTGGTCACTGGTCACTGGTCACTGGTCACTGGCCGCTGGTTCAGCCTGGTAGGCCCAAGTCCCTTGATCAACAGTTCGTGGGTGGTTTTCTAAGGGGCGCCGCGAGGGTTCCTGTCCCCCACAGTGCACTGTTCTTGATCTGGCAGAGCCTCCGGAGGGCAGGCCGCAGTCACTGTACTTGTCCTGGGACGATTCCAATCGGCTGGGATACAGGTTTTTGCTCCCGCATTAGCCTGATCTCCGCCGGAACCCAAAACAGGGCTCTGGATCTCCAGCGTTGCAGTGGCCGCCCCCAGACTTGTGCCGGGCGAAACATGCACCGAAGCCGGAGAAGCACGGCGAGAAAATTCTGACGAAACGCAGCCGACTTGAAGCTAATCGTGCGAGGGCCGATGCTAGTCCCCACCTCGAAGCAACATCAGGGAGAGTTCGTACGTGGCTGCTGCTCAATGGGTCTGGCTGGCCGCAGCCCTTGGAAATTTCTCCATGAGGGTGTCGATGATTGGTGGCCGGGCCTGAAAAGAGGAGATCCGAGCTCAGTATACTTTGCAGCCGTCGAGGAGAGGAAAAGATCGGTGAGTGGAGAGGGGAGGAGGGGGGGTTGGATAAAAGGGAAAGAAAAGCTTGTTGGTATGGACTGTGTAGTGTAAGAATACAGATGTGCCGTCGCCCACAACGGAGTGCGGCTCCCCGAGCTGGTACTGTGGCACAGCACCCTGTCCGACATGGTGGGTCGCCCGTTGTCTCGGGTCCTGTGTGTCATCATAGGAGGTGTGATAGTATGGGCAGACGAGCATCGGCGCCCGACACCTTGCCCAGCTGCATGTGGCAGCCACATGACATTGGGCCTATGCTCGTCAGAGCCATGAAGTTGAAATAAGGAAAGGCTAGAAGATTGTGATGTGATGTGTCGTTCAAAATCCCGGTCCGCGTGAAGCCCCTGTCCCTGCTCAAATGCAATCATGCCATTGCCGCTGCAGCTTCTCGAAAGTTGCCGACCAGGGCGTCACTGGGCTCGGTCCTGACCTGTGGAACTCCCTTCTGCAGTCCTGTGGCGTCGTCGGCCTCGTCCTCCTCATCCTCCTCCTCTGCGGACCATTCGACCCTGGCCCCGGCCGCCGTGTCCTCCTCGTCCGCGCTGAGCTTGCACAGCAGAGACTGGTACCGCATGTGACGTGCCTCCTGACCCACAAGGCCGTATGGGGTGGGCGGTGCCCTGTATTGTGCGTCTTTCGGGGGTGCGATCTCAAAGATATCCACCATGTTGCTGCATCGCCACGGGTCAGTCGCTCGCTGCCTTGTTCGGGGGAGGGGTTGCAACGTACTCGGATGTTCGGGCGACGACCCGCTGAAGAGCCTCGATTTCTCGCTGAGCCTCCAAAGGGTCGTTCTGACTCGTCATCTGCTGCTCACCAAAGCTGCCGTAGTGGATACCATTCGGGTCATCGAAAAGGAGGCGCGATTCCTCGTCCTAGGTAGCCACCAACCACGACATGTAAGCAGGGGAGAATATTGGACTTCAGCAACAAGGGAAGAGCCGTTCTCACCTCCACCACAGAGTCCCGGCGGCGCTGGCCCAGGCATGATGCACAGTTACCCATGATGGGTGCGACAAAGGAGAAGCAGCAGAGGCTGAGTTGTTGAGAGCAGCAACGTTGGGTGTCGCAAGGTCGAGGTCGAGGTCGATGTCAAGGTGCGTGTATGGCTCCTTTTCCGTCTCTGTGTCTGTCTCTGTGCCTGCGGGTTCCCTCTACAGGGAACGGGTTGAAACTTGCATAAAGAGTGAATGGGTGAGAGAAGAAATGTTCATGATAGAGTCGCGTCCATTCGGGCGATGTTGCGTCCTGGCGTCGCAATTGCAGTCGCAAGTCGCAGGCGCGTTGGTGTTGTGATGTGGTGCGATGCGATGCGATGCGATCTGATCAATGCGAAATTGCACTTTCCCATGCCATCATCTCAAGGTCTCCCTCCCGGCAGGCAGCTGTCCGACTTGGGCAGGTACCGAGGTACGTCGATACAAGACTTCACCAGCGCCGACATGCTGACTAACTCATGCAACCGCACCACTGACGCCAGGGTACGTACTCACTTACCCCTGAGTCCCCTGTGCTTTTGCATCCAACCCATCCCTTGAACAGGCCGACGACACACCACTCAACCAAACCAGGAACAGCCGAAACCCTTCTATAAATGTAGGGAGAGTCTCGATGGTATACCTCTCATAAACAGCGGACGGGACCGCGCCGGACGTGCGCTCCATCCCTCGAAGCCCGAATCAACCCCATCTCGTCAATAACCTGGTTCTAAGTTTCGCCCATCGATCGGATCATCTCCGGGAGCAGTGATCCATCCATCTCCCTTCGCAACGGCTCAGTGCCTCATTGACTCTCCTGCCGGGCCGCTTGGGGTTGATTTAAGTGATATACTCAGTGTCTTGTATCAATAGTAGCCGTCTATCTACATCCCTTCGCAACGGGCCGCAACGGTGAACACTTGAGGAAGCATCATCTTGAGAGGAGGAGGTTCGACCTGTATCGTGATACACACACGTGGATGCCGTAGTCGATAGTCGCAATCTATCCATCTCCCTTCATCATGGAAGCAGTCGAATTGAAGCTGGTGTTGAGCATATCTGAATGTGAACGGCGTGATATATAAAGAGGGCTTACGAGTTCTCGACAGATCCATTCAGCCTGAGATATTCCCATCGACAAACAGCGCTTCATCTTTATACTCACTTCAACAGGAAAACCTCTCCAGTATCAAAATGGCCCACACAAAGACAAACACCCTTCTCACTCTCGCTGCGATCCTGGTCTCCTCCCAGGCCCAAGCCTTCGGCCGCTTCCAACGATCTCAACACAACAGGCGCCAGGACCGTGACGCCGATGCTCAACAAGCTCGCCCAGCGAGTCCTGGCTGCCCGCCTCAAGTGACCATCACGGAAACGGCCACTTTGCCCCCTACAACGGTGTTCCCATCCAACCCCGGCCTGGCCTCAGTCAGCACACCCGGTGAAAATGGAGGCAGCAGCACCGTCTGGACGGTCACCGAGACAGTCACAATTCCCGGTACCACTATCACCGTCCCAGGTAGCGCTGTAACCATCCCAGGGAGCACTGTCACAATCCCAGGGACCACCGTCACCGTCCCAGGCTCCATCGTCACCGTCCCGGGAATCACAATCACCGTGACCGAGACCCAGCCCCCGGTGCCCCAGTCTCCCACACCACCGGGCAGCCAGGAGCCCACTCCCGAGCCGTCTGTCCCATCGCAGTCCGTCCCATCGCCGTCGGTCCCTGCCCCTTCATCTGGCCTGTCTGAGCCGCCGCAGCCCTCGCCACCACCCCCAGCTACCGCATCGCCGCCGCCCCCGCCGCCGCCCGCACACTACGGCAACGACACCACCGTCACCATAGAGGTTCCGCCCACCGCCACCAGTCCGCCAGACACGCCGGGCACTACAGACACGCCAGGCACACCCGGCACACCCGGCACCCCAGGCACCCCAGGCACCCCAGGCACTACAGGCACTCCAGGTACTCCAGGCGCCCCGGGCACCACAGAAACTCCCAGTACTCCAGGCGCCCCAGGCACGACAGGCATCCCAGGCAACCCAAGCACCCCAGAATTCCCCACGGTCTGCGGGACGGTGACCGAGACCGTCATCGACACGGTGACGCTGACCCCGGGCGAGACGACCCCGCTGCCGCCGCCCGCCGTCATCACCATCATCAGCAGCGAACCGTCGCCCCCGGAGACCCCGATCGAGACCGAGACTGAGGTTGTGTCGCCGCCCGTCGTCCCGCCCCCCGCCCTGACGACCGTCACCGTCCGCACCACGGCGGTGCTCAGCGGGCCCGAGCCCGAGAAGCCCACCGTCACCGTCACGAGGCGCCCTGGGTACGGCTACGATGGTGGTGAATGATTCTGAGTGACCGTGGTGGCAGGCACAATGGGTCTTGGGGATATCGTTGACGGTAATGGCTGGACGAGTGGGGAGCGTCGGGCTTTCTCTCTCGATTCGATGTCAACAGTAGGAGTAAAGCAGGAAACGATTTTCCTAGAAGTATACGTGTTAGTTTTTCTTTCTGTCATCGGGAGAATGGGAGGGGGGTTGTGTCTTCGTTGTGGGCCGATCAGAGCTTGTTGGCTCTATTTCTGCCGCCAAAGATATATGTAACTATCACTGTGTGGTGTAAAACCTTTAATATTGTGTTCAAATTGAGTTCATTCGTCTAGCTGAGTCCTGAAACTAACAGGGAGAAGCTGTTCCTCCCCTGTAGCATTTTGAAACTTTTGAGACATCTAACGTAAGCTCGACTGTTCGGTGGCACTTTAGCAAAACATGGTCCAGTACATTACCACCTGAGCACCTTCTCATGGCCCAATCCGTAATTAATCGCAAGGACTTCCACTAAACAGGACAGATTCTTGGGCAAAAAGATCGTCGCACACGCTGCGTACGTTGACTGAGCTTTTCCTGCTCAAGCATGGTCAATGTTTGTCTCAAAGGCAAAAAGAATGCGGAGCGTTGAGCTGACAGTGATTATTTGTTTCAGGTCATGGTATAGCTCTTCTTCGTACGATATCTCGGTTGAATCCCGTATAGGCGAACCGCATTTGCTCCTCGAGGCAAGCCATTTGCCCTGCATCTTCTGGTGCTTGTCATGTGTTTCGCATTGCTGCTTTACGTTTGGATGTTGCTGGAGATGACGTGGGCACCTCAGTCGAGGAAGGAAAAACTTGGGTTCACCTTGGTAGATGTCTGGGGTTGCCGGCTTTGACTTGGGGTTCTCAGACGCTGTGTAGGGGGCAGATCTTCTGGAATCTCTTCAATCATGGCCTATGGACCAAACATCAGAAAAGTAAAGTCATCCGTGTCAAATAGAACAAGATACTCACAAGGCGAGGATATTTAGATGCCATTATCGCCTCCTCTTCTGCTTTCCGAGTGGCTGGCACGAAATGACCCTGTGGAGCGGAGCGTTTCTTCGTTCTTCTGCGAAGGGTGTGTTCTACCAGAGTAGACCCAGAAAAAGCGTGAGCTTGCGCTAGATCGTTTCCACAAAGATCATTGTTCTTAGTTGAGAATATTTCCTCACGGCATTCCTCGGGATATGACCTCGTGCTTGACTGCAAGGCAGGATCCTGCAAATGTCGTGGGCGAGGGCGAGAGGTGAACCTCTTATATGGACTTCTCTGCTCCTTGTTGACATTTGACTCAGATATCGGCCTGGCTGGCGATGCAGCCAAGTTTGGGGCTGGACTGGCTGATGCCGTGACGGATGAACTGCACAATTCTGGCAGCTCTGGGGTCGTCGCGCGCGGCAAGACTTCGGGGAGCAATTGTCCATCTGCATGGCGGACTTCTTGGGCTGCTTCTTGTGATGGGGGCGTGCAGCTGAGCATTTTATCGTCAGCTGTGCAACAGCCTGCAGGTCACGCTGTACTGACCTGAATCTTCCAACCCGACCGCTGCTCGACCCCTTCCTGTCCTTGAAGTGCAAGAGTGCTTCTCTGACGCCATGGACGTTCCCAGCCCAAGCACCTTCGAGCTTGGTCTTGTTGTCCACAGAGGATACGAATAAGTGCGTATAGAAAGGATCCGGGAGCTGCGGGCTGCCAATGACCACCTGTTTCAAGGACTTGAAGACATCCTCTGAAATCTTTTCCTTCAAGGGCGTGTCACCTGTCCCAGCCCAGTCCATGTAGATGTGGAAGTCTCCCAGTTCAGTGTAGCTGAACTTGAGAGTGTAGCACTCGAGCAGGCTGTCTTTGGACCATTCCTTGGAATCGGTGAAGCAGATGTAAATCTTGCCAACGAGTCGATCCGCAAGGGCGGCGAAGATTTGGTCCTGGGCTTGTCAGCTTTTATTTTACAGTAGTATCCCATTCTTAAATGTTTATTGGACAGACCAGATCTGTGAGCAAGCTGTGCAGACGACGATTGTTACATTCTCTGATGTACACCAACGTTTGACTGTCAGGGTCGAGGGTGTGGAGAGGATCGTCTTTGAACGAAAGTTGCTGTCCAGATCTGAGGAACTGCTCATGCGTGGCCTGTGGATGGTCCAAGTCGCGTTCCGACACCTCCTGAAAACATTTCTGCGGAAAGGCTTGTCTGCGAAGTCACAGGATCATCAGCTTTCAAAGATCTCTGCAAGATGATGGGAAGTCTGGGACATCTACCTTCCGTAAAGGATGATACTGAGCTTGAGGAAGGACAAGATGTTAATTCCAGCATATTGGTACAAGATTCAACCACAAGTAGGACGTACAATGGTCGTGATGAGCATCTTGGCAAGTTCAATGTCGAAGTTAGCGGCGTCGTCTGTGGTCTCCTCCATGGTGCTCTGGTGGAGAACAATCGCTGGAGAAGGGCAACGAGAAGTCCAACAACCTTGCAAGTTATAAGGAACTGTAAGTCTCAAGATGCTCCATGGAGGTGGTGATGGGGTTTATGGCAAGGAGAGGGAAGGAGTGCACGGCGAGCTGCCCCTCCGTGTGGCTGTTGACCTTGCTGTGACGAAACGGGAAGGAACGTTGACCGTTGTGGCTGCTGTCTGTTGACAACCAGAGCCGCAGTGACTTCCAAGTAGTACCCTTGGCTTCCATTTCATCAGCACAAAAGCAACACACGATTTGAGAGGCGAAAGAAGTGACATGAAGATAAAAAATATTTTGTGTTATGGGAGCCTGTCTGCCTATGAATTTGGCTACAGATGTGTCTGCATGCATATCTGTCGGGGTGGAAAGAGTGCGAGTGTAGATGCCAGAGAGTGCCCCTGACGGCAGCATCGGTGCTCAGGACCACACAATTCAAACAAACAACGCCTTGGAAGCCAAGCTGTTCTGACCTCTGAGCTTTACGTGCCGCACTCAAATAAGGACACATCAGTCAAATACGAGAAACCGTCTCACCCACTGGGTGTAAAGGGCACATAAGTGAGTACCTAGTTAGTGACGTTGGGTTTCGGCCATCAATGTCTATGTCAATCACCAAGCGTGTGTGTAGTCCAGGCGGCCTTCTTTCTTGCCCGCCTACCTACCTGCTCATCTTGGCCTCTAAATCAACAGGGCAGCCGGCTCGCCACATGGCATTCGGTGCAGAGGGTGCATTGAGGTGTTTGTGAAGGATCCTGAGAAGGGAGGCGGACTCGGCCGAGGACGGAACGGATCAGAGTCGGATCTTTTTGGACAAGGGATGAATTCCCGAGCCAGCGACACCGAAAAGACGCGCGAAACGAACCCGAGGACAGGCTGATGATCGGGTCGGCCGGTCGGTATTTGTTTCGCCACCTGGCTAGTCTAGCATGCGGGCGGTTGGGCCTTGGACCTGAGTTTTTGGAATTTTTGCGCAGCCAAGGCCAGCGGCTGAGCGGCTGATGATGAGGTAGGATCAGTGTCAGCGGCGGATGTGGGCCCCTCCCTGGATGGGCTATGTCAGTCAACAGCCCTGCAACAGCGCGGGAAGATGAAGATGAAAGGGGGACGGTGTCCATCCAGCCTGTTCGTGTTGAGTGTGCCTGTGCACTGGGTCTCATCTGGATCTTGGTCTGGGTCCGAATCTGGCTTCCGGCTCTGGCTTTCTGCTGGTCAGGGGCACGGGCACGGGCACGGCATGGCACGGCACGGGCAGGTGGGAGGCAGGGGTATTTTGGGAGGGGGACATCAGACAGGAGAGCGCAGTTAGTGTACATCAGTACGTGTGCAGTAGACACTGCAGGTTTCAAAGAGATCCAGAAGTGTCTGGTCTGCCCAAGTGGAGGCTCGTTGCACTCACTACCCGACGAGTGGGCACTGGGCAGCAGCGGGTGTGGCGTCACTCTCGGGTGCGAGCGTCTTTTTCTTTCTGATGGAAGACTTTGCTCTCCCTGACCAAAATCAGACCAGCAAAAAGTCCGGGGTCAGCGGGTGTAGGTGGGGGGAGGATCGGGAGACGGACGGGCAAGTCCAAGTAGAGGGAGTCTTCGCCGCCTCGACCAGTTGGGGAGTTGGTTCCCCCAAGAGCCTGTTGGTAGTAGGCAGCAGGACCAACTGCTGAGTGGTCCTTGGAGGGGAATTGGGGAGGCAGGCGCTGGGCTGCAGCAGTGGATTCGGCTCATCACATCCCGTCACGTCCGCGCCCCAGCAGCAGCCCGCGACAGACTGACAGATACCCGGGTGGTTCTGAGGCCCATTCTCATTGCCCCCAGGCGCCGTCCCCTACCCCTCTCATAGGTACCGGCAGAACCTTACTGTTATTAGTCCTCCTACGTGAGAGTCAGTCCATGGGCTTGCAATAACAGACTGGACCTGTATCTATCTGCATCTGCACCTGCATCTGCTTCTGCATCGATCTTCACCATCTACATCTCCGTATCCCAAGCCCGACCACGCGGGCAAGAAAGACATGACTCTATCATAGCAACTCTTTCACCCTCTCGAGTCAAACGGCCATCATCAGTCAGGCCCAGTCGAGCCGTTTATTAGCCTGCAGCAGCAGTACAGCAAGCAGTACAGCAGCACCAGCCGAAGCCCCCTAACCGCAGGCCTCGGATACCTGACCAACCCCTCGCGCCCCCTGCCGCCCTAAGCTAAGGTTTGGCGTTGTTGACCAACGCCTCCTCCTTTCGCCTTCGCCGTCCCTCCTTCAGCCTGCGCCTGCCTCTTTTTTTGCCTGCCCCGTGCGCACCTCCCCCAAGCGGGTTCGTTACGGTTCGTGTGGTTCGTTGTGCCAGTGCCTGTGCCTCGTGTGCGCCTCGTGCCTCGTGCCTCGTCTCGTCTTACTCAATCTTACTTCTTTCTGACAAAACTTCGACTCCCATCCATCTCCTATCCCGCCATCCAACACCCGCCTGCTGATCCTTACCCCCCGACACCACGTACGATCCGTCCGACATAGATCATCTCCCATCCCCATCACCACCACCACGAGAAAGGACATGTTGGCCAGCGCTTGAGCCTCGTTTTGAACTCGGACTTTCCGTCTTCGCTCCTTCGACCTGCCTGGTGTGGCACAACCCTCCCTCCCCCCACGCCCACCGCCACGGCCGACGGGGAACGCGTTGCAGCCGCTGCACACGAGGCTGTGTACAGCAGTCCGACACAGACGCGTCCATCAGGTCAAGGTCAGGGTCAAGGCCAGGGCGTCGCAGCAAGCCTGTCCCGGGTACGACTACCGACATCGAACGGGCCCGTCCATCTGCACCCCGACCCCGGCTACCCAACGCACCTCGACCTGCGGCCATCGACCCGCTTGCATCGCCATTTCATCGCCTCCTACCGCCCTCGCCCTGTCCCTCGCCCGTCATCATGTCTCTCGTGCCTCCTGCAAAAGGCTCGCTGCCCGCCCAGAAGACCACCGAGATTCGACGCCAGGGCCAACCAGAGGTTGACCGTCAGCTTCGACGACAGCGAGAGCGATACATCAGGACGCGCTGCCAAACTCCAGTACGAACTGTCCCAGTGTGTCGAGACCAAGACCGTCACCACCACCACAACCACCAAGAGGTCGTATCCTCCCCTCTTCATCCGACAGCCCAGGCCCCTCGAGACCCTCGACGTCAAGGAGTACCCCCTTGCCCAGGGCCCTACCCCGCCAGACCTGAGAAAGTTCACCCTTGATCTGTCCGAGAACGACGACGAATTCGCATGGTCTTTCAGCGAACCCTCGTTCACCTCGGGAGAACCCCAGGTCAGCCTGTCCCTGTGAAATATGTGTTCTGGCTGTGGTGCGTGATTGTAGGTGTGTCCCTGTGCTAACTAGTCATTTGTCCAGTCCAAGCCCCTCGAAATCGAGGACAGTGTCAAGTCCAACTCCGAACGTGGCACCCCCGCGCCTGAACCGCAACGGCAAGCCCCCAAATCCTCCGCCGAGTCGCAGCCTCGCAAATCCCGCCGACATGCGTCTGCAAACCAGAACGCGTCTAGCAGGTCTTCCCAGAGGTCGTCCCGCAGCCATGCGGCCTCGTCAGTCTCAGACAGGCTCCGGAGGGCCGTTTCCCACGGTGCCAGGGAGAGAACCACTCGACAGTCATCCTCGCTGTACCTAGCCACCCCGGACAGATCCGAAGTCACGGCCGCGAGCGAGGTGCCCCAGAGATTGAGGCCCCTGCACGCCGACCCAACTTCAGGCCCTGGCCAAAGCCAGTGCGCTTATGAGGCGGCAAGCCCAGCCGGCAGTGAATCCCAGACAGTGTTCAGCAGCAACGTCGCTACTCCTCCCATCACCGACGCCGACGTCGAGCCCTTTGCCGAGTCCCTGGACGATATCTCACAGCCCCGGCCCTCCATTACCGTTGCAGATCCGGATGCCAGTCTGCCTAGTCCTAGATTGTCTCCCACCCTGGCCGCCGCACAGCTGCACACATCTGATCCCCAGGAGGATGAGGTTGATGAAGACGACGAGGGCTCGAGCTTCTCGCGGAGCCTGACCAGGTCCTCCCGGCGACGATGGCTTGATGAAAGCCAGGAGCAGGAGTCCCAGTCTACGCTAGGCCTGGATATGGCTGATATGGACTTGGTGGCCGATGGATCCTCTCCCACCCAACGCGACCGCCACGCCTTCGAACGCGCCGTCGGCCTCCTCGATACCCGCTCTATGCTCGAGTCCTTCGACTCCATGCCCAACGACATGAAGACCTTCATGATGTACCAGTTCCTGCGCAGATGCCCTAGGAAGACGCTGCACATGGTTGCAGACGTCGTCAACCCTGCACTCAAGTGCGATTTCCTGAAGCAACTACCCACCGAGCTCGGCCTGCACGTGCTGTCTTTTCTCGACCACCGGGATCTCTGCCGCGCGGCACAGGTCTCCAAGCACTGGCGGACCATGATCGACAGTAACGAGACTGGATGGAAGGAGCTGTTTGACCGAGATGGGTTCCAGCTCTCGCCCGGCGAGCTGAGAAAGGCCATCACCCAGGGCTGGGGCTGGCAGGATCCGGAGGGCGCCGAGGGCGCGGAGCTCGACCTGAGCCTACAAAACCGCCTGACTTCGACCGAGGCTGAGCTGCGGTCGCCCAAGCCCGAGATGCCAAAGCTGCGCAGCTCGAAGCGGAAGCGTGGGGTGCACAACTACGCCAATCTCGAACGGAGCAAGCGACGAGTCAGTCTGCAGGAGTCCCTCAAGGAGGACGCCCCGTTGTCCCCGCCCAAGTTCAAGGCCGAGGGCCCCATCTCGGCGGCCAACGAGGCGGTGCTGTCTGTCCCCGACCCCCAGATTGGTCTGCCTACCCTCCGGAGACTGCACCTCTTCAAGTCCCTGTACCGTCGGCACTACATGATCCGCCAGAGCTGGACGAGCGGGAAGGTCAAGCCTGGACATGTCGCCTTTGCGGCGCATCCCCGCCACGTCATCACGTGTTTGCAGTTTGACGACGACAAGATCATCACCGGGAGCGACGACACTCTCATCCACGTGTACGACACAAAGACCGGCAAGCTGCGGAAGAAGCTCGAAGGCCACGAGGGCGGGGTGTGGGCGCTGCAGTATGAGGGAAACACGCTGGTGTCCGGTAGCACCGATCGGTCGGTCCGTGTTTGGGACATAGAGAAGGGCATGTGCTCGCAGGTCTTTTACGGGCACACCTCAACTGTTCGTTGTCTACAGATCCTCATGCCCACTGACACCGGCAAGGTCGGTCTGGATGGCGAGCCTGTGATGATGCCACCGAATCCGCTCATCATCACCGGGTCCCGAGACAGCCAGCTGCGAGTATGGAGGCTGCCCGAGGCAGGATCCCGACGATATATACAGACAGGGCCTCCCGCCAATGACGCCGAGTGCCCGTACTTTGTCAGGATCCTGAGCGGCCACACGCACTCGGTCCGCTCCATCGCCGCCCACGGTGACGTCCTCGTCTCTGGTAGCTACGACGCAACCGTCCGCGTGTGGCGCATCAGCACGGGCGAGGCCCTCCACGTGCTGCACGGCCACACGCAAAAGGTCTATAGTGTTGTGCTTGACCACAAGCGCAACCGCTGCATCTCGGGATCTATGGACTCCTTTGTCAAGATCTGGGACCTCGACACGGGCGCCTGCCTGCACAGCCTCGAGGGTCACACCCTCCTCGTCGGGCTGCTCGACCTGCGCGACGAGCTCCTCGTCTCGGCCGCCGCCGACAGCACTCTGCGCATCTGGAACCCGGACTCGGGCAAGTGTAAGCACACGCTGAGCGCGCATACTGGCGCCATCACGTGCTTCCAGCACGACGGGCGCAAGGTGATCTCGGGCAGCGAGAAGACGGTCAAGATGTGGGACGTTCAGACGGGTGACCACATCCAGGACCTGCTCACCGACCTGGGCGGCGTGTGGCAGGTGAAATTTGACGAGCGGCGGTGTGTTGCTGCTGTGCAGAGGGACAACCTGACATATGTTGAGGTACGTTGGATGAGCATATCTACTACGGAATACCCGAAACCACTCGTTGCTCGACATCTTTACTGACTCTTGCTGGCATACAGATCCTTGACTTTGGCGCCGTCCGCGACGGCAAGCCACCGGAGGAGCTGGGCAAGCGCATTCTGCTTAACGGGCCAGAGGTGCAGCGCCTGATCGAGGAGGAGGTCTGATAGGCTCGCACATGGTCTCACTCCACCTGGTTGTAGAGGGGGAAACCCAAAGACAGAGAGAAGGAGGTAACCTCCCCGCCCACCAAAGACATCGTGGGTTGTCTATTTTACGCAATGCATAATGGCATGAAATTCTCATTGTGGACGGAGCGAGGGAATGCATGCTCTGGCTCTTTATTTACTACTTGTTCACGAAACACAAACGACGGGGAAAATGGCCGGGGCACTGACCAACACACAAAAAGTTTTTCTTTTTATACTTGCTGTTCATAAGGACTAGGGGCCCGGAGAAACAAGGTACATATGTATGCGTTTTGTCTTTTCTGCTGTTGGTCACTGTTTGTTTCCCTTCTTCTTTCTTTTTTGTTTGGCATGTCATTGAGGGCGAAGGATGGCCGTGGTCAGATCTTGTTCATGCATACCCCCAGAACGAACGGACGGTTCTCTTTGCTTTCTTGATCCCTTCACTCTTTCCCCCCCTTCACCCTCCACCCTCTGGGAGTCGAGGGGGTTTCGTCTATACAAGATTGATGGGTGTCTTGTTTTTTTTTTTTTTTTTTTTCTCTTCCCTTCCCACAAGGGCCGAGCAACTTCATTACTGGCGTTTTTGGTCTCCAGGGCTGGACGGGACAACTCAGGGCTGCATGTTTTACCTACTTCTTACTCTCGCCCTGTGGGTCAGATACCAATCATGGGGCCTTTCGCTGCTGCTGCTGCTATTGCAGCCTCTGCCTATAGCTAGTTGGCCGGGCCCGGTCTCGGTCGATGCGGTCGGCCCACTGCTTTTGTCCTGTTTGGTAACGTCTAGAAAGATAATTGATGCATCATGATCATACATACCATACGCACTGATGTGCCCCGTTTGGTGATTGGTGGTGTGAGCTGACTTGTGATGCGAGTGAGCTGTTAAGGTAGCTTGACGCCTGGTCATAAACGACGGACTGAGGACTTGATATTCGTCCTATTTCAGGAGTGGAGCAGTTGAACAGCCAACTTGAAGAAGGATGAACAGCAATCACGAGAGTTACTCCCACGGGATTACTACTAAAGCAAACCTACATGTAGGTTCACATTGGGGTGGACCACCTCACCAGGTGGTGACAGGTTGATCAGGTCACTAGGTGCCGCAACACGTTTCACGTAGCAAGACGGTGCTGTGAGGTGTGGGTTTTGTATTTCCACCCACGAAGGAACCAAAGACTACGTGTGCCCAAAGCCAGACTCCTCGTGTGTTTAATTTCAAAAGCTGGATATCATGTTCATCCCCCCTCGAGCCCTGCCTGACTTGAGGAAGGCCGACCCTCGGTGTTGCTGGTCGGACAACCTGCAAGTACAATGCCTGTCTCCTAGACAGACGGCTCCTCAAGTCTCCCCCCAGGCGCAAACATCGTTTTCCTCCCACCCAATTCCTGATCCGCGCTCCTGGCCGCTCTCTCACATGACGACGCAGGGGATTGGGATGCAGCAGCACTCGTAGCCGTCGCACTCGATGCACTTTGACTTGCCGCTGCCGCCAGTGGCCTCGGCGGGCTTGATGATGCTCTCGATGGTCGAGATGGAGGCGGCGCCGGGTCCGTTGGGCATCTTGTCCTGTTGAATTGGTGGATTGGGTTTGTTTTTTTGTTTTCTTGTAGGATGTTGTCGACTGGAAATAGGGGCTATGATGTCAGCGGATGGGCCGTCTAGTGAAACAGGAGACCAGTGTGTGTGTGTGTCCGTGTGGGGGGAGAGTGGATCGAGAGCGCTTGAGATGGCTTACACGGCCAGAACTTGAATCTGATGTCGGGCTGATCTGAGGTGCTGTTGGAATTACACTCACAATAGTTGTACTCTAGGTGTTGTCTGGCGGTGGATGTTCCCTGCTTGGCGAGGTGGGCGGTTGGTGTGCTCTTTAAATAGCAGGCAAGCGTGTCAATCAGTCAGTCGCACTCACCCAGTCTGGAGTGTGTTTATCCCCCCAGCAAGCCCCAAGGCCAGGGATCACTGTGGCCGTTTCGTCATGGGCGCCCCTCGGACTTAAACTGTGGGGCCACTCTCATCCCTGGTCCCTCACCCCGGCTTCCCAGCTTCTTGGCGGCGGCAGTGCCACGGCTGAGCGAGACTGTGGCGCAACGACCAACGTCCACCAACGGCAGTTTGTTCGTGCCTACACAACTCGCAAGGATCCCGAATGAGTGGATGTAAGTCGACCCTAGTTCTGTGGGACAACCTGAAGTAAATAGTCTCCAGGAGGACAGTCACTACTAGGTTGACCTGTAATGCAATACCCTCCTAATCTTCATTAGAAACAATTTGGCCAATCCTATGTTTGGTGTTGGCTGTCTTCTGCAATTACTCCACAAGCTGTGTAGTCGTCCCCTCTGAGATGCTCGCGCGCCGTACAAAGTCACCGATGATGAGGGCTCCACCACCATCAGGCTTGTCTGCACTCTCAGCTTCAGCGACACACGATCCAGATCCTCACAAACGACACTTAAGATAGAACGCATTGGATCGTTTGATTGACATCTCGATTCCTACCACCATGCGCAAACAACTGGCCATCACTACTCGTGTGTCTAGGTGTGTGATAATCTGCTCGAGGGCACATTATCGGCCGGACCAACACAACTATCTGGCATCTTCCCGTCACTGCTGCCCGTCACACCTCCTGTACAGTAGGTCTCGAACACAACCCAACCGTGATCGCCACACCGCCACAACGATGAGCGCGCTATGTTACTCACATCTTGGTCGCTGTGGGCCCTGCCCTTTGAGTTCGGCTGGTTCCGTATGGTCAGGTTTACCAACCCAGAGTAATAATCCGAATCCAAGTCAAGCAGGCGCTGCCCGCCTATGGTCATGCCCGACTGGCATGTTCTTGTGGGCCTTGAGAGAATTTGTTAGCATGCACTTACAACAAAGCTCCTGAGCATTCAAATGTTCTCATCTAATCACAAAGACTCGACTTACCCTGGCCGGCCAGACGCAGTGACTGTCGTTGTAGTCACTGATGTTGCAGTCGCCATTGCCAGTTTTGTAGCCGTGGTCGTAGCTACGATTTCTTTCGTGACCGTCGTCGTGTGTACTATGGTTGAGTGAACGGTGGCAAGCTTGGTGGAGGTGAGGATTTCCGTCACCGGTTTAGCTTCTTGCGAGTCAGGTGAGATAGTTGTCCAGATAGTGAGAGACTCCCAGACGGTGCTGGGAACGCGCGTTCCTGTTACGGTCAACGTACCGGAAACCGTTTCGCTCACGGTGGTGGTAGGCCACTCGGTACTTGGGATTCCCGTCGGCGAAGAGGAGACAGCACAGGTCTTCGCTGCTGTGTCCCTGTCAGTACGGCCGTAATCAGAATTAAAATAATTATTAACACGTGAAGTGCCTCATACCATAGAGAACCGCCAATACCGTTGCGCAAATGGCGAATAGTCCCAGTATTAGGGAGAGAACCAGAGTTTTGACCCATAGTCTGCCCCTTTGCTTATGCAGGTCATCAATCAAGGTAGAGATGAAGACCTGATCGGGCACGGGGTCCATTTCGAATTTTGACAAACTTCGAGGGTGATATGAAGGAGTTCAAGTTCTGTCTAAAGGTTGCAGGACAAAGTGCAATGGTCTGCCAATCCTGAGAGAATTTTGGCAAGTCTTTTAGATTTGTGGCGAGCAGTGTGTTTTTCGAACTGCATTTGTGGTGGTGCTGCTTTTGAGACGCCGTACTGTCGGCGACATGAAGACGTATTGGTATCTAAAGCATCGTTTTATATCAATGACGGACTTCGACAATAGCAGTCGAATCACAGCGAACACGAAGTCACTTAATCGGACAAGACAAGTCATTTCAAGGCTTCGTCTTTCTTCAGTGGCATGGCATGGACCTTGAGTCACTTAGGCGTCATATCCATCTTTCAAAACGCCGTACGTGTCGTAGTCAAGATACGGACAACCTAGCCAGTCGTGCTTCTCCATGGCGAAGAAGACTCTGCATTTCCAATGAGAAAATAACAGTAATTTTCGTGATAAAAATTGCCCCATATCTGCAGATCTTGAACATATCATCCGAGAGAAGGGGTTTACTCAGGTACTAATTGTTATCATGCACACTTGCAACTTCTTCTGGTCGATTCAATTTTCGAGCTTGTCCACCATTGACGAGAACGACATAATGCAAACTAATCTCAGCCAGAACTTTGCTGTCCTGTACACCTGTCCCATCTTATTGCCATTGTAATGCCCGCACTTTACAGGCTCAGGCTGGTTGTGCTTCCATTTTTGCGACCTCCTCCCTCAGATTCTCTAAGAAGCTGTTTCCAGTCCCTCTCAGGATCCCTCAAGATACTGTTGCTTCTCCCGCAGCACTCTATGAACTCGTGCTCGTGCATGTTGCCGATGTCCGCGTTACACCAGCTCGGCCTCCACTTGCTGACGGGTATGCGGCCCCGCGCCACGCCGCGGTCGGTCAGCTCGTCCATCAGCTCCTCAACGACACGGTCCATCCTCGCCCAACCCTCAGGCAGCGTGATCCCGCTCTCCGCCGCCAGCTCCGTGATGTCCCTGGCGGTCCCGGGAGAATGGAGCATCGTCTACGGGTCGCGGTGCGCCAGGATGACGGTGCCGCTGTCGGTGCTCTGACGGCCGGCAAAGTACTGCAACTCGGCTCCTTCGGGGTCGGCTGATGCGGCTTGTTTGAATAGGCGGAGAAGATCACCGCCTTCGATCGAGCCCTCCCCTTGTTCCGGAGGCCATTCTATGAACTGCGGTTTGACCCAGTTGAGGTCATCTTCGACATTATCCCGGAACTTGCCAAAGTACGCTGTGCGTTCCTCTTCGGCGAGGTGTGTTGGAAGGCAAATCTTTATGAACTCGTCCTCAGGCCCATCTTGCGGTGACATCGTTGTCTTTTGGAGGTTAGTACATGTACGAGAGAGAGAGCAAGAAATGACGGATGCTTCGGCCTTCAAGTTCTTGCTTCGCAGAGTCAGCGAGAAGTCGAAGAACCTCATGCTGTGCACAATACAAAAACGTTGGAAAAAAGAGTTCTAGGCAGCAATGAGTCGAAAGGAATAAGCAGTACAAATGTGGCGCCATCTTTAGTAGCACCTTAGGATTCTCGCGGATGTTGATAAATGACAAATCAGAATTCAGAAGGCAGGACGGGAAGGATCAAGATGGGCAGAGAGTAAATTTCCTCACTGGATGATATCCAAATCACAATAATTTCCGTGTTGTCTTTTGCTAGAGCTCGCCAGGTATGTGCGTTTTGAAATATGAAAGGCGTTATTACGGTGCCACGGTCACAAGACCGAAACTCAATTACGGTAGAAGACGCCCAATACTAATGACTATATGGGCCTTAGAGGTAGAAATGTCAACTCCATAGTGCCTGTTCACTACCTAGGTACCGTCCCGTACCACCCGCGCATATAATTACAACAACGGTCACAGATACACTGGGTGGATGATAACCACTGTTCTCCGTTTGAGTCCCCGCCAACAAAGCATACAGGCCAGGCACAACGCCTTCTCCCTTTCCCTGGTTCCCCGGTGTCGAGGCAAATTGCATGGAGAAACTCCAACACTGGTATCACGAAAGACACTCAACAATCTCTTCCAAGTCCTCCCATTAGTATGTTCCACCACCTGAACCGATCATGGCCAAACCTATGTATCGTCGTGTACAAGGCAATGTTGGAGGGAAAAAGAGCCACTGGAAAAACCACCCGGGCGCCTGTCGAGAAGCCCTTTTCGTACAGCTTCACCGACTTCTGTTTCAGCAAGCTCACCTCTCTTGTCCCCGCCGTAGACTTTTTGGTCTATCTGCAGATCCCTACTCCGTGACCCGTCCACGGGCCTGTGCCTGCGCAGCCTGGTAAGACTGGTGGACAGACGCAGGCATGCCCGGGATAGACGGCAAGGATATGGGAGTTTGTCTTGTAGTGCTAGGGGGCGAGGCAGACTGGGGCGCTTTCGGCGACGCGCTTGGGGCCACCGGCGCCGCGGCTCCCTGTGGTGGGACATAAGCCTGCTGTGGAGGAGGGTGAGGAAGTGCCGGTTGCGCTGCCTGCGCTGGCTGCGGGAATGGTGCTGGCGGGTTGGCCTGAGGAGGAGGAGGAGGAGGAGGATGAGGGGTCGCTTGCTGTTGCTGCTGCTGCTGCTTCGCCTGGCCCTCCTTCTCGATGAGCTCCCCAAGGTACTTGAGGTTGTCACGCGCTTGCGGCTCCCTGTCGAGAATGGAACGCACTATGTGCCATTCGCTTGCCTGCATTGCGTGGGCCTGAGGCAGGATGAAAGCCACTGTCGAGCAAGATATGTGCTCGCCGAGGATGTCTCGAGCCACGGCCTCGCCCTGTTGCTGGAGCTCCTCTTGTGTCAATGGCCTGTTTGGCGGAGGCTGAGGTTGTTGCGGCTGTTGCGGCGGCGGGAAGCCACCGGAGCCGACATGGGGCGTCGTCGGGGAGAAGCTCGGGCCTGACAGCGACGCGCTGCGATGGGCAAAGTTCTGCGGAGCAGGCGTAGGTGTTGCGCTGGCTTGTGCTGAAGGCGAGGCAACCGCCTTGTTGTTCCACTCAGAGCCATGGAGTTTGGTCATGGTCGAGTTGTCATTGCGGAAGACAATCACCAGGAGTAGCATGTTCTCGTCCCGAGTCTGCGGCAGGTAGTTGTCCTCGAGATTCAGGATAAACTCAGGGTGGTTACCGGTACCAGCCGGCACAGGGATCAGGTACGTGTCCTTGACGTTTGCAAGAGACTTGTCGCCCACCACGGCAATTTTCTGTCTGGTGTCGAAGTACTCGTAGATCCTGTCAAAGTCTTTTTTGCCATCATCGTATGCTGCTGTCAAGCTGGCGACGACAACGTCCACGCTAGGGCTCCATCGCATGCCACAGAGGTACTCGGTCGCGGTGGCCACCGACAGGCGGCCACCAATGACGAGCTCCTGAGGGACCAGGGTTTTCCAGGAGATGCCCAGTGTCTTCGCAAGGTCTGCTCCACCGACGTGTTTGGCCTTGGCCTGAAAATTCGCTATATTTGTCATTTGGACCTTGCCACGCCAGACGACATCTGGGTCGGTCTCTTCGGTCGGCGAGTAAGGAGGCGACTCATTACCGTCGTCTTGAAGCAGTCGATCAACATCTGGGTCGTCCACAGGACCCTGCGAGGGAGCGGGAGCAGGAGCTGACGGCCGGCGCCGCTGCGAGCCCGTTGGGGACTTGACGCTGGAGAAGACCTTGTTGATATCGAAGTCCGGATTGGAGGGCGAGTGCTGGGTGTCGATTCTCATAGGCTCCCCGGATGGCGTGCGAGCATGAGACGCTGAACCACCAGCTCGGGCCGGGGCACCGGCCTTGGAGGCCTGACCTGAAGACTCGCGGTTGATCTGGCGTTGCGGGAAGGATGGTGTCTCGCTGGGGACTGCAAAGCCATCTCCCTCGATTAGTTCCTCGCCCTTGTGCGTGCGCCTGTACCTTGGCCCGGTTTGCGTTTCCTCCGTGGCGATGATGGACTGACGCATGCTGCGTTCCCTAGCCGCAGCGGTCTCTTGCTGTTGTTTCTCCGAGGCGAGCTGGTCGGATGTCATCACAGCCAGCATCGGCGGAGTCAGCGTGTGATTGAGCAGCCTGACAATCAGCTCCGGGTTGCTCTTGAGGTTGGCGGACAAGGTCCGGCACTGTTTCGCGTACTCCTGGACATTGGGGTGCGAATCATGGACGGCCCTCTCAATGGCAATGGAAAGACGTTCCGCCCGTGACTCGTTCGAGACGCCATCTGCAGGATTGTACCCGCCCTCTTTCTCGTAGACATTGATGGCATGCGCGAGACCCTTCTGAAGCAGCTTTGAAGACCCTTGGCGGCCGCTGGGAAGCTCAGGAATGGTGTTTGGCAGGTCGCTCGGTGGCTCGTAGTCGGCAGCAACAGGCACGGACTCGCTCTCGGAGACCTTGCGCAGCTTCGACGGTTCCTGATCCCGGATGTCAATAAACTGGGGGAGATGTACGTGGGTAATGAGGCAGGACTACTTACCTTTGTGGTTGTGGTGTCAGCCGAGTCGTGGCGCTCCTTGCGCTTGCCAGCTGCCGTCTTTGCACCGGAGGCCTTCTTCTCTGGGGCCGGTGAGGCAGAAGACATGGCAGACTTCTGGGAGGACCTGGGGTCGTCCTGAGACAGCTCACTCTGGCGCTTCTTGCCCTTCTTCGCGCCCTTTTTCTTCTTCTTCTCGTCCTCCTCGGCTGCCTTCTCCTCCTCGTATTGGCGCCGCTTCTCGTCCCAAGGTCTCTCGCCCCTGGCGATGGCCTCGACGAGGTCTTTGTGGTCCTCTGGCTTGCACTGCTCGCAGTAATATGTGACGTCCTCCAAGTCCTCTCCAAATATGCTCATGCCCACGCAGACATTGTGCTGCCAGACGCCGCAGCCTTCGCAACCAATCCAGGGCTCGTCTTCAGCGTAACCGTCCTGGCTGGTGGCGCCGCAGACGCAGCGGATCAGTTCGTCCTCCTCGGTCTCGGGCTCCGGCTCAGACTGCTTCTTGGATGACTTCTTGCCACGGCGCTTGGGCTCGAGAGGTGTGTCGAGGGCATCAAGAGCCTTGTGCTGGCCCTTGGTGCTCCGCACCGAACGGCGGGGCTCTGCTTCGGACATTGTGTGCCTCTGTGGCGAGAGAGCGACCGAGTGGTTGGGTCGTGCTTGCTTGGTGTGTGAGGTGGAGTGGCGAAGGGCGCACTCCAGGGTGCCGCGCTCGCCGTCGTCAATGGGCAGTGAAGGATGCGCGGGAAGTTGGTTCTCTTGTCACTACAGCCTGGTCTGTCCGCTGCTGGGAGTCTCCCACTGCCTGCTGCCCTCCCTGTGGTTGGAACGCACTGGGGTGCCGATGGTGATGTTGTCGCCACGTGGAATGGGACAGTGTCATACAGTCATTGGCAGAGTAGGCTACTAGATGAGGCAAAGTCGATGGGCCTACGCAGATGGGCAAAGAGAGGATGGACAAGTTCTACAGGCAGTGCGTCGCGCGTTGCTGTCGCGAAGTGGGATGTTTTGTTCAAGCTCGAGCCGAGGCGTGGCGCACGCGACGCTCCAGGCACGAAGCTTGCGTGTGGGACGAGTCAAATCGGGATGCGGTCGCGACACAGATGCGACACGCTTTCTGGCAGATTTTCTCGACGGATTGGTGAAGGGGTTGAGAGAATTAAAGAAGAAATCTGGGAGAGGTTGGAGGAGACTGCCACAAAAAGTGGAGGCGAGGGGGAGGAGTAACAATTGTCGGCAGGAACCTCACCTTGCCGTTGCGAATGCATCTCCAACAGCCAAGAGGAGCCAGTTCGATGATTGGTCTGACTCACCGAGCGTGATGACTAAAGGGTCGGCGGCAGCAGCACCGCTCCCCGCACTAACCAGGACCAGCTTAGGCTCGGCCACCCAAGTGGTCATCGACCTTGGGAATCCATCAACATGGGTCCCGGGGTCTTGGCCCCTGCAGCATTCGCCCATTGACGCGTGCCTTCGCTTGCCTGGAGCTCCCTCAATCGTCAAGCTCCAGTTGCCTGCCGTCACTGAGCCAGCAGCCTCACCAAACAACCTCCCATACTCTCTCTACGCCAGCCAGCCCAGCCCATCCCACCAGCACTCTTCCTCTCAGACCCGACCAGCAATCAGTCCTCTCCCGTACTCGTAAACATCTGACTCTGGTTCGGCCGGGAAACTGCAATCATGTCTCGAAGATACGATTCCCGAGTAAGTCTGCGCAGGAGCTGGGCCTGGCCCTGAACACTGGACCTAGCCACAGCTGCGAGCTTCCAAGACCGGAGCCACCAGCCGCCTTTGACCTGCCATTGCTGACACTCGCCCCAGACAACCATCTTCTCGCCAGAAGGCCGTCTCTACCAGGTCGAGTACGCCCTGGAAGCCATCTCCCACGCCGGAACCGCCATTGGAATACTGGCCAAGGATGGCATCGTCCTGGCTGCTGAGCGCAAGGTGACGTCGAAGCTGCTCGAGCAGGACACGTCTGCCGAGAAGCTCTACATCCTTAACGAGTGCGTCCCTCCCATCGCTACCTGCGTTCTCCAGTGCTTGCTTTCTTGGTGCGATGCAGTGCATGCTGACCACGTATCGCTCGCAGCAACATGATCTGCGCCGTTGCAGGAATGACCGCCGATGCCAACATCCTCATCAACTACGCCCGACAAGCAGCCCAGCGCTACCTCCTGACCTACAACGAGGACATCCCCTGCGAGCAACTCGTGCGCCGGCTCTGCGACCTGAAGCAAGGCTACACACAACACGGTGGACTACGGCCCTTTGGCGTGTCCTTCATCTACGCAGGCTGGGACCCCCAGCGCCAGTTCCAGCTGTACCTGTCGAACCCATCAGGCAACTACGGAGGATGGAAGGCAACGAGTGCTGGTGCGAACAATGCCAGTGCATCCAGTCTGCTGAAGCAGGACTACAAGGAGGATTGCACCCTGGAGGAGGCGTGCGGCACGGCGGTCAAGGTGCTGAGCAAGACGATGGACTCGACCAAGCTGAGCAGTGAGAAGATCGAGTTTGCGACGGTGGGACAGACCAAGGACGGCAAGATCTACCACCGGCTGTGGGATGCGGATGAGATCGATGCGCTGCTGAAGAAACACGACCTGGCGAAGGAGGAGACCACAGAGGACAGGTGAAGGGAAGGATGACACGACTGCATCATGATCATAGATGACTTGGGGAGATGGCTCCACATAATGCCCGTGTATCGATAGACGTCGGTGACCGCGCTGAACCCAGATCCTACATGATGGACTCGGAATGATGAAGAAACACTAAACATTGACCAGGAGATCGTCCGCAGAGCCAGCCCGGAGATTCCACGTTAACCACTGGTGTAATCATGGTACTCATGATGATAAGATTACTATTTGCCTTTGGACCCCCCTATGTACACCAGTCGTCTCAGCTTGGCTGTAGAGAAGGCAATGTCAGCCGGTGGATTCTCAGTGTCTGGCCGGGAGAGGACCCAGCTCTATGCCTACATTGTTCCCGCCCCCGGCGCCCTCCTCCTCGTCCCTGAGGCGACCGTACAGCGGTAACCCCCCTCCGTCGTTGCTAGGACCCGGGTACGGCTCGTGGCAATGCCAGCTGCTCAGCTGCGGCCAGTACCTCCTGTAGCTCCAGTACGCGACCACGTAACCCAGCAGCGCACCGGTGCACACATCGTACACGTCGTGGCGGTAGTCCTGGCAGCGGCTGATGGCGATCATGGCCGCCCCGAGCAGCGGGGCCAGACACAGCAGGGCGCGGGCGAGGTCGCCTCTAGCGTACACTGCCCTGTCGTCGCCGTCGTCTACCCCAGCCCTCCCGTTGGGGCCTTGGCCGCCGGCGCCGCCATTCTTCCTGCTGGTTCCGCCGGCGCCGACCACGAACAAGCGCACCTGGCCGGCCAGGAAGAGGCTCAGGTAGCCCAGCCCGGCGAAGCTGAAGCTGCTGTGGCCGCTGGGGAAGCTGCGCCAGCCGTCGTGCAGGACGTGGTGGCGGGTCTCGGTGCACACGTCGACGCCGACCAGCTTGTTCTCGGGGGTTCCCGGCGCGGGCTTGCAGCGGGCGACCAGGTCGGGCCTCGGGCGGCCCACGGTGTTCTTGACGGTGTCGGTCAGGAAGCTCGTGAGGATCAGCGCGATGGCGAGCCCCAGGACGGCGACGTGGTGCTTGTGCCTCGAGGCGCCCGTCAGGCTGTTGGCGAGGACGATCACGACCAGCGGCGCGGCTGCGGCGTAGACAACGTTGAGCGCCACGGGCACGCGCTCGACCTCGGCGTGCGGGAAGCAGATTGCTAGGTCGTTTATGTAGAACAGGCGGTGGAAGGGCTCGACGAGGAGGACGATCTGTGGTCCGGGGCGGTTTAGTTAGCTTTTGGGTGGATCGCACGTCTTGGTGGCCAGCAGAGAGAGCTTGGCAATGCAAGCAATACTGACCAATGCGTATGCGGCGACCAGGATCACGAAGCCGACATAGTCTGGTGCGTAGGACCGCTGTGGGCGAGTTTATTAGCCAGGCTGTGCCAGTCACGACTCGGATCTCCTGTGAGGGCCTCCTTGGTTGTGGTGGCATACCGTCCAGAACCGGGCGAGCGACGACATCGATGCTGCATCCGAGGGCTTTCCGGATTGTCGCGGCGCCAGCACACTTAGTCACCGTCTTCGAGCTCCTTTGAGAAGTGTCCGTAGCATCTTCTGGCCGTGGTCTCGTGGGGGATATGGACTTCGAAAGGAGCACACTACAGAGTACACGTGCGTCATTCAGCCCAGTACCCGCTGGCCGATCCGCCTAATTTCGAGTCTAGGCCCGTTGCGAGGAAGGGACAGTGACCTAACTGTGCTGTAAGGTTGTGTTACATGCGACGGTTAAACGCATATTGTGCCTCTCGTTATTCATCTACCCGAACTCCACCTCACCTCGCTCACTTCACCTCACAAACTCGCTTATACGTTTGTGACCAGATGCTGATGCCTGTATCACTGTATTACCCCAAGCATGATCGCATTTTCATCACATTATTTCGTACATATGACACCCATACGAGATGCTGAGCCCTATCCTTTGGTGATATGCGACACTTTTGCTCCTGCATGCCGTAGTCACAAGCGGCCTCGCGGCGCCTCAGATTTTCTCTGAACAGAATCCATTTATCTGCCCTTAGATGAAGAATTGCCGTCTGTAGGATGACCGACATTAGGATAATCATCTGCAGGATAATTGACTATAGGATAACCAACTGTGTGATAATTGTCTCGGCACGACTGGCTAGACAACTTTTACATTATGAAGCTTGTACCATCAGGCAGGTCCCCCAACCCATTTGCATTGATACCCTTCTTCCTCAAGGATATTTGCCATTCTGCGTTGACGTGCCGGGGATGTGAGGCTTCACGAGGCTCACCCGGGACGTCAGCTGAGTTCGCACGATGGGTCGCATACTAGACACGAACCTTTATCTCATTGTTCCAGATGCTGCCCCCTCCGGCGTATTGTGGCCCTGTGCCGGGCGCTGGACGTCCCGCCCCGGGTGTGTTTTCGACCTCTTTTCCAAGGTCCTGGAGGCCCGGGGAGGGGGGCGGGGGGAAACGTGAACGGATTAGCTATCGACAGGAGAATATACAAGAGGCAGTCTGGTGTTTCATACCTCGTTGGGCTGGCTGCCTGACTCAAGGATGGCGCTGCTAAACTCAGCATTTGACAGGGCAGCGTTGGTGCCCTGCTCCAACTTCTTCGTGCTCTGATTTGTGATGGAAGACATTGTGTGGTGGGCAGTAAGGGAAGGAGTTACTGCTAATCGAAAAGGTGACAATGAGGAATAACTTGACATAAGGATACTGGTTTGGGACCTGGAGACGTAGACTATTTATTGACTTGGAACGATAGTCTGCAAGTGGCTGGGGTCCGCTAGGGGTTGCATCTGAATGATGTAAGTTTGCAAACATGTTGATGACATGGGGCGGAACGACGAGACTTTGTATTATCTCTGCAATTGGATGGATTGGTTGATCGCTAAGTATGTATGTTTGGTAAGAACCTGTTCTACACATAATACACTTTGCGTGGATGGTATCTGAGGTGCTTAGTGGCACCGGGGTGCCTGTCCCTCAGATGGCCACACGATGGGGTGCGATTGCCAACTCTATATTTATGCCTTGATATGCTTGCGAAGCTCTCCATCTAGCTTGCTCATGTCGGCAGCACTCGGGCGTCTGCACGGGCTACCACTTTGGTCGCATTGCACTGTCTACCCCGCGGTGGTTCCCGTGGTGGTTGTCCCACGTGTCATGCCTCACGTACGTCGGAGATGGCATGCACGGCGGGCAAGAACTGCCGTTGATTCTCGCTCCCTGCCGTCCCGCCAGGTGTTCGAATTGCCCGTTGCTTGATCTTATGTGCCACCCCGTCCGAGTTCAATCCAGCGGGGTTTTCGATACCTCCAAGCACTACAGGCCTCCAAACGCGAGGCCAGAGGGGAGATGGGGGCGTCGACTGGTCGTGTCGTATGACGATGATCTCTTTGGCGTCGGTGGTCGGTGATTTGGCCGTGAAGACGACGGCTTTACCTTTCCATGGCTTCTCATGTACCGAGCTGTTGAAGACGACCCAGTAGCGCTTGACCAAATTCATCCGCTTTCTGGTTTCCATGTCTTCATCGTACATGTGCTGGTACGAGTCGTTCCATTCGGCCATGCGTGACATGGATATCTCTGTCATTCTCTCGTCATCCCTGTCGGTGAACTTATGGCATGCTGTAGACAGAGGGGTGGCTTGCGACACCAGGAACATGGAGGCAGTCGAGGTCAGTTTCCTCTCCAGCGTCCAAGCCTTGTGCCACTGCTGGGCTCGCCTGGCTGCTCTCAGCTCGCAGACCATTGCATACGCGACAGCTTCGAACTCGGGCCGATGATCACGCATGGCGCGGCTCAAGGTCCATTTTCGGGCGTTGAGCAACCTGTCGATAGACTTGATTCTGTTGAAAACGATGATGCTGCGTGCTTTTTTCGTGGTGTCGGCGATAGTGTTCAGGTACCTCCTGATGCGGCCATGCTCGTACTTGAGCCAGGGTCTTCGCATACCAGCGGCCGAGGTGGTGGGCGCGGATCGCGTCGAAGTCCCGAGTATGCGCTTTGGGCACGGCATCACCGGACACGTCTTGGGCCACCGCAGACAGTGCACCTTGTATCTGCCTGGATTGGGTCGTAAGATGATAGAGAGAGCGATCCACGACATGATGGAGCGGCAGCGAGCCCCCTTCTGGCTGCACAGAGGCATCCTCCGTACGGGAGTGATCATGGCATGGATCCCGGAGATAGGGCTGTAATGCTCTGTGAAGTTTCTTGAGAATACCGCTAACGTTTGAGAAGGGTGTAGAGATGGCTCGGCTCAAAAGGTCGGCGTAGCTCACGGGCACTGGCTCGTATGCCAAGGGCGTGTACGTGTGCGGCGAGTGCCTCTGCCTGTAGGGCCCCTGCAAACGGACCGAACCACCTTCCTTCCCCCCATCTCTTCCTTCCTCTGACGAAGCTGACGTCCCCAAGCGGCGGCTCGGCGGTCCTGGGAGGGTCGGCCGCGCCAGAGAGGTCGACGACGAGCCCACAGTCGTGACAGCACCCGGCCATCGAAGCTTGCATCTGGTCGCAAACATCTTGGCCGCACGTCAGTCGGAGAAGGGCATGCCGTCGGGGCTTTTTGCACAGTCGATTTGCGTGCACATGTGCAGCAACGGAGGTGAGTGTGGGAAATACAGCGCCTGGACCTAAATTCGCACCCTGGCATGCCACGCACGGGAGTGGGGTTGACGAGGACTTGGCAGGGCCAGGGCCCCTTGCTTTGCCCCGATTGCCCAGGCGGCACTGACGAGAGCTGCACGGATGCTACTGTGTGTGGAAAACGAAACGCAGCCCCCCCCCTGCAAATTTGATTTAGTCGGCCCCCCCAACATATAAAAAAGCCCTCTTCGCGCGCGCGCCAACGCAGCGTATTCGCGTCTTTTGCATACTCTTAAAATGTTATAATCTCCTTTAATCAAGCGTGCCCGCGTAGCGTTTTCGCGCCCTCTTTGCACATGGTGCGCACCTTGTATTTCTCGCCTCTCTTGCGATCACTTACATCCAGAGTTGTGACAGTATTTGTGTATTTTGTATCTAAAAATACAAAATACATAAATACATGTATTTGTATCTGTATTTAAATACTGTATTTGTATCTGTATTTGTATTTATATAGGCCTTGTATTTTGTATCTGTATTTGTATTTATATTTGTATTTTTAAAATTTTAAATCTGTATTTTATATTTAAAATACAAAATACAAATACAGATAGAAGTTATATAATATTTAATTTAAATTTTATTATTTTAAAAAAGAAAGAAATTTTAATTAAATTCTATTTAATTTAAGCATTTTAAATATATTTTTATTTTATTTATATTTAAATTTATTAAAAAGCTATAAATACTTTATATTTAAGGGGAAAAAAACTTAAATAAGATAAGACTTAGATAAGAAGATAAGCTTTTTTTAAAAAAAAAATACTTTTATATTATATGTAATATCTTTTAAAAAAAAGATATAAAATTAAAAAAATATACTTAAATAGCTAGTTTTAAGCTTATTTTAAAAGAATTTATATTAAATTTAATTAATTAATATTTATATATAATGTATTTTGTATTTATATTTTATATTTATGTATTTAAATACATGTATTTATATTTGTATTTGTATTTTTGTATTTGTATCTGTATTTTGTATTTTTAAAATTTTATGTATCTGTATCTATATCTGTATTTTTAAAATTTTATGTATCTGTATCTGTATCTGTATTTTGTATTTTGTATTTTTTGTATTTTCACAACTCTGCTTACATCGCTATTATGACCAAAAAGGCGCGGGAGGGCGTTGTTTTGCGTATGCACGTGGTAATCGTAAATGCAAACCTCTTCCTTTTGCTGTAATTAAGCCCCTTTAAGAAGTACTTTATCTTTGCAATAATAAGCAAACAAAAAAGGTAAACTAAGCATTTTAAGCCATTTAATACCTTTTTCATTAGCTAATTTAAATACCAGAAGCTTTAATTAGGGAAGGGCTTAAAGGGTCCAGAGGGGATGAATATTTAGCACTTGCGAGGCGCGCAGTAGATGCGTTTGAGCGGCTTGCATGCGCTGTGGAAATGCTTGCTAAGGGCGAAAGCGAGGGGGAAAATGAGGGTTAAAAAGACGCGAATACGCTGCGTTGGCGCGCGCGCGAAGAGGGTGTTTTTTTGTTTGCGGGGGGGGGGCGCGACTGAGTCAAATTTGCAGGGGGGGGCTGCGTTTCGTTTTCCACACACAGTACCTTCATTGAACATCAGTCCAGGACCTTAACAAAACATGTCTTTTTTTTTTTTCTCTCTTCCCCTTTCCCCGGCTGCTTGAACGCGAGAAAAAGCGATTAGTCTAGTTGCTCTGCCGAAGCACTGGGCTCAAGGTATACAGTCGCACAAGATTCTTCGAGGATGTCAGGCAAGATCAATTCGGGATTCACGACTCAGGTTTTGTATTTTGAAAGTGGACCGGAAACAGCTCTCGAATCTCCCAGGCGCCACCACATGGGCGAGAAGATAGCCCAGCCTCGGCAACATAACTCGCCACACGGGGACAGAGAGCCTCCCTGAGCACCGCATCCGAACGAGTTCGAGTCGGTGAGCTCTGGCTTGTTCACCAGCTGACACCGATATGCCCGTCTCATCAAGACCAATATCCCGTGCGAATCTTTTTGTTTTGCTTCTGTGTTCTTTGCCGAAGTACACATGTTCCGCGGCCGTCCTCGCTCTGTACCTAGGACAGGACTTCTATGACCCCCTTTTTGGAATACACAACAACGGAATGCTTGTCAGCGGCGCCGTCCGATGGGATCACACCGACTTTCACATCCGTATTCAGGTCCTGGTTGTGTCGAGGCCACCATTCTCTTCTAGTCTCTAGGGAAGGGTGCTCTGGCGGCTTTGACGGAGAGCGAAGTCTGCCGTCTGAGCCAATAAACTGCTCGGAAATGCCAACTTTCCGATTTGGCCAGATCCCTTTCCTTGTGGCTCCGATGAGGAGCAGCGAGTCTCGGATGGTGCAGCCGGCCCAAGCGTAATATCCGTTTGGATGTTCCAAGAACTTCTGACGAGTGAACCTTTCTGCTGAGCCGGTGGAGGAGGAATTCGTTCTCGAGGTTGTCGAGCTGCTCCGACGAGATTGGTCAATAGTTCCCAGGAAGAAGCTGGTTGGCGTCGGTCCAACGGCGACGGCGCACTCGCGGCGCTTGTCAAACGGCAATATGAGAGTTTTGTGTTCGCTGAATGCATTCTGCGCCTCTGTCAGTGGGAGTAGACACCCGGATACGGGCATCGTTCTGGCTTTACCTTATACTTTCCCCGAAAAATCTCCTCACCCACGCCATGGCCGATTTCCTCGAATTCATACGCGAAAAGGACTCCGTAGAGGTCTTGATTACCCCACGCGTACAGTGTTGAGCCCGAAGAGTCAAAGACGATGTCGACAAACTTGCCGACAGGATATTGCCACACCATCTTGATTTTCGATAACTCCTTGAGGGATTCGTCACTGTGACTCGGTCAGACTTTTCCAAGGTTGCCGGGACCATTTCAATGTTGAGGGACCAACTTGGCGTCGAGGATCAGTATCTCGTCGTTGTGTATCACCGCAATGAAGCCTTGCCTAGACACTGCCACCCTCCTGGTGGCATTGAAGTTCATATTTCTGGACGAATTTTGAGCACGAGATAGCTGCCCATTCGAGATTTTGTAACTCGTAACTATTTGAGTCAGAATGTAGTTTTGGAAGTCAGACTTGACGACTCACATTTGACCCCCAGACAACAAGATAGGGTTCTGCCACTTTGATCCCACGCCATCCGTGACCGTTTTGCAGCTGCTCAACTTCATGATGATCCGGTCTCTGGCTGTCGACGAGGAATAGCTCGATGCTCGTCTTGGTCAGATATGCCAACCTTTTGCCGTCCAAGTCATAATCGATAACATCGTGGGACGACAGTGGTAGTTTAACGAGGTGACTTGTTCCTTCTGGGTTGAACACAGGGGCCACTCGGGGTTCCGATGGTAGTAAAACATTCTCATGGTCCCTTTCTGCCAATTCCAGAGTAGGACTCAGCGGACCGGAGGCCCTGAATTGTACGTGCGCGATACTAGTATCGTTGGCGTGTGTGCGGAGATCCGCGACCCATTCATAAAGAGTAGTGGCAGACGGCCGCTTGCGAGGATTTACCTCCAATATTCTCTGGACGCATTGTGCCCAGCATCTCAAACAGACGCCCGGGGGGTGATGAACCGGTTCGTGTTCGGAGATGAAGTTTTTCAACCACTGCGAGACCTCCCTCCTCAGAATACACGGGAGCATAGTAGTTTCCCCCATATGCTCGGGTACGGTGGTGTAGAAGAAGTCGTTGAGCCACAGCTCGCCGTTTACGGTTGTCTGGCGCCTTCGCTCCTGCTTGAATCTTTCCACCCCTGAAGCGCCCCCTTCGGCGTACGCCAGGACCTCTGCAAATATTGCCCCAAATGACCAGATGTCACTGGTCCTTGCGCCGAAATCGGGATTGCGTCTGTCGTCTGAGTGTTCGATTTCTGGGGCCTGATAACTGCCTGGGATCCGTCTTGGAGACGTCCTGATGGTGTTTTCAACCCTGTTGAAAAAGTCTCCAGCTGAGCCTAGCTCGACTGTCGGAGAGCCTTGCAGACGTTCAGCGCCGAAGACCGATATTCCGAAATCGCAAAGCTTCCAATTTCCCACCACATCGTCTCTCTGGGTTGGTTCGAAGATGAGGATATTTGACGGCTTGAGGTCCAGGTGAGCGCACTTGATCTTCCAGTCATTCGCGCTAGTTGTGAACCCATTGTGAAGAAATTCCAAGGCCGAAGCTAGATTCTTGGACTGTCCCAGCAGAGACATCTTCAGTTGGTGAGCATCCGCGGCCCGAGGGAATTGTTCAGCCACGTTGTATATCTGACGCCATTGGCCTCTGGTGATGCCATAACCACCAGCGAGAAATTGTGCCAGGTCACCAAGACTGGCGTACGGTGACACGATACTCACGATTTCAGTGTCATCTTCCTGTATCTGTTCTATGATGGCATCGTGTATTGAGATATTATGGTTGGTCTGGAGGCTCTGCTTGAGGAGCTCCATGTTCCTTGCTTCTTCGATCATATTCTGCCGTGCCGAGAATGATTTGACTATTCTCAACAACGGGGCCTCCTATTTCGAGATCAGTATCAATCGATACTCAACCTAATAGGGTATACGACTTACTGGTCTCCATGTCTCCGATCTTATCGCGTTCCCTATGTACTCCTCGGGAATCCTGCAAAGCTTGTCCAAGTTAGCATAGTCCCCAAAACATGCTCAAGCTGTTGAGTGAACCTTGGGACCTACCCGGACTGTCCCATGTTGACTTTCGTAGCCTGTGTCCTCACCAAATCCACCATGAATCGTGACACCGGAGTGAACATGATCAATGAGCTCGAATGGGAGGGGAACTCGTGGGTCTTCGATTTGCTGAGGCTCCCACCGTTCAGCGGCGAATGTGATTTTTGCTGGCCTAAAAAGATACTGTACTTCCCAGCTGTGAGCCTGCAGTGGATTAAGGCCCATCCGCAGAAGGTCTCCTTGTTGTATTGGCCCATCGGCATCCTTGAACTTTGTGGTCGTGGACTCCGCGTCCCCGAAGAACACGTCTTGGCACGAGAGAATAAAGCGTGAGCGGACTCCAACCTTGACAAGGAAGGAGATGAACAAGAGAAGATGTTTAAGCAGAGCCTTCCTTTGGTCCTCGCTCAAATGCCCGAAGACAGCGTCAATTGGCCTCGGCTCGGAGCTCCAGATGCTCTCAAGATCGGAACGGCAAAAGAAAGATTTCTTTTCCGGCCCACTTCGACGTGAGACACGTTCACATCGAGCTAGAGCGGTTGAAAGGACGCCGTCCAAACAGTCTTCTATACGTCTCTCCAAGTCCCTGTCATCAATAGACCTCTGGCCTGATCCGCCTGGCGACCGGCTCATGCTTGACAGCGAGGATGATGCCAAGCTTCTTCAGGGCCTCTGGATTCATCTCCAAGCAACCGAGCTCTCATCTCCGGCGGAAGGATGATCAGCGCTCATCCATGACATCGGATTCGGTTCAGGTAATAAGGATAGTCAGGCCTAAGGGTGATGGCAAGCCGTTCGTGACGATTGAGGTCGTGTGCGGCACTCGCGAAATTAGGGGCAGGAGTGGGGAAACGACAGATGAATGAAGTTCAGGGCTGCAGGACAGCCTCCTTTGGGGTTGTTGACTCTAAGACATGCCAGATGACCATGTGTCCGGTCCAAGTCCTATGTACATAGCCTCCGCAGGGCTGTTACACCGATAACAAGACTCGACTCCTTCGCTGACGTGGCTAAGAGGCAAGATAAGCGACGCCCTGGCCGTCTGGGGGCCATGGTCGGGTACCGCTTCTCCAAACTAACCAGTTTGATACATGGTGCAGGTCTCTGTAGGATTGTGACCCAGGCTGCCAGCTGGGCAGGCAGCTGAGAAGGATCGCTTTGCAGCCCAAGACCTGCGATCGTAAATTTTGCCCACTGGGCATCCGAGTTCTCAGCTCCGTAGGCATTAAACTTCTGGAGGTGTCCTCAGCCTCACTGTGACATGCGTACCGTTTTTTTGTTAACTAGGTAGCTTCAAATTGCCATCTCGCAGCTATTCCCGTATACTTAGTTCTTCTAGTCAAATACTTTGGTATTCTGTATACCTAGAATGGTGTCGATATATTGGCTATCAGAGCCGGCCTTTCTCCGACGACGTGTCATTCGTATTCGTGAAGACATACCACCAACTTGAATAACTTCAGGATACCACATTGATCTTTTCGCTTTGCCTATATCATCTTTCTTTTTTTCTTACACCCACTTTTTGGAAAGGAGGGTCGAGCCGGTTGCCCAAGATGGACATAGACGTCTTGAGTTCATCGTCTCCGGGTCTTCTCCGTCTATTGCCTGCGTTCAGTCCTACTGGGCCTAATTATCGTCCCATTTCTGTAGGACCCAAACTAGTGCTGGCCGAATTCGTCCGTCGGGCTGCGTGCCCGTTGAATGCACCGTTGGAACCCCAAACCACAAGTGCTTCTTCTCTAAACTGTCCCCTTTCAGCCGCCTTTTTGGACGCCGAGTTCAGATTGTCTATACAATCGCGGAGCATCTCAGGGTCTGAAGGATTTCTATCCATGGGAACCCACCAGGCCTTCTTCCAGTTTCCGTTCCACGCCTTGAGAGCTGCCCCAAAGGGCCAGAAGAATTCCTTGCTGGAGTTTGACTCAGCCAAGGATCGAGGTACAGTGACAAGGGCAAAACTCACGAGAAAATACACCGAAACTGACCAGGCATCCGAAATTCCGCCCTTGTCGTTGGTCTCAGCCCGCACGTCCCACCAGACCGAGCTTGACACAACGATCAAAAGCAAGGATCCCACGAGGCCGATCCACGCCGCCAGTGGCTGGGGGAGAATCCCTTTTGTTACGATACGGCCTTTCGAAATATATTCCTGGTAGTGACTGGGGCGGCTATCGTCGTCCAGATTCCGCAGGCCGATGGCGCAATAATTACACCTGCAATGAATCAGTGGCAATTCCAGCTGTGGGAATCCAGACTTACCAGGTTCGGAATCTGATGAATGCCAAACAAAGGCATATCCAAACCGCTATAAAGGCCATACTCGACGTAACGAAGAGAAATTGTCTCATCTGAAGTATTCAAGACGTTAGTGGAAGTCTGTAACTAGTGTTACGTCAAGACCGTTTCTGCATATCAGAAGCCAACTCACACTGGCCAAAGTCTTCCAGTCACCATTCCATGCGAAGCCTAGGAAGGGCACCCAGCAGAAGATAAGCCACGAGAAGACAACCGAGTAGAACGGAACTCCTGTTCCCGGACGAGTTGACCCGAGGTACCGTATCAGAGGGTTTGTGAGCCCCTTTCGTTTTACTCTTTCGCTCGATGCAAGACCGTACAATGTGCGACTGGCGATGTACAGTGCAGCGTTGCCACAGGACAGTACACTATATAGAATGACAACATTTACAAAGTTTGCTAGGCCCCTGACGTCTGCATTTGGGGGGCCGTCCTGTGGCCTATTAATGTTGCAAATCGCTTTGACCACAGCAACCGTCGACTTGTAGCATTCGTCAGTCGAGTTGAACGTGTTGAAAAGGCCACTGTCGGGATCGGCAGAAGCCCTGGTGACATTGACCCAAGGGTGAAACGACGTGACATCAGAAGAATCCCATGGAACGGTAAACATCATGCCGAGGATGTAGAAGAAGTGAAGACCGATAAGGATCCAGTGGATAGATCTCGATGCAAGTGCGATGTCGCCTATCGTTCTTGCTTCAAAGGCTGCCATCGTAGTGCTCTCGATCCCTCCGAAGCTCCATGCGACCAGGGGCAGAGCCATGCTGGGGATCAAAGTCAGTCCATCGGCTGATTCTGTTGAGCGAGCTCAGTGCGTCCGACTGACCAGAATGCTGTCCATGTATTGTCGGTGTAATCTGGGTTGGGCTCGAAGCCTCGGCCAATGGCTGCAGTCAGTTTTGTAAGTAACCTATCCTTATAATTCTATGAGCGTACGTGGGCGACTTACTCGCGTTGTCTCCTGTTGCCAGTCCATCTGCTCGCTGTAAGTATCTGGTGGCGTGCATGTGCAACATTTTTTTTTTTTTTTAAAAAAGTCCAGTGAGATACTAACATTTTCCAGCCACTGCATAGAAGGCGATAGACAAGGTGAGAATGAGCAGCACTTTTAACAGCCCACCCGCAGTCTCCACCCAGCCGAAATACTTGGTACGGTCAGCTGAGCTTCATTTCAGATGAAGGGGCTCTAAGAGACCACGTAAGCACCTTGACATTGATCGAATTGATCACAACGCAGAACACCGGGACTGTGACATAGAATATGACGCCGATCGCTACGTGGTCAAGGCCCCAGTATTCAGTTATAGAGGCAGCCGTGAGCATCTCCAAAGAACGTCGTAACCCAGGCGTACCTATTACATTCGATTGATTAGTGCATGGACTATCAGGTGTTGCAAAGACATGCCACCGTCTTCTCACCCAATCGACCAGCTCAGGACTTGACACTTACCAGTACGAAAAACCGACGACCCACCCGAGTTCATGATCCACAAAGTTGTAGACGTACTCAAAGACTGCATTGGGCGTGGGAAACAGCTGGACGAGGTGGCTGACAGTATCGCCAATACAGGCGGCGATGACACTGAGAATCAGGAATGCAACCAGAAGCCCAAGCGGCCCCACAAGCTGAAGTGCATCCAGGTCGGTCATATAAATGCCAGCTCCTATGAGATCACTGAGCACTATGAACTATGACACTGTCAGAAGCCAAACGGGTGATTCTTTCAGGCCAGCACGAACCAAGATCTGCTGCCCGCTCAATTCCTGTCTGATTCGAGGCGTCTCAGTCAAAACGTGTTCAAAAATGGAGGCAGCTACAATTCTCACCGTAGTTGCCCTGCGCCCATCGCATCTTCAACAGTCACCATCGTCTTGCTCGGAGAGGACTCTCAACTTGACTTTGAGCTGCTGTGAGCCCTGTCGCCTGATGATTTCGGGTGATGCCTCTCGGAGAGATCAATGTGGGATCTTTGAGGCCAAATGGAACGAGCAAGGAGCCGGTAATGCGTAGCAGAATCTCATGAGCGAAATCGTATCAAGCGGTAATTTCTTTACTGTGGTTTGGCTTGCGTTGTCGTATGTAGATGCTCACGATATTGTGGTTAAAGGCCGAGACTAGGTCGGGGAGAGCCGTTGGGAATGGCTGAGCCGGGAATTTTGAGGCTCCAACGATGCCCTGCCGATTGCCAGGATGGCGTTCTTGGGCCTATCTACAAGTCCGAGCATTGAAAATGCCGAGATTTGCCTTGTGGTTCGCCCAAGGACGAACCGGGCGGCGGAGTTGGAACACCAAAAGACAAATTGCAGGTACCGGCCTGGAGGCTTGGAGGTAGCTGTGACCTCGAGCCAGCGATCAGCAACATAATCCTTCAGGAAACACCAATGTAGGGTCAGTCACGCCTGGGTGGTCCGATACCACCAATCACGCTGCCCGAGGAGCCAGCCACGGCCGGAGAACACATCACCATGCAGCACTATGAGAGGGCCATCGCCAAGTTCCAACATTTCCCAGGCCGCGGGGGCCATTGCCTCAATCTTGGGATTATCGGGGCGCTCCCATGCAAGCCACCGGTGAGCATGTGGTGCCGCAGCCCCGGCCAGCGTACAAATCGGACGTATCAACCACCCCTGCAGCAATACTGGTGTGTGATAACAAACGCCACGGTCCATTTGGGCATCTAGGCATCCAAGTGGATTGCGGTGCTCAAACTGTGACCCCCGGATTCTGCCTGCTTTCCCATTCACACGGGAAACAGGCAGACAGTCGAGAAAAAAGCGAGGCTGCAAGGCCTTCATAGGAAAGTCAGTACAATATATGCGCACAACACGGCATCGCAGTGGAATCAGCCACTCCATGAATCTCCTTTTCACATCACTTCAGTCTCGAAGTCTCCTCAGCGCCGCACCAATACCCCCGTGAAGTGGCCGAAATGGTGAAGATCGTTGTCCCAAGTCATTACAGCCGGTACATTGTTACTGCCAGTGACCTGGAAAGTTACCTGCAGAACCAGTTTGGTGAAGGCAATGATTTTCACATTGAGGTGCTCCTTAACCTCGTGCGTTGCGCCATCGTGAACCACTGGCTGACCACTACCGACAGCATACCAACGACCTGTGGCATTTCGAAAGCCCGAGGGAACTCTCAAATGTACGTTGCCGACACCAGCGCCCTTACTACTCGACTCCTCAATTACTGATGCTCATTTCCCGCAGAAACAACTCATGTATGGGTCTTGTATCACATCATAGGACGTAGGACTAACCGTACAATCCCCAGGAGAATGACAAGGGATATCATCGACCGTAGAAGCGCGGCAAACCGCAGAGCGCAGAGGCGTACTTGGTGAGCTCGGAACTGAGAAGATGAAGATCGGGGGCGTGTTCTTAGCTTCTTCTGGAGGCCGGCAGGAACAGACGGGGTGGCATGCGGGGGCCCTGGCGTTGTAATGGGAGGTGGCGGAGACAGGATGCAGGCGGAGCATATGTGTACAAAGGCAGTTAGGCGAACGCTACGCTGAGAGGATGGCACACCTCAAGGCACACAGATAACGGCAGACAAGGGGGGTGGTCAGCATTGTGCAACCTCGGACGGTTGTCTTCAAGTAAACCCTTGCCTCGTTACCCCCAAAATCCGAGAGCTGAATGTGAACTGTTTGACTGTGGTGTATCTCGACCTCTTGCTTTGTGATCACCTGCAGTCTCTAATTATATTGCATTCAAGCCTCGAAGCTGCTTGGAGACCACGATGAGCGGAGCTGATACGGAACTTATCGAAGAGCTGTTCCAGGACCAAAACTTGGATCCCGAGGATGTTTTCTGCTCAGAGGGCGGGTGCTTCCAAGTGATTGACATCAGGGGTGGTAAGCTCGACAAAAGGACCATTCTGTGCATGCTTGCTGGAGATCCATTTGAATGACCGAGGCTTTCCAGGTAACGTCAAACATCTCGAGATCGACAACGAGGTCAGCTTCCAAGACCTTCTGGCCCCGAAAAATATTTCCGGAACCCGCATCATGTGTGTAAATTCATACCTCGCCGTGGGTATCACCAGATTGCTAAGAGCCATTCCAACCTCGACAGCTCCATAAGTGGGCAAAGCACGGTCTTCAACCTTGACATCAGTCTTTCGTGGACTACAAGGCTTTTCGAAGCATACAAAGTCCACCCAGAATTCTACCGAACTTTAGTGTCTTTCGGAAATGGCCCCCATTTCGCAGAAGCTTGCGACGGGAATGACCTGCTTTGTAAAAGGTCGAACGGCACATGTGAGCAATTCGCAAGCCAGGGACACACATAAGACGAGGGAAAATTCTGACCGTGTGGATGCAGATACCTTGTCATACAAGCTCAACTTTGTCGAACTTAATAACCGGAACGTGAGTGAGCGTTGGTCTTCGAGACATCTCGGGGTATATCACCAGCATGAGGCAGATTTCGACCTCTATGTGTTGGTTCACTGCAGCAGGTCGAGTGCACTGTACAGCAGATTCACGCCTACGTCGACGGGCCCGCATGGCCAACATGATCAGTTGCAAGATATTGTACAGAATCAGGGAAGTCTCCATGACCTTGTCTTGCAAACATATGTCCGCAACTGGCGGCCGTACTTGAGCTCATCGGGAAACGAGCTTTCCAAAATGGTGAGCTCGAGAATGCCCGGAATGGATCTATAAGCAAGCATATGCTGATAAACTGTCCTGTAGAGTAATCAAGCCATGGTAGCCCAGGTGACGGAGGCCGGAACTCAAAGCTATGTCTGGCTACGCCGGCTCAGATCGCTCAGAGACCGCGTGGACTTGGCCTCGGGGCACTGCATGAGCAACCTTGCGGTCATCGAGTCGATACGCCGGAGTCAACAGACCAATGTGGAAAACAGGGACGCCCAGAAGCTTTCAGCAGCCCAGAAGACCATCGAAAGTTGTGTGAAGAACTCTCAACTCTTGAAAGATCGCATTGATAATACCATCGAGCTTGTAAGTGTGCCAAACTTTGAAACGCTGAGATCTCCTGATGGGTAATTAAGTTCTAATCATGACCCAGATCAGTTGCACTTTGACAATCCACAGCCATGAAGAGGCAGCCAAGCTCGTTCATGAGATCAAGGTGCTCACGGAGGAAACGAGCAGCGTCACCAAGAAGCTAACCCAGATCGCCGAAAACTCTGCACACAGCGGAGAGATCATAAGGGTCATCACCATTGTCTCCGCCATCTATTTGCCAGGCAGTTTCGCCACCGTAAGTGCTCCGACCCTCAAACATTCACCATCGCCTTGTTTCTAATCTTGTGTGTTTTGTTTGGCACACCCAGTCAGTCTTCGGGATGAATTTCTTCGACTTTGTCGAGGGAAAACGACGGATCGCTGTTGCCAAGGACATATACATATTCGTGGCATTCTGGATCGGGCTGACAGTCCTGACTGCCGCCACTTTCTTCTGGGCCTACATGCGTGGCAGGAAAAGACTGAAAAAAGTTGAAGAGGCCGCGTTTGAGGCCATGACTCAGACTTCGGCTAAGCGGTCTAGTGGAGTTCTATCGTCGACAAGTGGTTTTGAAAGACCCGGGGTGGTATGAACAGCCAGCACACTGGCACAGTAGAAAGCATGCGTCGATAGATTGATGACCGTTTTGTTCGGGGGGACACTATTAGATAACTCTGGACGGTACAAGGTATGTCATTTGGCTGTGTACTTAATTTATACTTTTTTCCGAGCCCCTTCCGCCATGAAATCCATCCACGGAGTTGCAATGCATATCTATCTGTCCTGTCTGTGTAATTGTCCTTGGTGCCGCCCAAGGGGTGAGCCTCTGTGAGAGAGATGCTACGGATTACCTGGCCGCCAGTCTTTCCTGCATTCCCCAACCAGGACTTTGGAACTCGTAGGCTCTTGCATTTTGGAGGGAGAAGTGAGAAGGAACAGCGACCAGACAAATTACAGAATACCAGTGAAGACGTTGAGAGTTGGTGCACACAGGCCAATCCCAGGCGGGCACGAGTGTGCCAAAACAGTATCTGACAGGCAGTTGTTTCGATTCATGCCGGTAGAGGCGTATTGGTCTGAATTGCTTTGCATCTAGAAGATCATTTGCGTTATCCAGAACCCATGGTCTGATTAGAATAACGCACTCCAACCACGGCGTCGCGCACCTATCGAGTACATTTACACATTTTATGCCAGCCGTGCTTACCCTGATATTGCTTCTTCCCTGGCTAACAAGCTTGGCAACTTTTCAACCTTTTGAATCCTACTGTACTAGTAGTCTTGGAGTAGAAACCCGCACATAAATAGTTTCACGGCTGGAACTCCGCAAAGAATACCCCCCCCCCCCCCAACACGCGGGAGGGCGCCTGTGAAACGGGCCAGCCGCTGACGCGATAATGAAGCACATGTCATTGTATTCCCCAGAGTAGTCATCTTCCGAGGCCTTCAATCACCGTCGTACAAATCCTCGCCCTCGGCGTCCTCCATCTCGAGATCCTGCACCAGCACGTGTTGCGAGGGCGCACTGGCCGACGCGCGCATGACGGTCTGGTTCAGCTCCTGGATTTCCTCCACCGCACGGTTGAACCTCTGCACAGACGACTTGAGGTTGGCTCTCTTGGCCGCCGTGCTGGGCTCCTCCTCCATGAGGCGCGCAAATACGTCTGGGTCGTACGGGGCTGGGCCACCGGCCAGGCCCATCTCCTTGTCCAGGTGCATCTCGATATCGCTGATGAGCTCGGGGAACAGGCCGGACGTGAACTGCATGGCGGTCACGTCGATGAACCGCATCGCGGCCGTGAGGTAGTATCCCCTGACGCGTGCAGCCACATCCAGTTCGGGGGCGTATTCGTCGTCTCCAAGCTTGAGCTCCTCCTTCTGGATCCGTTGCTCCTCGTTGCGGCGCGCCTCAGCGCTCAGCTTGCCCCAGTCCTCCAGCTTCTCGGGGGAGGGGTCGTTGTTGTAGGCCTTCCATCGGTAAAAGTGCCGACTGCGACGTAGCATCTGGGTCTCATGGCCCCGGTGACGCTGGAACGACTCATCGTCGGTGGTGTAGACCTTGGTCGTCTCCATCTTGTAATTTCTGTAGAGGTACTCGAGAATGCGCTGCTTGTGAGCCTTGAGCCACTCGGCAGTCAGTCGCTTCGCATCCCGGTAGACCTGCCTCTTCTGCAAGTCCCTATATTTCAGTCAGTAACAATTCTGCGACCAAGGCCTCATTCCTGACTTACTTGAATGATTCGTTCAGAGAGCTATCCAGCTCCCGGCGAAGCTGGGTCATCGTGTGGTCCAGGAACCTGTGCAGAGGGCCCTCCCAGGTAGTCACCGCTTCAACACACAACTTTTCAATCACGTCGTACGGTACCTCGCCAGGCTTTCCAGCTTCTCGCTCCGACCTGATCAGGTTACGTATCTGTGCCAGTGTCTTGCTGGGAACCCTACCACCGGCATCAGACAGTGGCCCAGGTGCGATCCCAGGTGTTTGCGCCGGCACATCAGTCGCAAAAGAGCCGTTCCAATCCTCAACCTTTATGACGCCGTTCTCCCCTCTGCGTCGCTGAGCAGAAGGCGTAGAGACGCTGTCGCCAGTCAGATCGAACACCTGCCGGTTGCGCTTCACAGACAGGCTCGGGGAGTTGTTAGCACTGAAGACCGAGTCCCTATCGCTGGCGCCCGAGCCGATTGGCCTATCAATCGCGAAGCCCTCTGGCATCACTCGGTAGCGAGGCTTGAGATCGATCACCTTGATCCTGAATGTCTCCGCGATCTTGCCCCACGAGGAGAGGAATACCTTGCTCCTGAGGCGCGACTGGAATTCCTGGGTGAACTTGAGGAGGCTCCTGCGTACTTCGTACTCGGGATTCGCGGGCATGTCGGGCAAGCGAGCCAGCTGCTCCTTCGCGAGGCTGAGCTTCTTGTTGAGCTTCTTCTCGAGGTCGGGAAGGTTCCTGGCGAACTCCTGCGCGAGTGACTGCGCGAGAAACTTGACCAGCTGGTCGATTCCGCAGCGCTCGTCGAAGTGTCGAAACTCCTCAGGCCAGCTCCCCGTGGCACGGTTGAAAAAGGCCTCCTCGGCGGCGTGCTCGTCCCGGAGGCTCTGGCGATCTCGACGCTGCAGCTCATGCCCATCGCCGTTCTGGAGCGAGGGAGGCGCCCGCGAGGTGATGAAGTACCCACGGCCAACTTGATGTTGCTGGCCAGCCCTGTCATCCAAAGTCAGTATCTCCAGGTAGGTGGTGACAACATTCGGGTGTGACCTACAGCATCTCCAGCCACTGGTTGTGGCCACCGCGTGGGAGTAGGTCAGCCTTGGTCATGACGCCAATGGTGCGTTGCTGAGCCCGGACGTTCCGGATGAGGGCGTATGTCGAGGATGTCTCGGGGTCATGGTTCATGGGCACGGCCCACAAGATGATTGCCTTCTCGTGAGAGATGTACTCGCGAACGAGATTCTCGACCACCTTGACCAGGAACTGGTCCTCCTCGTGCTTGGCGTTGCGGAAGACACCAGGCATGTCGTAGAAGGAGAGGTCCGGCAGGCCTGGGCCTTTAACCTCGATGGCCACGGTGTTTGGGCTAAACTTGGCCTCGGTGGTGCGCTCGGCCTCGGCAAGACGGCGGGCCTCGTACTCTGGCTCCTTCTCCTCGGCAGTCCGGAGGTCCCAGTCCTTGGGCACGTACTGGGTGAAATTCCGGCTGTGGTTGAGGATGGCTATCTGAGCCCACCTGACTATCTCGTCGATGGGATCGGTCTTGTTGTAGATCATCTTGAACTCTTTTGTGTTTCTTGTCTGCTTCAGCCAAGGAGGGAAAGGGTTGTGCTCCGTGACATCAGCCTCGGTGATGGGCTCGTCGTTGGGCGGGCGATAGGCATAGTCCTGCTGGAGGGAGACGCGGCAGCGCCATGTGGTGTCACTGGAGAGACGGATGTGGACGGGGCAGCGCGTACAAACGCCGTCGCTGCGGGGCAGTATGATCTGAGAGATGGCCGACATCAGGCTGGACTTGCCTGATGACTGGTCGCCGACGAGGATGAGCTCAGGCAGCGGGGTGTCATGGTGGATGCCGAGCGACTGGAGGGAGCCCAGGGTGTCGTTGAAACTCTTCAAGTGCTGACCGATGTCCTTGAGGTTCTTGTCGATGTCGCCCGCCTCGGGCACGTGGATATCATGGTGGGCGACGGCCTCTGGGTCCTCCTTGAAGGTCCTTGGCCGCACCTGCATGAAGACGACATCCTCTCCCATCTCGGAGTGCTGCTGGCCGGCATAAGCGGTGGCCACGGTAGCTGGGTTGATGTTAACAACGTGAGGGAAGACAGAACAGTTAGGAATGGAAAAGGGGGGGGGGGGCAGGAGGAAAAGCAAACTCACGGGCACCTGATCGCTGGGCACGCCTCGCATCGGGAGAAACAACGGAGCTCGAAGTGGCTGATGGGGCCGGCCTGTTGGGTATGGCGGACCGGGGGGTGACGGCAGCGGGAGTCCTCGAGTTGGAGGGCCGAGGAGGCGTGGCAGTGCGGTTTGGAGCATGATGAAGGCCGGGCTCTGCCTTGATGTGCCTATTCCGGCTGCTGGGGCATGGTGCAGGTGCAGATGATACGATGATATGGTTGTATGACGAGAGCCAGCTAGCTCATGTGCCTGGTATGAGAACAGCACGAGACTGCCTGAGGGTCCGAGGCTTGGCACAAATTAAATATGTCAAGAGTTGCAAGTGTGGTTGAGGAGTCTGGATATGGTGATGACGGTTGGAGAAGCAAACTTGGCCTCTCAAGAAGTGGGTATCAGGAATGAAAACGTGGAGGAACGCGTTGGGAATACAATGAGGCTATCGAGTACAGAGTATGAATTGCGAGGTCAAGACAAACGGTAGACAACCGGGGAATGAATGAATGGGCAAGTGAGAGATTGAGTGAATGAATGAATGAGTGAATGAACGAGTGCGAAGACGCGACGAGGACAGGCTCGAGGGCGCGACAGCAAGCCTGCAAGGGTGAGGTTGCTGGCGTTGGCGATGTCCCCAGGCGGACACAGAAATGGTCAAAATCTGTTAGGCAGGAGGTGGAAGGAGGGGTGAGACTGCTAGCAAACACTAGCTGGGACAGGAGGGAATTTGGTGCAGGAAGCTCGAGGTTGAGCTGCGACAGGCGCTGCAAGGGGAGCGAAACTGAGTGGCTGGGGAACTGGGGGTTGCACTTCCGGCCCAGCAATCAGCTTCTGAATTATCCAGGTAGGCTACCTGGGTAGAACTCTACCCAGCATTAGGCCTAGATACCTACCACTAGGGAGGCAAAATTCACGGCCATCCCATACAAATGGTGTGGGAGACTGTGAATTGTCGGGTGTGACAGTGAGTGCTGTAAAGGGGACAGACGAGAGCACAGTCCAAGTCCAGGGCCAGGGGGAGGAAGGTTTGCAGAGCAAACTCGAACAATGAACACCAGCTCACCAGCACTGTCCTGCACACTTTGATTGCCACCCCACCATACGCCAACACCATGCCAGCTTCTCTTCTTCTGCTCAGGATGCAGTTGCATCAACAAGCATAATCTGATGAAGACCAAGATCGGAAGGTGGACCATTCCATGCGAGGACGAGACGGGTATTACACAGAGGACAGTATGATCTCATCTCTCAAGTTGGGGGCGACAGACCAGATCAGATGCCTGGCAGAAAGAACCACAAGCAGATAGGTAGTAGACATTGAAGGTGGTTCCACAGACTCCAGACTACTGGACAGTATATCACAGACAAAAGGGGACAGAAAAGGCTGCTGGCACAGGGGAAGAGAGGAGCACACAGGAACGGAAAACGAGGAGAGAAAGGGATACCACCGAATGCTGCACCTGAACACAGAGGCCAGCACCAATACGGTTTGTAGATCGAGGGGCGTGCATGAGCTGCAAACTGAAGGGGAGATGCGTCCCAATGACAATGGCTACAGTCATGGCCACAGTCATGGCGCCAGTCTTTGCAGAAAAAAAGCAAAGAGATATTGAGGTCGAACGGAGTTGAAGGCAGGCTCGAGGAGGGGCCCATAAAATGTAGGGAACTGCAGGTGCAGGCCATCCACTATCCCCAGAGGTCCAAGGCCCTGGACGTCACTTGCAGGGGACCCACCTCTAGTCCCTGTGGGGACAGGTGAGCTGTGGCCAGCAGGCGGGAGACGGGAGGTGGGAGGGAAGGGGTGCAACATTTCGGTGACACAACACCACCCAAACCAGACCAGGCAGGATTCCAGATCAGGACAACATCATCTCAAGACACGACACCACCAAATCCTCTACCAACCACCATTCTCTTTCTCTCCTTAACCATCTAGACTATCTCCTCTGGTCAGATCCCTCCCTCCTCCCTGGGCCTGATACAGCTATCTCAACACGTCCTTCCGTCTTGTTCTTGAACCCCTCACGGCCTGCCCACCCATGTCCCTCCAGATCCCCCATCGGCCACGGCCCAACGGTGACCACCACGGCGCCACCAAGGCTGTGATTCTGGTCAGTCCCAGTCCTAACTCTTCTCCTTCCTATAAGCAAGACCACAAATTCCAAAATTGGAATACTGACAATCCCTGTGTTTGCAGGTTGGCGGCGCATCTCGAGGCACCCGCTTCCGACCTCTCTCCCTCGACGTCCCCAAGGTTCGTCTACAAACTAAACTGCCAGCTCCAGCTCCACCAAACACACAACCACCCCGTTGCTTGCTGGCTGGCTCACCTGCTTGCTCAGCAGCCACCGGCAACAACAGCAACACAAGGCTAACAGTATCACCACTACTATTATAGCCCCTCTTCGACGTCGCCGGCCACCCCATCATCCACCACTGCCTGACCGCCATCTCCAAAGTCCCCTCCATACACGAGGTCTACCTCATCGGCTACTACGACGAGTCCGTCTTCCGCGACTTCATCAAGGATGCCGCCTCCGACTTCCCCAACCTCTCCGTCAAGTACCTGCGCGAGTACCAGGCCCTGGGCACCGCCGGCGGCCTGTACCACTTCCGCGATGCCATCCTCAAGGGCAAGCCCGAGCGCCTCTTCGTCCTAAACTCGGACGTCTGCTGCTCCTTTCCCCTCAACGAGATGCTCAAGCTCTTCACCGAGAAGTACGCAGAGGCCGTCATCCTCGGCACCCGCGTCAGCACGGAGGCCGCCACGAACTTTGGCTGCATTGTTAGCGACAACCACACCAAGCGCGTTCTGCACTACGTCGAGAAGCCGGAGGGCCACATCTCAAACCTCATAAACTGCGGCGTCTACCTCTTCAGCACAGACGTCATCTTCCCCTCCATCAAGAGCGCCATCAAGCGCCGCGCAGACCGCCCGCGCCTCGCCAGCTACGCCAGCAACGAGAACCTCGAGAGCTCCTTCGTCCTCGACCAGGACGACGACGACGACGACGAGAGCAAGAGCCAGATCATCCGCCTCGAGCAGGACATCCTCAGCGACATGGCCGACAGCAAGCAGTTCTTCGTATACGAGACAAAGGACTTTTGGCGCCAGATCAAGACAGCCGGCTCCGCCGTGCCCGCCAACGCCCTCTACCTGCAGCAGGCCCGCCAGAACGGCTCCAAGGAGCTCACTGAGCCCTCGGCCAACATCATCCCTCCCGTCTTCATCCACCCCTCGGCCCACGTCGACCCCACCGCCAAGCTCGGCCCCAACGTCTCTGTCGGGCCCCGCGCCACCATCGGCCGTGGCACCCGCGTCAAGGAGTCCATCGTCCTCGAGGACGCCGAGATAAAGCACGACGCCTGCGTCATGTACTCGATCGTCGGCTGGGGCTGCAAGGTCGGCGCCTGGGCCCGTGTCGAGGGCACACCCCTGCCCCTGACCAGCCACACCACCAGCATCGTCAAGAACGGCGTCAAGGTCCAGTCAGTGACCATCCTTGGCAAGGAGTGTGGCGTGCGCGACGAGATCCGCGTGCAGAACTGTGTCTGCTTGCCTTACAAGGAGCTGAAGCGGGTGAGTCCCCAGGCTGCGGCTATCCCTGGAATAGTTAACATTTATGCTAACCTCAACACAGGATGTTTCGAGCGAGGTCATCATGTAGAGGCGGCCTTTAAAACGGGGAAGGGAATTGAAAAGCGACACTAATGATACCATCTTTGTTGTTTGTTTCTCCGTCTTTCGCTGCTGCCATACAACGGATATCTTCAGTGGGACGTCCGGCTGCAACAAGACCAAGACGAAACACGCAATGCTGTCTAAATACATAAAAATTTCAAATCGCGTGCTTCTGAGCCCTGAGCAGAGCACCCTATCACTGAAAGTATCGGGTGTTGGCCTGTACAGGCATGTATGTGCATGCAGTTAGATGCTGGGCAGTAATCTGTCACACTTGGGGTTGGATCCATGTCCCTTCGCATCAGCTCAAGAACAGATTCAAAAGACTGCCTAGCAGAGAGGCATAGAAGAGACTCCGGCAATGAATGATGCAAACAAAACGAGAATTCAACCAATTCATAATCTCAACTGACGGAGGTGGGTTTCGTGCGTGCCTGGGCCAGGTGCTAGCCGCCAAGTACATGCCAAGACAAATCGGGCGATGTCCCGCCCTGACTCGTTCTGGAGAAGAAGTACATAGAGCCCCGCCGGATCCGCTTGACATCCAGAAAAGTCTGCCTAGTATAGTGGTTAGTACACTTCGTTGTGGTCTTCTCCAGAAGAGCTCATACGGTCCGAAGAAACCCATGTTCGATTCATGGGGCAGACATTCTTTTGGTCCATTCAGAATTATGACAAGTTCTCTTTTGTTTTTGTCTTGTTTCGTGTGCTCCAACTCATTCAACAGTCCGATGCCAGTGTCAAGTCATGATGGCTGTCACGTTGTGTTGTACCCATGTTCTTACTCTTACCTGGTATGTCGCATTCTTCAATATATCTGGGCTGATTTGAGGCAAGATGCACCGACTGGTCTGATAGTGTCTGAATGCAGATGCACCCTTTTTATCGACATTGGCTTTGTTACTTCTATCATATCATGGACACCATGTACATACTCGCCCGATCTGGCTGCCACGTGGTCGAGGGCAGCAATAACTTAGGCAGAAATAACATCAGCGAGCTCGGTACTAGGAACAATGTAAGGCGCCCCCTTTTGCTGTGCGAGGGTCTTCTGTTCGAAATCATAGGCGAGCCCAATGAGCTTCTCCTCGCTGAACCTTGCGCCCATAAACGCAAATCCGAATCTATTTGGGCCGGTTGTCAGCACCCTGGACATCAAATCAGGACATCTGGACTTGAAGAAATGGAAAGACTTACGGTATACCGGGTGCGGTGCCGATCAACTCCCTCTGAGAAGGGACCACGCTCGTCCCATTCGGGAAGAACCCCAGTGGCACGGTGACAATGGGACTGCCGACCAGGGCGGGGAAGGATGACGAGACGGCCGTCAATGAGACCACTGCATCGAGATTGTCCCTCTCGAGGGCCCCGAGGATACCACCCGGACCGCCTACTGCGAGGTTGTTAAGGTGGGCGTCCCAGAACTGAGGGCTGGTGTTGTTGAAGCCGCGGGCGAGGGCACCGTCCCAGATCGCCGTGTCCCGGTCCGGCCAGTCCTCGGCGGGGAAGCCGTGGGTAAAGGCCGTCTCGGCGACGAGATCGGAGATGTCGTTCGGGTTCTCGGTGAGCTCGTCCAGGTACTGCACGAGGTTGACGATGAAATCCGCGTCGAGCCCGATGGTCTCTGTGCTGGAGTCGTTGAACCACTGGTCCACGGCCGTGAAGTTGGCGCCCTCGACGACGGTGGCGCCTGCGTCGCGGAGGACGTCGAGGGCCGCCTGAAAGGCCGCGAGGTTGGCGCTAGAACTGGCGTTGGCTATCGTGTCGACGCCGTAAGAGGCATCCATCAGGTTACGGGCGACGCCGATGCGCGCACCGCTGAGGGAACCTATTTTGCAGGCCTTGACGTAGTCTGGGATAGTGCCGTTCTTGAAAGGGATGGCGGACGTGTAGTTGTCGTAGGGGTCCTCGCCGGCAATGGCAGAGAGGATGTAGGCCGCGTCCTTGACGGTTCGTGCCATGGGACCAACTGTGTCCTGGTGCTCTGATATTGGGATGACCAAGTTGCGCGAGGTCAACCCAGCGGTCGGCTTGATTCCGACAAGGTTGTTGACATCCGAGGGAGATACGATTGAGCCGTCCGTCTCGGTGCCGAGACTCGCGAGCGCAAGACCGATGGATGAGGCCACGCCGCTCCCACTGGAACTGCCACTCGGATCCTGATTGGGGTAGAAGGCGCCATAGACCTGCCCACCGTAGGCGCTCCAGCCGTTGGTCGAGTTGTTGGAGCGGTAATTCGCCCACTGGCTCAAGTTTGTCTTGCCGAGAATGACCACGCCGGCCTCACGCAGCTTCCTGGCGACCTGGGAATCACGGGGGACCTTTGCGCCGACGAGGGACCAAGACCCCGCGGTGTTGTTCATCTGATCGGCCGTGGCGATGTTGTTCTTGATCAGGATGGGAATGCCGTGCAACGGGCCCCTGGACGTGCCATTTTCTCGCTCATTGTCGAGTTGCTCCGCGATGGCGACAGCATCGGGGTTGATCTCAGTAACCATGTGAAGGGTGCCATTAACCTCCAGAATTCTGGCGATATAGGCGTTGACAAGGTCGACGCTGGTGAAGGCGCCACTGTCGAGGCCTTCTGCGAGCTCATCAACGGTAGCATCGATGAGAGAAGGGATCGCATATGACTGTGTTTGGTGTGTGCCAGCTGGATATTTTGTCAGCTAAGGGATTTGACACGTTGTAATCTTTGGTATGCATCACCTTCTTTGCGCACAACAATGTTGCGGCCCTCCGTTAGAGGAACAAGAAGCAGCCATTGGACGACATAGAGGCCCAGTAGATAGAAGGACGCCATTCTGACAACCGCAGCAGTAGCTGACTGTCGACCGGAGCTCTTGGGTTCGCTCTCCAGAGTATGACCAACGTCCAGGGACCAACCGTAGGCACGGGACTTGTCTTTGCGAGGTCTGGATGCCACCACGGCCGTGAGAATACCCATGGTGTGGAAATGGCAGCGTCTTATATCTACCCCATGTTTATCCCAATCTCACCACTGCGTGCAGAGTCAGCAACAGGGATGGAGGTCAACGCTCGTCAGGGGCACACAGATAACGCTACCTTATTAGTGCTATAGTACAGACACCTGGTAAGCAGCAGAAGGTAATAAGTTCTATCCCGGCAGCCCGGCTGGATGGGTCCAGCCGGCAGGATCGACGATTTTTAGGTTACCCATACTCTAGTGCCGGGCGTGTAATGGGATCATAGACGTGGAAATGGTGAGGGGAATATCCAGGTACCTTGGCGCTCACCATTCCCCATTAGGCAGCTGGTAATTGTGGTTTTCAGAACTCGATGCAGAACATGTCTACCAGGACACAAAGGGCAATCGTTCCGAGACGAAATACTGGCGGCAAGCACTGGGACTTTCTACCCAGACTTCGATTTCGCGATGCTTTTCGTGACTGGGGCTGAGGAACTCAAGACCATCACCCCTCGACGCGCCAGATTGCCCGGCTTGGACGGCATTTATCCCTTTGATTACCTGTCGCCCTAATCTTGGCTATCAGCTGCTATAGCTTGTGTAGCAATATGATGCATGGGGCATATTGACATCTATGGCTTGGCTGACGCTGTTATATAACCCTGGCTTTCCTCCGGATTTGGCATGCAAGATATCAATTGCACAACTAGAGTAGTGGAATGCAACGTTAATTCAATAGAGTAGAGAATCTTTTGCCTAACCTCCTAGCAATGGTTCAAAGTCATGATAATTTGGGCCGCGAGGGTGTTGCTGATTTTACTGCTACTTGTACTTGGCATTCTTAGAAATGTGGTCATATGTGACAGCCAGCCAAAATGAAAGTCCGCATGGTTGAAGTCAATTTCAGCTTTGAATGGATCATGAAATAGGTGCAATACCACGTTGAGCAAAATTCCCACATGTCTCCTTCGGGCATGGGGACCTTTTCACGAGATTGGCCCTTCCAAAGCTTCAACGTCACTTGCAGGGAAAAGAGACTCCAGCATATGGGCTTCTCGCAGAAACTCATATGCTGATCTGTGCGAAACATTCCCAGGAATGGCGACTTGGTCAGTCTTGTTGCTTCTATGAGGACGAAAACAGGTCATGTAACTTGGCATGAAATCGAGATGTGCACACAACCATCACCCTGCGCATTCCAGAATCAGACAAAGCCATCTTATGGCAGGTCTAGACCAAATTTAATTCGATGTCTACGATTTGAGCTTCTTTTATAGACCGCTTGATGATGTCCTTCTCTACGTCCGCAAGCTCCATCGCTGTTCCGCGTTTCATGCAAGACATGTCGGGCTTGCTCGCCCCTTTCTCCCATTCGGCGTCCATCATCCAGTGTGTCGGCACCTCAAACTCCCGCTTGTTGGTAATTTTGTTCTTAAGAAGGCCGCCATTATACCAAAGGAGCTTGTCAGACTCGTCGACGTGAGAAATAACAAAACTGCAGACCTTGTCTGGTTGTCCGAGAGTCGCGTTAGCATTGGCCGTGGATGTGAGCTGCGGATTGTTTCTTCCCCATCCCACAATGCCGCCGTAATGTTTCTCGAATGCGTAAGTCGCGTTGGCCAGTTCGAACCCGAACCACCACGCCTCCTTGTCGCCGTAGGTCATCTTATACGTCGTCTCCTCCCGCACATCTTTTGTGTTCTGCCAGGCCACGTGAAGAAGGCCGAGCACCACATCCAAGCGAGACTTGTCCACAACGACTACCCTCCCGAGTCCTGTTCTCCGGCATAAGTCTCGGTCCAAACGAGGCTCTTGTTAAGATTGGGACCCTCGTGGATCACCTGAGAGTGCCACCACTGGTGTCTCTCCTTGAAGTCATACTGCCAGAGCAGCCTATCGTGGAAGAATAGAGCGCCGTGCTTTTGGTAGTCCTTTTGCTGCAGGAGCGAGATGGGGTCCTGGAAGAAGACTGCATCGGCGTCGAGGAGAATGACCTCGGTGAACTTGCTTGCCAATGCGGCGAAGGCTTTGATGGCCCACCCGCCGTACGCCAACTTCAGAGTGGCATCGTCAAACACCTCCGTCGCGTCGAGAAAGCTGTCATCGCCGTGCTCAACCTCGCCGGATTCGGTACGAAAAGTGGCCAGTGATTCCAACGCATCTCGCTTTTCCTCGGGAAGGTCGGTGTTCCCAGCGTAGACAACCTGAATCGGAAGTGTCGTCTTGAACACCCGCCGAAGGCCGACAATTAGGTGGCAGGCGAACCGGAACGTCTTGTTTCCCGTGGGAATGACAATTCCCCGTGGTACTGTGAATCTCTGACTCAGGTCGGCCAACGGTGTAGTGGAAGTTGAATTGTTCACTAGGAAGGGAAACGCGGACGCGGTGACGGCCTCAGTCGCGGCCATGACCCGATCCGTCTGCGGCCCTGGGCCGGCTTTCTCGCTCATCTCTATCCATTTTCGCAGGACCTGTAGTCTACCGCCGAGCTCTCCGAACCGTTTCGTATAGGGCTTTTGCAACGGGTAGTCGACGAAGAATTGAGATGCGAGTTCGATGAGGTCGGCCTCGGCGTCAGAGATGGGTAGCAATGGGTCTACCGGAGCGGACGGAGGTGGGCGACTTGCGGCATCCGGCCCGTTGTTGAGCAATGGTCGGCTGGTGGAGACGCCAAGGCCGTGGATCGAGCCAGCATAAGACGTCCAGAAGATTGATAGCACTACGATTGTCAGAAGGTACTGCGCTACCAATGCTGTTTTCGAGAAACGGACAGCCTTGAACAACATGGCTCGGACTCGAGATACATCAGCAATAGCGGTGCTAGAGGGTATCAGGGAGGTTGAAGATGTGTGTTTAGATTAGTATTTTTTGCTCGAGAAGGTAGAAGGTAGAAGTGTAAAGGAGCGTCGAAACAGCCACGTCCTAAGCGGAGTCAGCCAGCTGACGACGCAGGCATGCGCCTCCCGGCCCTAGGCGCCCCCCCCCCCCCGACCCGGGGCCAGAATTAGCAGTGGCCTGATGGGACCAATGTCTTGCTTAACTGACTGACTGATTGACTCTCGGTTCTCTCTGCCGGCAGAGACCCACCTGTATTTTGAGCTTGGGGCGGAGTTTAAGACAACGTGCGTCGGCGGACTCGTCACCCATGTGGAAAGCAAGGCTCATGGCCTCCTAATGTTCCCTGCCATCCCATGAGGTATCTGTCTGATGCCACCCTGCATCATTTCTCACCCACCCTGGTCCAATCCAGTCGTACCAAAACCAAATCCACATAAGCTTTTCTGGCATGGCTCGGTCCGCCCGGCTTTAGTGCAGAGGGTTCTCGTCCCTTATGGCGGGTTAGAAGTTGATCAACATCCACTGCGAGGCAGTGAGATGCAGTGAGATGCAGTGAAAGCCGCCCCCATGGGACACCGTATTATAGTTAGTCATTCCATCATCTCAAAAGATCCCAACCCCATTTCCCCTCCCCCCCCTCTTTTCCTATCCAACATTTTCAGTCTAACACCCAAAGTGAGTGCTGGTTGTTTTCTATACTGCTTTAATCCATCTGTCTCAATTGTCGATAATTCGCATCATGCTGTGCCAGCCTTGCCAATACGTATTGGGCGAGATTCAGAAAAATCCAGATGGCGGTGGTACATTTCCCCATCATGCCTCAGTCGGTGACTGGGAAAAGGCTGTGGAGCAGAAGTGTCTCCTTTGCCGGCGATTGGATCGACATGAAGTCAATGCTGAGGCTCATACAAGCTTGGTTGCGAGGACAAGATTTGAAGGCGATGAGCACGAAATATCGTTCACCATTTCGGCCGACACTGATGACTTCTATGAGATCTTTGGCATTTTCTGGTTGCGTCCCGTCAAGACTGAAGAGGGTTGGTAGTAGGAACTATGTGGGTCCCCGAGCTGTTACTAATGATATTCCAGACCGCCTGACGTTTCCAAACTATGCGCCTACCAACACCGTCGGCTCGCCACCGAGCATGAGTCTTGCTCGACACTGGATCAGTGACTGTAACAAGCACCATTCTAGATGTAAACGCCCAGGGGTTGCCTCGAAATCTACTTGGGTCCCAGAGCGGCTCATCTATATCGACGATGAGAACTCGCGCCTGAGGCTCGTCCGTGGCGCTGACGTGCCATCTAATACTTCTTACACAACCTTGTCCCATCGTTGGGGCCAGGTCAAAGACAAGCTCGTATTAACCCAGTCGAATATCGAGGAGTGGCATAAACAATTGCCGTCGCTAGGAAAGTGGAAGACATTCGTGGATGCAATAGAGACCAGCCGGCAACTACAGATCCCATATATATGGATAGACTCACTTTGCATCATTCAGGATTCGAAAGACGACTGGCAACACCAATGCCCCCAGATGTGCAACATATACAAACGATCCTATTGCAACATTGCAGCTACTTCTGCAATCGACGATACCGAGGGTTGCTTCTTTGAGAGAGACGTCGACATAGACCTCCCATTGCGGGTATGCTTTGCTACTGGGGGATATCAGCTCAAACCCGCTGAAAGTATTGTGATTCCAGCTATGGGCAACGGCAAAGATTCTCTACGTGGGTTATATGATCTCTGCAGGCAGCAGATCTGGTTTCATGACATCACATTCTCCCCGCTAAATTCTCGAGGCTGGGTATTACAGGAGGTAGGAAGCCAGACTACCAGTCACGCTCATTGGCTAATGAGATCGCAGCGCCAACTCTCTCCACGAGTACTCAACTTCACCAAGACACAAATGTACTGGGAATGCGACGAGATGCAGGCCTCAGAATCACATCCGTACGGGTTTCCAGAAGAGGCCTGGGCGAATTTAAAGGGCAAGGCTCTAAATCCATTCAGTCTTCTAAATATGAATCTCGAGGAAGAAGATGCTCTAATCGACACTGGAGTTAGCCCCTTGGTGAAAAGGGCATTTGATGTTTGGGGCAATGCAGTCTCAGCCTACACTGTTGGTAATTCGGACCGCAGATTGACAGATGGTTCATCGGAATTCGCTAAGAACCTGACGAACCCGGCCGACAAGTTGGTAGCCATCTCGGCTATTGCGCATGAGCTTCAGCCCTTCATGAACTGCCGCTATCTTGCTGGTCACTGGGAAACTGCCCTCGTAAGGCAGCTTGCTTGGGCCGGTTCGAACGACAGCCAGCGAACATCAACATACCGCGCACCATCGTGGTCTTGGGCAAGCGTCGATGCACCGATATCTCTCCCCAACCCCCCCGGTGGGACGAGGGAGGAATTTTATCCCCTAGTAGAGGTCCTAAATGTCGAAGTGGAATCATTGACGGATGATCCAATGGGTCAGGTGATTTCGGGATCTTTGACTTTGTGGTGCCATCTTATTGAGCTGGAAGTTCAAAGTCTCTTGACTTCACGTTACGGGGGAGAAGACGATGGGGAGGAAACCATTCTGGTCAATGGAGAACGTACACGCTTGCATGTACAGCTAGATGACGAGTATTCTCGACCATCAGTCCCCTGGAGTGTGTATTGTGTTCCAATCAGTCTCCTCGTCGATCGGAAATCGTCTAACTCCACAGAGCTCAATTCTCCTGAAATGGCATTGGCCTTCGAGTTCAACTCGATTCTTTTGGAAAAGACCAAAGTTGAAGGAAAACATCAGAGGGTTGGGTTCCTAGGTGCTAATTTGCTGCAGGATCTTACAAAAAAAAGACTTTGCAAACGATCCGATACTTCGAGCAGCCGGGTCACTCGATTTCAGCAAAGAGAATGCTTTCTTTTCACCCCATACACAGGAGTTACAGCAGATCGAAAAAATATAAACAAAATGGACACTTCCTAAAGCTATCGCCAAAGAGATGTGTCCCTGGGCACCATGTGTGTCGTGCTGGTGGTATCATCGTGAAAGGGAGGAGCCAAAGGGTTTGACCGAGATGCAATACTACAAGATAGTCGCGTACTTCGGCCCAATCCGAGGCTTCCCAGTTTTGTGGCAGTTTGTGCAGGAGAAGCGCCCCGTAGCCGCAGCTGGGTCGGTCTAACGGAAACGACAGAGTTTGTACCACGTTCTGCTACAAGTGTACGGCGACAGTCAACTGCTATTGGACAGTCTGACTGTTGTTGTTGTCAGCACTACAAAGACCACGCACAAGACCAGGATCACACATCGGACGATATTCAATTCATTTGATCGAAAGCTATAGATTGTTATCCTTCTATACACTGTCTCTCCATAACCACCCACAGGGTCATACGTGATGGCCAGAATTACTGATGGTTGCTCCAGGGGTTGAAGACTATGTGGCTGAAAGTCTGAAATTAGAAGACTGAGACTCTACATTTGATATACATTGAGCGGGTAATATACTAGGCGGTGCTGGGATGCAAACTTAAGATAGATACCAGTCATAGTATACGAACGAGAGCCACATAGTGTCAGGTGGTCACATAATAGCCGAGCTTAGGGTTTCAGGATTGATCATGGGACAGGAAATCTTCCATCATAAGGCTGAATCAAGATAGCATAAGTGGGTCTGGTAGACTAATGAACACTAGCTATTAAACCGATCCTGTCTGTTTCTCTTATTTCAAAGTGTTATAATGATATAGATTGGACTTTTGCGCTATCTATCACCTCCAATACGCACTGGCAGAGTTCAGAGTGCAACTCTATCAACACTGGACCGAGGGTCCACACTGGTTGGAGCAGTAGCTTTTAATGTCGCCACAGCCTCCTCTAGATTCGCATGTACCAGTGCAGGCTATATCGTTTCGTCAGTGTCTACTCATTTTCAGGAGTTTGAGGCTGAATTTCATTTCGGGAGTAGGTCAAGGTACGTCCGAGGGGGTTCGCGTGGATATAATACGTACTAGCACAGCATTCTTGGTTGTTGCTCTGCGCAGCTGCCTGTGCAACAAGCAGAGCCATTGCAGCTGTGGCAATAGCGGCGATGTTGAAGTGCATTTTGGCAAGAGTGTGCTTATGTCGGAGTACAACGACGAAAGTTAAGAAGTGGAGGCTGAGAGGTAGTGGTAGCTTGTAGAAATAGATGAATCCTCTGGGGCATGAGCAGTTGGGCGTAAACAACTATATACAAGACACCAAGATGCTCATCATCAAAAGTCTCCTGTTGAGATCCAGACCACGCTGGGCTCGATTCATGAGTGTGAGAAAACCGGGTCTTCAATTAATTGCGGTAACTTTGAACGATTCAGCTGTGAGAAAACCGGGTCTTCAATTAATTGCTGTAATCTTGAACGATTCAGCTAGCGGCCTTGGGTAAGGCCATGGCTCCCGCCAAGAGCACAGAGCCTTGCCCTCCATGTTAGAAGCACGATTCAAGCCTGCCCACCTGATTTAACATTTCTTATTTCAATGACCATGTTCAATCGTACTGCGATTCAGGAGCTCTTACTAACTGCCCAGAGCTCACCCAATACGTTTAACCCGACAGCCAAGGCCATCAACACTTGTTTCAGGTGGTACGATTGACAAGGGGCCTGCTCTGCTTAAAGTACCAGGACACGTTGATTCGTCATCGACCAGGTAGATTCTATTTAAAGCCGATAGTGTTCTTGAAAACGTTCTCTTTTATTTTCGAAATGTCTGAGCTGTTCAGGAGAGACTCATCAGGCCACATCGTGTCGAGCAGAATCCTCCGGCAGCATCTTCGTCCATTCCATGATTACACTCTGTCAGATGTTTCTCAGACACTGCTTGTTGTGGCGTTTACGTGGCAAATCATCTCAGGACACAGAGGGTATAACGTACAATATGACGAGTTCATTTGATTCCACTAAACAGTGCCAGCCGCGGCATACGGCATTTGAATTATATGCGGCTTGAAATATTGACTACATGCTAAATAAGACACTTTTACAAACCATCAAAGCAGAAAAATGAGACGGTCCCCTATTGTTGTGCCGCCACACACCGAGCTGAAGCAGCTGGAAGCAAACTTGACACGGAAAATGGCCGGAGCTCGAAAGGAATTGTCGTGCACTCCCTGCCGACCTGTCTCAATAACTCCGTGATGGGAAGACCTAGAAGGCCTTCACACCCTTTGAACTATTATTTAGACCCATCTCACCCATGATATTCCGTGTACCGGTTCTAGTCCCATGCTGAGTCCCCTGCCCTATCCCCTGCCCTGTCTTTTTCGTAACTCCGTCATGGTTAATAGGAGGCAGGGTTAGGGTGTGTCCTTGCCACTTCCAAGTTGATCATGGTCAGCCGACCTCGGGATTTCATGAGCTGGAGGCCTGGTTGTGGCGTGCATACAACCTGACCACAAGGCCCATGCATAGGCGCGTACACAGCATGTTCTTGTCCAGGTCGCCAAGGAATGCATTCCTCAACTCCGGTTCGAAGACAACAGCCCGCAGCTTCTCCACCCCGGCAAGAACGTCTTTCAGGATGACACAAGAGCAGAGCAAGGCCAGCAGTCCCGCGGCCCAAACAACCGACTGGTCGGCGAACCAGTATCTCAAATTTGGCAACGAGCGCACTCGCGCCGTACGAGAGCTCGTCGCGCAGATCCCACTCTCGAATCCCGCGCGCATCATCGACGTGGGATGCGGACCAGGCAACTCGACGGCGGTGCTGGCAGCCCGCTTCCCTGATGCTCACATCTCGGGCATGGACTCGTCCCCGGACATGCTGACCAAGGCACGCAAGGCCATGCCCGGTGTTGAGTTCGTCCAGGGCGACCTAAAGACATACGAGCCCGAGCCCGGCGCTGACCTGGTCTTTGGGAACGCCGTCTTCCACTGGCTGCGGCTCGAGGACCGGATCCCCACCATTCTGCGCCTGCTCAAGACCCAGAAGCCCGGTGGCGTGCTGGCCTTCCAGGTGCCCGACAACTATGAGGAGCCCACGCACAGGGCAATGAGAGAGACGGCCCTGCTGGACGGCCCGTGGACCGAGCACTTCCAGGCGCTACCGGCCGACCAGCGGCCCGACTTCGACCCCATCGAGAACCCTGCCGACTACTACAACGCCCTGATACCGCTCTGCGACAAGGTGGATATATGGCACACGTATTACCAGCACCCCCTGGACGCGCCCGCCTCGATCGTTGAATGGGTCAAAGGCAGCGGGCTCCAGCCTTTCCTCAACGCTCTGCCGAACCAGGAGGTGCGAGACGAGTACCTGAAGGCTTACGAGAAGAGGATCGCGGAGCTGCACCCCAAGCTGGCCGATGGTAAGGTCCTGCTGAGATACCCGAGGCTGTTTGTGATTGCAACAAGGAAGTAATGCGTGGGATTCAATGGCCATGTACAAATGACACTGGAGTTTTTGGTATCGTCGCCGCACTAAGCGGGCCGTCGGGTGCACAACGCGCTTCGGGAGGTTGGAATGCATGTATGCAGACACATTCAATGTCTTGGATTCCTAGATGACCAATACATACCTTACATATCACTCTGGCCGACGTCCCTACTTTGTGCTTATGTCTAAAGGTTCGACATTGGAGAGTGGAGGTCAAGCATAGGCAGGACTCACGCCGTGGTAGATAAATGCATCTTTGGTTTATCTTCTATTAGACAATTCAACAGCTGACTGGTAGAGACACTGTATAAGCCCGTACCTGGTCTCTCGGTTATTACCATGGCCAGCTGGCGTACGGTGCCATGAATAAGGTAGCACACGCCACGCGGCTCTCCCCCACGACTCTAGATGGCTGTTCATCAGTCCAATGGCATTGTCTTGCAAAGATCATGCATAGTCAAGTTTATGATCCTCGTTCCGCCGTGGCGGCATCTGGTCTACAGGCCACTTACTGGTCGGTGACATACGGTTACTAGTTAAACCTGAAGGCAGCGAGCACGTAGTTAAGAGTCGAGACGCTTTCAAGTCTACGCAGAAATGCGCCTCCGGACTTGTATGAGTACATTTGCTCTGCGTCCAATGTACCCAGTCCATTAATATTCCCAAGGGCTGAGCTGAGAACTCAGTGCTTCAAAAAGTACGGGACTGGGCTGAATTAGGAGTAGAGATTGCGAATATGATCGAGTGGTTGGATGAGAGGCATTCCTCAAATGCTGGCAGACTATCCACTGCGGAATAGAGATGATGTTTAATGTTCTTTCCTAAAGACTTCATATCAACAACATGATGTGCTTTACGCAATGTAGAGCCTAGGCTCACGTTTGAGCGATTTGACTAGGATTCGAGTCCGCAAGCTGCCGATCACGCCTGGAAAATACGGAAAGACGAGGCACATTGGATTCGATTTTGCATCTCAATCTCATGACCTAATTTCGGTCAAGCTGACTGTGCAGCCCCCTATTCCCAACCTCCATTGCCGCCTGCAGCTCCCGCTCTCCATCCCTGAGCAAGGCTTTGCTGTGCCTCAGATTCTTCTCCTGCCTACGCTTCTCCTCCTCGACGGCCTTCTCCCGGTCCTGAAGCGCTTTCTCCCTCTTTTTGCGCATGTCCAGCACCTTCTGTGCTGCTTCAGAATCACCTGCTGCGTCTCCGTTTTCAGGAGGCGGGGGTAAGGTCTGGATGAAGGCATCGACTAGAGAGTCGCGGGTCTTGGCATCCAGCGAGATGTAGCGGATGTCGGTGATGATTTGTGGAGGGAGATGGGTAAGCAGGGTCTTGTTGTTGAGTTGTGATATAGGTATGGATTTGAGGAGGTTGGCCAGGTCGGTCTTCAGGGTGGCTTGTGGGAGCTTGAGCCGATTGATGTGTTCCCTGTAGAGCTTCTCTCTGTCCTTATCTGGCAGGGACGAGTCCTTCATTGATGGCTCCTTTTTGTGTTTTCTTTTGAACTCGGGCCAGTACAGCTTCGGTGTTGCCTTGTCGTGCAGCAACGCGAGGTACGGTATCCGCGGGTCCTTCTTCTCTTGTTTTGCCCTCTGCTCCTGAAGCTCCTTGATCTTCTCTCGTGACCATTCCTCCCATACTTCTCTCCTAGCCTTGGTGGTGCTGAGGACCGTGTATCGATTGTCATCGAAGACCTTGCCCTCCTCGATGAGCTTCTCCCAAGGGCTGTACGGGTTGATTCCGTAGTCGTTGAGAAGGTCTTTGAACAAGCCCTTGGCGTCCTCCTCAGATAACTCGATGCCGGCTGCGCCTTCGGGCCATTCATCCATGTGGCCGTCGTCGTATTCGCCCGGGTCGAGTCCATACTCTTCGCCCATGGCCTGCAGCTGAGCTGCAATGTCTGCCTCGCTGAATTCCGCCGGTCGGTCGTCGTCTTCCGAGGTCTCTCCGATCCTCTGGCGTTTTGTGGCATGCCCATCGTCGCCCTCGCCGTCTTCTGCCTCATCGTCCGTGACCTCGACCTCCTCGTACTCGGAGCTGTCATAATCATGCTGGGGATCTTGGGCGGTTTCTTCCACAGCGGCCTGACCATCCTCGGTACCGTCGCCATTTGGAGCTGTGTTGTTTCGAGGGCTGTCCGAATTGCCGTCTTCTTGCTCTTTCTTCTCCCCGAAACCTGCCTTGTCTCGTATCCTCGCCCTGTCCAGTTCAAGTATTGCCGGCATCAGCTTCTCCGGGATGCGCCAGTAGCTCGCGTTCTTGACAGGGTTATAGGCAAAGCGTCGTTGGCACTTTGTGTAGACCAGGATCCACGGCTCGCAGCCGGGGATGGCAACCTTGGACCTTGGCTTGTCGGTCGGTTGGGGTCGCGGTCTGTCCCCGTGTGCACCTCCCCTCCCGCCTCGTCCTCCATGGCCGCCGCGATGGTTCTGTACGGCTGGCGGCTGGTTGTACTGTGACATGAAAGCGTTGGCGACGCGCGGGTCGGAGAGGTTCACGTTCGGGACAGCGCTGTGCTGCATGAAGCTCGCAGAGGGGTCCATGGGCGCGGGCGCAGGCGGTGGCGCGCTCGGGCGGGTGTAGGTCGATGTCTTGGTGGCGGCATTGTAGTAGTAGGTGTGGCCGGTCGGCGCCTTGTGTTCGGTCCATCCTGGGAGCAACGGTTGGGGCGAGGTCGCCGAGGGTTTGTAGGTTGACTTGAGCATCGTAGCAAACTGTCGACCAAGCCTGCGGACGGCCGCCGTAGTGTGTGTCTGTGGACGTCGATGCAATGCTGGTTGTCCTGGGGGCCGTTGGAAATTCCAGGAGCTATTGGACCCCTGCCTGCCTCGTCGCGAGCTCGCGCCGCTTACGTAAGGGTCGCGCAGCGCATATCCAACGTCATAACATAGCTCCTTCCTCTCACGTGGAGCGTGAGAACTGTTAGCTTTTGCTTGTAAAATGGTATGATATTTAACCTGAAATTTCATCTAACTCTAGATTTCATCGTGCCACGGACCTGCTCATCAAAGTCAACCCTCGATAAAGTCAGGCCTGTCTGCTACAGTACCTCTTTTACCGAGTCTTCCCGACGTCCCATCACTCATCACCTACACAGTATCCCCCTTCCCTCTGCCACCCCCCCCCACCATGCTCGCAATCCCGGACTCTTGTGTCGGGCTCGCGATAGCACTTGCATACCCCCATTCATGGATTGTCCTGTAACCCTTGTCTGTGTTGTCATCTGTCAACATAGTACAAATCGACTGAGCTTATCTTGTAATTTCTGCTAAACCTTATGCCTGTACGTAGCGGCCATTATGGGACAAATTAACCGGCAGGCGACACGCACTCGTGCAGGAAGTCCAACGTGGACTCCACGCCGACGCCGGCGTCCCGGATACATGTATACCATCTGAGGGGCGGCTTGAAGCGCTCATTCACGGGAACGGGAAATCGAAAGTTGGACAGGAGAGAGTCTGCACGGGAAATACAGCCAGCATGTATCTGCAGTATTGGTTTGGATGCTAGCAATCAAGGAGCGGCTACCAAATCCTTTTAGCAACCATCTCGTACCTCATCACACCACTCAAATCTTTCTCCTCTTTCCCTATGCTCTGCTCCGTCTTCCTCTCTCTGTCCCTGGCACGCTTCATACCGTCTGGGTCATCACCATAGATCCACCTCCTCCTGTCATCTCCGATCTCGACGGCACCAAAGCCGCCGAACCTCTTAGTCCCCTTCGTGTCGAACGTCTCCTTGTCCATTTTCCCAGTCGCTACGGCGTGCTCTTTGAGTTTCATCCTGGCGTATCTGTCACGGCTGTACCTGAGAAGCAGCATGCCGAGGAGGAGCTTGAGGATCAGGAGGAACAGAAATGCAATGAAGAAAACTAGTACCTTGGTCACCAAGGCAATGGCGTCATCGGTAGACCACGAGAGCCACGAGAACATGGAGGTGCCGTTCACGGCAGTGCCGTTGGCGAGGAATTCATCATCAAGCCCGTACACAGACCGGCCGAGGGCGTTGCGGATGAAGTGCTCGAGCCTGTCAAGGGCGGCTGTCACCGCAGGCGATGATGGCGTGGAGGAGTCCACCGATAATGAAGTCTGAGTTGAGGGCGGTATGGGTGCAGGGAGGTGTGTGGCGAGGAACATGTGGTAGGTTTGGAAGGACGCGCGGATGAAGAGCGTCGACAGAGGGAGCAGGGGGAGACCAAGACGGCGGGTGAGAGAAGGGGCGACAAAGGCCTGCGAGTCATTAGATGGGGAGCCTGAGGGGGACGCCTTGGTACTAACATTTGTGTAGTAGTCCTTGCAGAGGATGTCAAGGATCCTGCTGTAAAAGTTGGGCTTGATGTTGTTGAACTTGTTTATGTACGCGTGCTTGATCCAGTCGACAAACATCTCGCTGCCAATGACAATCAGAAAGGGCGACAAGACCTCGCCCGACCAGAGCCATGACGGCAGGATGGTGAAGCTCATGGGGAGGATGGACGGGTTGTGCAACGGCCCCTTGGCAGCGGCCATGCCTTCGTCTCCGAGCTCAATGCCGGCGCCGGGCACACTTAGCCCGCCAACCTCGACCACATTGCGCATCCCGATGATGAGCAACACGAGCCACAGCTGGAAGCGTTCCACGACATCTGCGCAGGTAAGCTGAAATGTGTTCTCCTTCTCGAAGCGCTTGAAGACGCTGCCTTTGATCTCAACGAACTGGTTGGACATCAACAATGTTAGGAGAGCATTGGAGTACGAGTTGACGGCCACGTTCAGAGCAATGACCTGGTAGAAGAGGGTGATGGCGTGGGCGCAATTGTAGACGAGAGAAAGCAGGAACATGCCGAAGGGAAGCATGACTTTCGAACGGCCCGAGCTGTTGCGCGAAAGCGTTTCTGAGCTGAACAGGCACTCAAATATGTCCTGGCCGAGGGCGGACAGCAGGCGGTCACCAACCTGGGCCTACTTCAGCATAACCGGCACCTTTTTGGACTGCAACCGGGGGAAGGTCGGGACTCACCTCAACAAGGTTATAAATGACATACAGCTTTACGGCTGATTGTGCTCGGATGAAATGATACATGCGGCTGGCATCCAGGTTCATGAGGGCGACAGAGCTACAGATTATGACCAGCCCCTGGAGCAGGTCGGCCTTGTGAAAGGAGGTCAGGTTCGACGGCGTGGACTTTGTCCGCCTATGGCGGAACGGCCCGTTGTGTGATCGGGAGTGCATTCGCAGGGGAGGCATTCTGGATGTTCCATTTGTGCCTTTCCTCGTCCGTGTGGATGGTCCCCGCTGAGGCAGATCTCCTTGGGACCTGTCATGAGCGGTCGATATGCCATTCGCGTTGCCTTCGTGGAGGGAGTCCCTGGCCCTGCTTCGGCTTCGAGATTCACCATCAGTACTACGTGAGCCATCGAAGCTTGGCCTGCGCGTTAGGCCACGGCCTCTGCGCCCCCGCTCCCACAGACGGCCCATTCCTTCCCAGACGAAACCAATGAGCCACCGCGCCTCCTTTCCTGCGATGTACGCCCACCATCTGAACAAGACGCCAAATGCAATGCAGAAGCGCATTGGCAGGATTGTGAATGTCCACAGCCACGCGTCCAGACAGGCCAGAGCGCCAAACATCAGTGTCTTCTCAAGAAACAAGGGCAGGAACAAGAAGTTTTTCAGCCGCTCGAACTTGACGGCGCTGGACTCGTAGGGCAGGTCGCTGGCGTAGGACTGGTGTATGTAGAGCGGGCTGGGCCGCTGGGCGGCAAGCTCCAGTTGGAGGAGAGTGGGCGCCGACAGCGGTGGGAGGGGTATGGATGGCGGTATAGGGGACGGTGGCCGCGGCTCCCTGTGGTCACGATGGTCTCGATGTTCAGGCCGGCTTTGTGCGTCGGGATAGGGGTTCCTTGCGAGGGCAGGGCCAAAGTTATGACTGCCTGTCTCGATATTCAGGGGCGCAGGCCGTGGCGAGGGCTGAAACGAGTTGCGCCGGGAGGCAGAAGGAGGCGCGGGAGGCTGGCTGACGGACTTTGTACGGTTGATGGGAGGGGTGGACACGGTCCTCGTCGAGAGGCTTGGGCGGACCGAGTGCAGTGTCCTGCCCGACGGGGCATCGCCAAAGGCCTGGGACCTGTGGGTCTCGACCTTGTCAAAGACCTGCTGTGGGCTGGCGGACAGCTGGGCAGACATGGGCGGACGGTGGGCGTCGACGATGCCGGCAGACAGAGGCTGGTCAGGAATGGTGGCGATGGGCAGGGACTGTGGGGAGGCAGCGAGTTCCTGGATCTTGGACGCGGACAGACGCCTGACGCCGCTGTGGTCGCTGGACTTTGTGCCGGAGCGCTCCCTGGTCTTGTTCACGATCGACGAGTTTCTCCTGGGCTCCTTCTTAGGGGTGACATGGGTGTCGTCGAGCGAGGGCAAGGCATCGGTTGACGAATCGATGGCGGACTGGGGGGCGGAGGTCTCGGCCTCGGAGACGGCGCAGGAAGCCAGGCCGTCGTAGGACACACCGTCGGTGCCGGGCTGGAGGCCGGTGAAGGCACGGGGGAAAGGGGTGTTTCCGTTCGCGAGTACCAGCGTGGGAGGCGGCATGGAGCTGTCGAAGTCGACATCGGACGGGCGCGAGTGGGAGCGGGAGTGGGAGCGGGAGTGGGAGTGGGAGTTGGAGGGAGGTCGTGCTGGGAGGTGAGTCGCCGTTGTCGTTGTTGATGTTGTCGTCGCCGCCCTCTGCCTATCGGTCGTGTTGGACGGATCGCCGTCTGAGGCGCCTGCGTCTCTTAACTCGGAAGCATCATTGCTCCATCCGGCGCCGTCCACCTCGGAAGCCCTGCCGTGGAAGCCATTGCGTCGGTCGGCGTGGGCTGCTCCAGGCACGTCCACATCGACAGTCGCCATGGCGAGACTCTCTGTCTCTCTCTCTCTCTCTCTCAGGTGCGGTAGGAAACTGGGCCGTCCCTCATCTCTGCGGCTGGGGGTCGATTGAATCTTGCTGTCGGGCCAGTCTGGGCGCTGGTTGTGGTCTGGCCGATGTTTGTTTGAGATGGTACAGTGCAGGGTGCAAGGTGCAAGATGCAAGTGTAGGGTCCAATTGACCTTTCAAAATCTGGCATGACGTCGGCAGTCACGGTTAGGCGCAGGAGCTACCTCCCCTGTCCCCTGAGCCGCACAGCTCGCAGCCTGGGAGGCGCCAAGGGATGTCAACTGGCCGTAGCTCCCAACTCTGTGGGCTCACCCAGGCACAACTGCTTAGGTAGAGTTTGTTACAAGTAGATGTGCAGACCATCCTTGTTTACACATCATGCAATGACCACGTCTGCATACTGCTGCAGACGTGCTCCAATGTTCTTTATACCGTCTTAACCCTCGACAGCACGGCCAGAGACCAGGTCCCCGAGGAACCTCCACTCGACCTTCTCCTTCCAGCCCTTCTCCTTCCACGCGTTGGCCGGCTGAGGGAACAGGTCCACCGCCCCAAACAGGCTCGCCTCATGCGCGAACACAAACCACACATTGTCCTGCGCATCCGCCACCTGCGCCCGCTGGATTGTCTGCATCACAAGGTGCTCGTCCTCATACAGGCTCGGCTCGACGAACGCCTCGTCCGCCTTCCTGCCTAGCCTCGCCTTCATATCGCGGAACCACGCCCCAGACTGCGCTGTTGAGATGCCCTGCGGCAGCGAGTCTGGGATCGGTGTGTATGGCGACGGCCTCAGCTCTGCGCCGTGGTGTATCAGATCACCACCCATCATGATGAACGTGTCTGGGTCCGTCGACGTTCGCGCCAGCCCCGCTATATGCGCAGTCCAGTGTCCAGGCGTGTCCAGTAGATAGAACGAGCCGTCGCCAAAGAAGTCGTGTGCCGGGAACGGCCCAGCCTTCAGCTCGCCGTCAAAGCCGATCTCTCGCACCTTTCGCCCGGCCATGTCCTCTTCCCTCACCGTGGCGTCCGGCTTGGTAGGGAAGCCCGGCCACCACTTCTCCGTGAACCCAGGGCCTACCACCAGCTCTGTGCTGGCAGGGAACGTGGTCGGATCCCCCGTGTGGTCGAAGTGACTATGGCTGCGGTGCCGTGTTAGGATGCTGAATCCATCATCCTTCCAAGACCGATCCAGTCCGCACGAGCAGCGACTCACCTCCAGACGATGCTTTCTATCTCATTGGGGTCGACTCCATGGCGCTGGAGGATGTCTGCAACGTCCTCCTTGACGTCCAGCTGCCAGCCAATGCTTTTGATGTGGTTCTCAACGCGTGGGACGTACCGGCCCAGCTCCTTATGTGCCCCCAGGTCAAACAGCGCCTTCCGCCCACTGGGGCTCTCGACCAGGAAAGACCACGTGGGGAAGGTGGGCAACTCGTCGAAGCCTTCGATCGGCGGCTTTGTCATGTAACTCGCCATGATCTTGGAGAATCGCAGAGTCGAGTCGATGATGCTGACCTTGGCGACTGCGCCAGAAGGGACTTCGAACGGTGGCTTGCTGCCGTGTGTCATGGTTACGGGTTGCTGATCTCGAGAACTATGTGCCTTGCTCTTGGCCTTGGTTCAATGGTTGTTTCCGTCGCCTGTCCACATTGCATTGCTCGTGGTAAGGTGCTCGCGTCACCAGTGACAACCGTTCTCACCAGACCGGACGCCTAACCTGCAATACTCTAACCTGATGAACAGTTGCTTACTCAACTCACGTATCGCAACACACCCTTGCCCCTCACTTGACCCTTGGAGCAATTGACAGCTCGGTATCTATGACGTGCTCCTTGGTCTGCCGGCCCAGAACTAGATTGCTGATGATCGCCCCGTCATAATGAGGCCCGGCGTCCTCTGCATTAGATGGCCAACAGTTCGAGAGGCCACCAGATCAACTCACCACATGGCAATTGCTTCTTGCATCGCGGCACAATCCTCATTCCCGAGCCGGACAACATCAACAGTACTGCTTCTAGTCCGGCTGTCCAGGCTGCTGCGAGGCTCAAATGTTTTGGTCCCTGCTTGAGAAGCTCGGTATCGATCTTCACGGGTACTCGGGATCTACACTACCGATCTGCAGGGGGGTGGGTAGCAGGTTACGACACTCTCGCAGGACCCTCGGGGCTTTCACAGTCTGTCAGTCTCTACACTACACTAACACAGCTGGCCGTTAGACGCAACGGTTAGCCTGCGGCAGTCACGGCGGCCCCGAGATCAACGAGAAGCGGCGGCAGTGGGTTCGCGCTGTTGGGATAGGGGAAATCGGCTAGGGGAGGTCGGCTAGGGGAAGCGGCTAGGGGGAGCTCACTGCATGGCGACTTTCCATGCTATTACATCAGGGACAGCCAGCAAGACCATATAATACACTACACTATTGTTCCGGGTGTAGCCCGGGTAGAAGTCGGGTGGGGCTATAGTGGGACGTGGGACAGCTTGGCTACCGGGCGGATCAGCCAGATCTTGCCCTCTTCAATTATAAATCAGATAGCTCAACTTTTTGTCCCCTCGCCTCACAACTTTTGCCGGACGAAGAGTGCTCAATAGCGTCTGTACCCCGACTTAGACACCTTCCATCGGACAAGATTCAGAGCTTTCATATCAAGCAACATGGCCTCCAACCCCCCCAGGACAGTGCTGCACAGTTGGTGTCAAGCACGAGTGAGTTGCTCCCCAGCTGCCGAGGCTCTGGCCGTGGCCCCCAAGCCCCGAGCTCCGATCTGTGAGATTCAAGCTTTCGAGCCCGGCTCCGATGCCAAGCAGGGATTGGATGTCTCGGAACGTTCGCAAATGCTATAATTATAAGTTCATGTGCATTGCATACAGGCACATCCAGGCTGACCATCCCATCTCCCATCCCACAGAGGCGAGCCCACCGGCAAAACCATCAGGGTCGGCCAGTATGAGACTTATGTGGCCGAGCCCAAGGGCAAGAAGCACGATGGTGTCGCCCTGCTCTACATCCAGGACATCTTCGGCATCTGGCAGAACTCCCAGCTCATGGCGGACCAGTTCGCCGCCAACGGCTACCACACCATCATCATCGATGTCTTTAACGGCGACCGATTCCCCAACCCGCCGCCACAAGACATCATGAAGTGGTTGGCGGAGGGCACCGACGGCAACAACCCCCATACCGTGGAGGCTGTCGACTCCATCGTGGAAGAGGGTCTGAAGTACCTCAAGGAGCAGGGGTTCACCAAGATCGGTGCCGTAGGGTACTGCTTTGGTGCCAAGGTAAGCCGGCTCATGTTTGCTCATCACTCACCCCGTCTCGTGCATGCTGACGGCCCCATCCTGTTTCTAGTACGTTGTCCGCCACTACAAGGACGGCATCAAGGTCGGTTACCTCGCTCACCCCTCCTTTGTCGACGAGGACGAGCTGGCTGCCATCACCGGCCCACTTTCCATCGCCGCCGCCGAGACGGACCAGATCTTCCCGACAGAGAAGCGTCACCAGTCCGAGGAGATCCTGCGGAAGGTCGGACAGCCTTACCAGATCAACCTGTTCAGCGGTGTATCGGTATGTATTGTCCCGTCCATGAAATACACGACGTCGCTAAGACTCGCACGCAGCACGGTTTCGCCGTTCGCGGTGACCTCTCGGTCAAGATTGAGAAGTGGTCCAAGGAGCAGGCCTTCTACCAAGCCGTTGCCTGGTTTGACCAGTATCTGCTGTGACTTCCCAAGGAAACGAGGCAAACTAAGCACGAGATTAGACTTTAGAGCTACGGTCATGGACGTCTAGGGGAGACATCACCTCTTGGCGTATGAGGGTTTTCAGGACATTTTTCCCACCTGGGCATCCTCGGTTGCCGGAGCCTGAGAAATGTATGTTTTGACAGCCGTGAATCTCACTGTTTGCCCTCCGTATCACCTTCACGATCTGCAACCGTGGCAATAGTGCATGGGGTCACTTGAAGATGGATCCCGCTTCTAGTCTTTCCATCCCATACGTCCTATCCGTGGGCCCCAGGGCGAGCAGACTACCCACAGTTGAGCCGTAGACGGGCACGCTGAGACATAAACACCGATAACCTGTGGCGTACCTCGTAGCGACAGGAACTAGCCAGGGATACAATCATCATTCTCCAGTTCTCGAATTGGCGCTCGACCGGACAGCAACATCGTCTTGCTGCTCATTGTCACGCAAAACGACACGTAGGCGCGGCCGACCGTAACAAGGGGCCTGTTCAGCAGATTCAAGAGACCATCGCCCAAGGATAGACGTGTAACGTGATTCCGATGCAAATCGACTAGGACATGGAGCGTATCTTCTCACTGGGGTGGCTGAATATACGTCAAACGCGGTGACATTTGATTCTCTCTGCAATCCGTTCAATCCAGGCTGGACACACCTTGGACGACATCACACACAATCAGTCACTGGGCGGCAGATGGCCTCGTATGGGTATGTGGTTATTGTTCGTTGCGATATGCGAGAATACATAAAGCATTTGTCAAAGTAATCTCAGAATAAACCAGGCGGGCCGTGGTAGAGCCTCTGGCCGACTAATGCACGCGTGCCCTTGAACGCCAGACACCATGTCCTCGAATAAAAAGTCGTAAAGGTAAAGGTCATAATTACCTCTGGGGAATAATAACACAAGCAAGACTGGCACTCCTCAATGCGCACCTAGTCCATGATCATCCACCCACATCCGCCAAGCATGCCTGCCAGTGCCATGACCGTCAATATCCCGGCTCCTGCACGGTCTCCTGTCGTGATGGGAGGCGTGGGGTCGATGCTCTTGTCCGTCTTGTCGCTGCCGCCACTCGAGTCGCCGGTTGATGTTCCACCAGTCTTGGCACTGAGCGGCGCGGGGCCATCTATCGTGAACAGCACGGCCTGTAAGGCACTCATCTGCTGGCCTATCCCACTGGTCCCGTCATTCGTGCTCCCCGTCCACTTGAACCCACATGCAATACCATCAAGCGTGGCGCCCGCACTTCCCGAAGCGGACCCAGTGCAGCTGGCTGCCGCAGCTTTCCCCGAGGCCAGGAGCATCGGCTTGAGGGTATCGCGGACGGACGGCATCAGCTGAGCGGTCTTGGCCATCCACTTCAGCGCGTACCCTTTGAACGAGTAGTTATCTGTCCTGCAGCTATCTTGGGGCTCGCAAGGTGGTTCCGAGATGATGTTGTTCTTGAAGAAGTATGTCGATGTCCGCTTGATGAGCCCGTTGACGCGGTTTCCCCAGAGCTCACCGCCGCCGGTGTGGTTGTACATCGCTGCCGCCCCGTGCATGAAGATTCCGGCATTGTATGTCCACTGAGCCCTGTCGGGGTTTGAACACGTCCCATCCTTGCTGTCGGCGCCGTCGTAAACGTTGAAATCCTTGTCGATAAACCCCACGTCATCCATCCAGTCGTACACAGTAGTCGCCCAGTCGGCATAAGACTCATTTCCCGTGTACAAGGCGAGCCTTGCGGCGATGTTGAAGAAGCATCCATTGGAGATGGTGTTCTTGTAGGTGTATCCGGTGTTGAACGTAAAGATCTGCCACCGCAGACCGCCGGCACAGGTGTCGTTCGATTGCTCCCACCGCCAGACGTACTCGTTGAAGACGGCCTGGACGGACGCCAGCCACTCGACTCCTCCCTCCTTGGTCGAGTTGGGGTTCTTGAAATTTGTCTCGGCTGCTGTCATGGCAGCCATCGCCCAGAATCCCTGGTCGTCATTTCCCTCCGTGAGGGTCTGGTTCTCGGGCATGAAGTCGCCGTCATCTCCAATTTGGTGCTGGATGGCTTGGTATGTCTCGTCGACGTAGCTTTCATCGTCGGTATAGGCCCAGTAGTCTACAAGAGTCCCGAACATTGCTCCTGCTTCCCACCAGTAGTACGGGTCCGGCAAATTGCCAGGCACGTCGCCGGTATTATTGCCCGTATACCATTGTAGCATCCCCCATGCGATGGTCCCCGCCCCTTGTTTTATCGAATCTGTGTTCGTCGTGTCAGCAAGCAGTAGTATTATGAGCTAATGAGAGGTAAAATCGGAAATCTCAATGCAGAGATGCCCAGTCCAAGCAAGTAGAGTGGTGGAAATGCGTCATGTGTCCACGTGAAAAACTGCATGCTGTCAAGGTGGCTGATGAACAGCGAGATAGATTTGAACATCCCGTTGTGATCTTCGCTATACGTGACCAAAGAAAATAAGAAATCGACTAAGACTTTCCCTTAGTCTCAACGTACCATCTGATGACCAGTCAATGTCGACGCTAGCCGCAGCGAGAGGCGCGAAGACACTCAATATGCAGAGCGGCCACGCGGTTGATCGCATTATGAGTTTATGGTGTTTCCGTGGACAGAAATGAGTGACCAGACTCAAGACCACATCGGATCGATATTGCTCGGCGGTCGTGTCGTGGGATCTTGGCGAGGCGTTCCGGGCGGTGGTATGGGTTAAAGCAGGGGCTTAAAAGAAGCAAGGCCAAGGAAAAGCCAAGTCCTGCTGGAAGGGCGTCTAGCGAAGCGATTGCGGGTTTTAAGGCTGGAACACAGGCATAATGGGCACGTAATCCTCTTTTGTGGGTATCGACGGTGCTTTGCGCTGTTCGGACCGATGAGGATTTGATCCGTCATGCCCGTGTGGGTTTACACTGGGTCTCTCTCTGTTTTCACGGCTGTTCCAGCGACAGTGAGGATCCGTCACAAAACCCCAAAGCTACGCCGTCCGCGATTGGATGATTGTCACTCTTGTCATTTCAATCCTTCCTCAGAACTTGGAAACACTGGACTTAGTCAGTGTTGCTGATGTGTTGTTGGTTGCGTGCGCGCTGGTCTCAATCTCCATGTACCACTTTTCCCCCTGGAAATGTGGACTGAACACAAGCATTTCATGCGCGGGCCGCGCGCATCGAGTCCCCCGGTGACGTAATGCCATCTGCATACGAAGCAGTGATTGTCTACTTAGCAGTGTGCCGTGATCAAGTGTTGTAAATACTTAAAGCCATGCGCAAACCCCCTTGGAAAGATTTCCATCCATTCTGATTGTAGATTCAACCCGCGAGATGTTGAAACAAAGGAAATGCCAGTGATTCGTTGTCTCACTAGTTGAACAGTCAGCTCGCGGAATACCCGGACTCTTCCATGTAATGCTTTCGCCAGCAGTGGGTGGGATGGATGTATAGTTGCAAAGGTAGCTGGAGCCCTCCTTATGGCTCTCGTGAGGATTTGCTGTTCCTGCATCCTCCTGCCTGGAAGTATCTGCCCGTGTCAAGATTGAAGGGATGGGCTCGTATTGACGTTCGCGGAAACAGACCATCTGGGCAGTTGGGGCGACCCACTTTCATCTGTGACGGGATCGCTCGCGGGACCCACTTGCCTTGGATAGACAGACTGGATGTGACGTCGATCTCAAGGGTGATTTTTTGATTTGACCAAAAATAGATCACCTGCTCCAGCCTCAGGGCTGAGGATGTTTACAGAAACGTATATAGCTCCTCTAGGCCCTGACAAATTTGACGTAAACGGGATGTTTGCAGACAGGCCTGCTGCATGCAATTTCGTCCCAGTCGCTTCACAAGATGTCTGGAGACATGTAGCTGTTCCCGGCCCTGAGCATAAGAATATTGTTTGATTCAATGCTTCACTCTCGACGCCTGGCCCTTGAGCTGAACCAGGCTGAGCATTAAGATGCCACAATCCTTTTGTGCTTGGGCAGAAACCAGTGTCTATAGTGCTTTCAGTTATTCTGGCTGGTAATGTCGCCCGATTCACTGATTAGTAAATCTCGGCGGATTGCTACAGCTTGAGCCTACTGCATTCAGTCCGGAAGTGAGCCCCTAGAGCCACTATTTTGTGCTGGTTTCATTTGTATAGTTTTCTCATGTTGACAAGTTCTCGGTGTGCAAGGGAGGCTCTTGTATTCGAGGAAGACATATAAACTAGGCTGGACGAACCCGTCGCGCTGCTTCATTCAGCTCTTCAGAGGGGAGTGGTTAACAATAGTAGAAAGTCCGATCAATCAATTGTTCCAAGTATAAACGTAACTATGTGAGGGCAATGAAAAGGCACGAAAAGTTAGTAGTCGTAAATCTGCGTGAGAATTAATTAAATCGTGTCTACTATCAGAGCAGCCAGCATCAGCTGCGTGAGTGGTTCTTAGCAAATTTGGACATGAGGTTTGCCACAGGAGTCCAATGGTATGAGGCTATGCCCACACCGTAAAGGGACCATACAACAGATTTAGACTAAGGTAGAGCCGACTTTTCTCATGCCAGAGCGTGGAGACCAACACAGCATGGTTCCACGAAATGCCTGGATGAGCACCTTGATGCGGACAGTGGATAATAGCTCATTGAAGTGCCTCTGCTCGGATTTCTCATGCCTAAGTAGCATCAAAGCCTTCACTCCCGAGACGCACTGATTGCACGAGGCATGTTTAAACGAGACGCTGCCATTGCTCAAACGGTGAAGGTATATCCATTTCTAAGGAAAGGGGCACTCCCAAGACATCATTCCTCGTGCGAGGACGGTTTGGCGTGACACTTGCGTACGGCGTTGTGATTTCTCACACCACCTCATAGGCACAAGACATGGTCATGACCGATCTGCCGAGTTTGGACCCTTGGCACAAGCCTTAGTCGGTCTGTTCATGGTCAATGCCTTCAAGGGATCTGGAGTCTAGGTGCCCAGCAAGTCACCTGCTACCGGCCGACCGAGCCTAAGTCAACGCTTGCGAGGGGGGAAGTGGAAGATGAGCAGCGCGACTCGACTGAGCCCAAACTCGGTACATGCTCAGGGTGTGATCGGATATGGTACGGAGAACTTCTCATGGTGTGGGCCACACCAGCGTATTGAGAATATTCAGCCGTGGTTGACGTTTTCAGGCTGTGCCGAGTCGTGTTAATCCCCTTTGGTATCGTGCCCAGCACAATCGCCGGACGCTACAAGAAAACAAAGTAAAAATACGAGACTGTTGTGCCGTGCCTTAGACAAAGCATTCACAGTCCAGTGGTGAAAATGCTAATTCCATGATGTCAAACAAGCTGATCTGCACGTGGGGCTGACAATGTTGCTAGCAACCGGTTAGACTGAGGCCGGTCGCCAAGTTAAATAGAACGGCGGGATGAGCTCTGCCCGAGCTCAGGCGTCAAATCCAAGATGATTCGGTGCGCCGAGAAAAGCTACTGCGCCCCTCTTTGAGCTTGCACAACACAATTGAAGCCGTTTATGGTGCTCCCAAGGCAAGCTTGCAAATCAGCTAGAGAGTCAGCAGGTGATTTCCCGGTGCATCAAGCACTTGTCCTGGCAACAAGACTTTCCATGTGATACAGTAACTAGCCACTCCACAGTCCGCTGAAAGCAGTGATCCGCCTGCATTGAATGCATCTGAGAACCGTGTATATAAACACAGTCTCGCTTCTAGTCTTGAGTGCTTTACTCCATGCCTCATTCCACTGCTGTTAGCCTTCTCGCTGCAAAGTATAAACAAGTATTTATAAAGTTTCATTCAAGCGAGAAACCATCTTCCAAAATGAAGACTTCAAGCCTAATCGCAGTTGTCACTGCCGCCTGTGGCACCCTCGCGGCACCTACACCACGCGGCGCAGGGTCGAGCGTCGCTGACCTGCTCAGTGCTGGCGGCAGCGCCCTGCGGATAACAATTGAGCCCCTCGACGGTGGAGGAGACCAAGTCTTCCAGTTCAGCTCAACACAGGTTGTCAAGGCTACCCCGGATCAGGTCGTGAACGGCACAACACCGACCGGCGGACTGCCCGGCGCTTCTGGGACATACAACTTTGGCATCAACTCGCAGACTGATACAATTTGCTACAATATCACACTTTACGGATTCCGTGGGGAGTATCAGTCTCCGGCAGCCACCGCCACCCATCTACATGAAGCTGCCCGTGGTGCCTCTGGGCCGCCCAGGATTGCATTCCCCAACCCACAGCCTTTGGTCGACAACAAAGATGTTAGGAACAGTGTCGGGTGCCTCACTGGTCCTTTCAAGACTGGGCTCCTCGCCAATGGAGTGGATACTGGTACTGGGTTCAAAGTAGCCAGCATCGAGAAGAATCCGGCGGGGTTCTTCGCCGATGTGCACTCTAGCCTCGCAGTTCCTGGCGCAGTCCGAGGACAGTTGGCTTGAGTTTTCCGGCAGAGTGAAGTACAGATGTGGAACCCACGGAAACGTAACCTTGTTTTGAGACAAGACGGTGGATGTCGGAGACGGGCACAGGTCATGAGGCACGCTGCTGCCAGCATTGTAGGCGGATTAGGCAGTCAATTAATTCGATAGTTTTGTTTTAGTTTATGGCCAAAACACAATGATGATGAAGAGATCAAAGCCATGTGCTGTAATTGGCCTGCATTCGTCAGCCATGAGTCCTTTGAATCTCAAAAAAATGAATGGGCTTAGCTGAGTGTCTAAGTCCCATTGTCCATTGAAGTTTGGTCTTAGGGAAAAGGCCAGCGGCTCCCTGCTTATGATACTAGAGGCCAGGTGCGGTTCCCCAAATTTAATACTATACGGCCCTTCGCACACTATGGGGATAGTATCAATTTTGCCTAGCCTCTAGATTGCCAGCCGGGGGGGGGGGTCGTAATTATATTGCCAGCCAGGGGGGCCTCCGAGGAACCGCACTAAGGGATAAGCGTAGCTGGGGAGTAACCTGCTGCTGTGCGAAAGGCTATTTAAAAGTGAATAGAGAGGGCAGAGGGCAAATAGGCGAATGGGGCGCCAAAGGGCAGAGGGCTGCAAATGGGCGAATAGGGCGCCAGAGGGCAGAGGGCTGCAAATGGGCGAATGGGGCGCCAGAGAGCCAAAGGGCGCACGGCCCCCTTGCCCCACAGGTACAAAGCGATACATCAACCGATCAATCCCCGCACGAAAAACATTTTGCAGATTTACGGTGCTAAACTCAACCGCAGCCGGGAGCGCCCCTCGCAAGCTCGGGTCACTCCCAGCTACGCTTAATTAATTACCGCTCTGGAAGGAGGTTATTTATCTCTTGGGAAGACAAACCACCCCGTTCACGAGTTCTGTATTTGGGGAAGGGTGTCTGCATCCTGCCCTTTGTCCTTCGTGCCTACAACCTTGACTGGAGCTTGCTTCAGTCGTGATGCACACCTTGCGCGTGGGATTTCTACCCGGTCTGGAAGTCACCCTCCCCTGACGCACAGGAGGATTTCTCCGCAATGTCCAGCTCAAGCGAATGGCGGCAAAATAACAATTGGCGGATAAGGGCGCCCCTCGCTGACCGCAGAGACGAAAAGTCATCACCGAATCCCGGCCCAGCGCATGCTTCTCGAGTCTGGCGGAACATCGACGGCTAGGGAAAATCCAAGACGTATCAGCGGGGACAACGGCATCTGCCTGGTCAGCCAAGGCAAGTTGTTACCCAGCCAGCCTCCACTGAGTCGGGAGACACGATCGCACAAGGGAGGCGCATCTATCTCGGCAATCTCCTCTATCGAATCAAACCCGACGAGATTGAGGAGATGTTGGTGATGGAAGGTTTTGGCGACGAAGTCGAAAGTATCCATATTTCCGTCGATCCTGTGACTGAGCGTAACCCGGGCTATTGTTTCATTGACTTCAAGACTCGCAATGGGGCACAGACAGCCCTGGAGTCGCTGACGGACACTTCAATTCAAGGCCGACCGGTCAAGGTCGGACCATGCCAGCCCAAACGCGTCCAACCGGCCGAGATGAGTGACGATTTCACGCCGACCTTCCAAAGATGGGGTGACTGGAAGGGTTCACGGCCGAGCGAACCAGCCGAGCGTTGGCCTGGCGATGAAGGAATTGAGCAAGGACCCTATGGGGCACTCGATCACATAGACGCGGTCAGAAAAGCAGACATGTCAGCTCGAGTGTACCTCGGAGGGCTGGGCAAGATGATCAACCAGGAGGAGAACGACCGGGAGATCAGGGGCTATCTCGACGGCTTCAACATGTTTGTGCACCTTCTCCTTGCTGTTCCGCCAGACGAAACAAACACTAGAGTTATTGACTGACTGGCATGCGAACTCTGAAGTATCGCAATCAGCAAGCGGATCACCCCTCACCCGTCCACAAGGGCAAGGCGCGGAAACCACCATTACTGCTTTGTCGATTTCAAAAGCCCAGAGGCAGCGCAAGAAGCCATCCAGGCAGTCAGTGGCCGAGTCATTTCTGGAGGCAGGCTACGGCTTCGAATGGCTCGAGGACTTCCGTCAAGTGTTGTGGACTAATCCAAAGCATGCATCGGAACGGGCGTTGTATCAGGGCAGTGGAATGTGATATTGGAGGCCAAAAAACAAAAGGAAATCACCGATTCCATGGGGAATTGGTCCACATCTCAACTTTCGTAGCCACATTTCACTTGCCAGCGCCTGAACCTTTACCCCTCTGGCTCATGAGCGACTAGGATCGGCCGTGTTATTGCTCTCATTTGGCAGGTCTAATGAATGAGAGGAATCAAGATGACTGGCGCCGGCTGACAGTGAATTCATATCCCGTACGCACACATCAATTCGTATGTATCTTGACCTAACATCCGCCCTACTGAATGAAGAATACAATTATTTCCATCCAGCCCCTCATATAGCACCTTACACATGTTGGCTTGCAGCGACCTGACCGGCCTCTTTGTCCGCGGAAGTAGTTATTACTCCTTGGTCAGTGTCGAGAGTGCGATTTCCTAGGAGCTCTGGCCGCTCCTCCTTAAGCTTCGAATGTCTTTTCGGCGTCCCAGACCCACTGTAGAATCCCCAGTCAGCTATTAATCACCAAAGAAGCTGTACAGATAACTGGAGATACAACGGGAGACATTTCCCCATAACATGTGCCGCAAGCTACATCTCCATAGAGAGGAGCAAGACCTTATTCGCGTGCAGAAACTAGGTGTTCGGATAACTCTTGATACCCAGGAAAGCGAAGAAAATGTGCCGATGATACTTACAGGTGTGGGTGCCGCAAACAACAGGTCCATTTCTTCCAGTGTCCTTTGATTGCTCTCCGGATAAAGCGCCCACACGATTGGAATGGCGACGACGTTGCAGGCTCCAAAGATATATAACTGTGGAGTTGTCGGTCAGAAAAGTCCGGAAACGTATTCTCTTTGGATGAACCGGACGCCACTTGTCTGGAGTGTGCACTCGGGGGAGGGGCGTCGGTAGCAAACACGCAACTCCAGCCAAGACTTACCGTCTTTTCACCGATGGCGTCGAACATGACTGGGCACAATAGTGTTAACCAGCCGTTACCGATAGACCAGCCAAATACACCCCAGGCATTGCCTTTGGCCCGGACCTGCAATGGGAATATCTCTGCTGGATACAGCCACGGCACCGTGAGCCATGTTGCACCAAAAACCGACGTGAAAATGAAGACAAACGATGCGGCCGCCGCCCCGTAGGAAGCGGCTTGCCCCGAGTCTCCCGCGTTGCGTGCATCCTGACCAAGGCGAGAGAATCCACCGGCCAGGAACATAGCAATGCCTTGGCCGACTGCACCCCAATATAGGGTCCAGCGTCGTCCGATACGATCAAGGGTGAAGACGCAGATGAGCGTTGCGAACATGTAGAAGATGTTGTTCAAGCCGCTGATCCACGCGCTCTTTGTAGAGTCGTACCCCGCGATTCCAAAGATGGTCGGCGCATAGACTGTAACACCTGCGATACCAACCCATTCCTTTCACAGTGGCAGTCGGCGTTAGCCCGGCACCATATAGATTTCAGCACGAAGGGGATCAGAGATAATTGACATACCTGGATAATCTGCAGCCAAATCACAAGCTGCACACGCCTGCCGGTATGCAGCTCCCCTGAACCAATGCCGAAGAGCATGTGGAGGTATGAGTTGTTGGACGACTCTTTGGCTTCCAAGGCAACAATGTTGCGGATGTCATGGTATTCGGCAAGAGCCTTTGATTCCCCTGCGGCATCGGTACCACGGAGGCGACGCAGGATGAAGCGAGCTTCTCCGTCGCGGCCGACCTTGGTGAGCCATCGAGGAGACTCTGGGAAGAACCAGACTGCGCCGAGGAGGACAAGCAGCGGGATGATCTGAAATGCGATGGGAAAGCGCCATGCGATGGAAGAGTTGCCACCGTCCACGAAGGAGAGTCCAAATTCAAGCCAGTAAGCTACTACAACACCAAAAATGTTGAGGCTGTAGGTTTCTCGTTAGGGACAGCAAATAACCACAATACTTGATCTGGGAAACCTTGAGACCGAGACTGGGAACTCTAGTTTTGATACCGCGAAGAGCGTAGTGCGACCCCTTTTGCGCCAGGAGAATAGAAGAAGACTTGTCATTTTGCAAAAACTTACGTGAACTCGATCGCGATGAACTGACCGCGAGACGTGTGCTCTGCCGTCTCGGTTGCCCAGACGGGGACAATCGCGTTAAGTATGCCCGTACCAATGCCATTCACAGCTCTTGCTAATGTGCCTTGTCAGTATGCATAAATGTATGAACGGGATGGCCATCGAAGCTTACCGCATATCATCCATTCGTGATTTTGCGATGAGCATTGTAGAACAGCACCGACGATAGCCCACAGCGCGCCAAAGGCAATAGTTGTAATTCTGCCGACCTTGTCGCCGACCCAGCCACCAAGAAGACAGCCGAATAGTGTGCCGAGGTAGTAAACAGATACAATGCCGCCTATGACAAAATTTGTTGTGAGGACATATGTCTTCATTCATTCCGGGCTCAGGATCTTCAAACGTTACCTTGAAGTAGACTGTCTGTTATCACGACAACACCACTGTCTTTGTAGCCGAACCCCATTAGTTCGATGTAGTCTTTTGCGGTGTTTACGCCTCCCATCATGCCTTGATCATAGCCAAAGAAGAAGATGCTAAGTGCAGCTATGCTGTTGATGGCGATGAGAAGCTTGCGCTTCTCAAGGTGATTGGCCACATTGAAGCCCTTGAGTCTTTGCAACTCGCCCATGGTGCCCGGTCTTGATGTTTGTTAGTTAGGTGTGCTTCACAAGGGCCCAGAACATAGAGATACGACCGGGTCGGCAGTGAAATGACTGTGCAGCGACGGTACCTGTTCGCGGACAAGTGTACGCATATGTAGTCTGCAGATCTATTCGATCCGGCTTCCTCCGGCTATTTCAGAGTGAAAACAACTGTGGATCATGCTGAGGGATAATTGCTGCAGGTCGTCCCGAATGCTGGACCACAATCCGGCGCTTCATCGGACTCCTGAGGGCACGAAAGGTCAGAACCCAGGTGGGGATCCGTCTCTGTGGGCACACTTCTGAGTGGCAGGCCGGGAGAGCTCGTGCCCATATCATGGCGTTGTGCACATACTCTCTCCCCGAATTTTGGTTGTGGTTCTGATGCGCCCCAATGAAAGATCGTGGGGGGATGGAGACTGGGCCTCGAGAGGGCCACTAGTCATGCGGGGACCCCATTCAGATGACGTACCAGCATGGGACTTGGACGTGAGGATCAGACGTAGATGGATCCGACGCCGGATGCAGGTGCATCTCACGTTTAACAGAGAACCAATAAACCAAGGTCAAATCCCGGTGGAGTTGGCTGCCGCCGAAATCACATTTTGGCTTTGGGAGTAAAGGAGAGAAGGCCGCAGGAAAGCGCATCTAAGTTCAAAGTAGATGTGCATATTATGGCATGACGATGAGAGCTTGAGCTTGGCTAGGTAGGGGAGGGCCGCGGGTTCGGGAGCTTCCGACCTTTGGATCGTGACTAAGAAATGCAAGCCATCTCGCGGGATGCAAGGCGCGCCACAAAAGGTCTGGGCGATGAGACAATATGCCCGGCGAGTTCGGCTGGCGAGTCTTTACTCGGACATGGGTGTTAAAGTTATGGAGAGTGTCTATGCCCGCGGACGTCTGAACCTGTCATCAACATCACCTCCAACTCACGATGAGCTCCCGCCCGACTGCAGCATCCCCCCCTCCGAAAAGGCTGAGAAGAGAGATGATGAGGCCAGAACGAGCTTCGCAACTTGTGTCAGCAGAAGGTACTTATGCAGGTCAAGGGTGCTTTTCCGTCACAAAGGGAAGGAATCGAAGGAGTGGATTAACGGCACCTTTCCGCACAATATACAGTGTAGGAAACAGTGGCTGTGGTTTATGCACATTTGGAGGTGTATGTTCCGAGTGAACAAGTCTCAGGGATTTGCGGTATTTCACTGGTATGACTCCGGAAGCAGAATTAATACAGCAGGTGGATTTTTGAAACAGAGTCGACACAATAGTTAGTGCCTGACACGTATCTGCTCATCGTGACTCAAACTCTACTTCGATGATACACAGGATGTTTATAGACTATTGGGAAAGGTAACAAAAACACCATAGGCAGGAAAGAACACATGCCTAAACGAGCAGATGAGCCAGATAACAGTAGACGTCTTGGAGGGAGTCGAGAATGGCGTGGACGAGATTGCAGAGACATTATAGCCTGATACGGCAGGGACCAAATTAACTAGATTAAACGCGCCGCGCCGCATTAATAATTGATTTCAAGAAAGACTTGTGTTTTTATTTCAATGGTGACCTAGAGTTACTACGTAGAGAATGGGGTGGAAGATGGTAGAGAGCCTTGGACCGCTTGTATACAGTCAGTTTGTGCGCGGAGCCTGGGCGTGGATAACCCTCCGATTTGACCCCAGAAAATCTATTGCAGCAATTTGATTTTGGGAGCTAGCTGGCTTCGGAAAAAAGCATCTATCTCAAGGCATATTTATAAGTCTTTCAGGTTCCACCATGTGTAAAGGATGACCTGGTACCCTCTACGGCTAACAAGACAACAATCCCGGCGCCATGGTGTCTTTGCTTATATTACCATTCTTCACAAAATGAAGTCACGGTAGGACCTGGAAATAGGAGGACATTCTGTCTGGTAATATTGGTACAGAGGTTGATCAGCTTGGTTTGTGCGTATCTCACACTATTTATCCAGGCATACCTACATATGCATTGGTCTACTACGGTAACTACGAATTCGTCTCGCCCCTTGCGCGGCCGGACCCACCAGCGCCCGTTACTTAAGGATACCAGACAGGCCGCGGCTGTTTGTAGAACAGACATAAATCGTTCGAAAAGCTAGTGCGCATTGCAAAATATACTGTCACCTTAGAAGATTGCGAGAAGATCCTGGACTCGAATGATGACTAACGGGCTTTGCGCTGAGACGACTTGACGGGGGCATACTGTAGTCTACACTGGTGACATCATCATCTGGCGCTGACTTTTTGGTTCTTGGCGCCCGAGCTGCTCGACCAGTGTGGTATCTGGGCCCACCGGTGGCCGTAGTGATCCAAAATGGATGACGATTTCGCTGATTCAGATGGCACGGTATTTCTCCATGTAATTCCATTGTAGACTACGAGTTTTTTTCCAATGCCATGAACCTCCCAACGCTCCCAACAACACCCCCACCGAGAAGCAAAACTGTGACCATCCAGCCCTGGACATTGCTGTAAGAGGAGGCTCAGGTCGACAGACTTGCCGCTCGACAGGCATCGACGACCAATTGGACGACACATCCCGAGATCATTGACATGAATTCGCAAGACCATAAGAATGGTGTAGACTCGGCTACAGGTGCGGACGAGGAGCACGGCCAGGGGAATGGACTCGGTCGCCTCAAAGAACAGCAGCCTCACAATTCCGTCGGGTTTTGGCATCCCCATATGAGCAAGGTCCGCCGTCATGTCATCCTGCTCTGGTTCCGGACCGGTAAGTCGTCGGAAACCTTGATATTCGCGAGCTGCTGGTCACGAATCTCACACATACTTTCCAGTGCTCATCCTTTTGGTCGCCATCCTCGCCATCCTCTCGCTGTACTGGGGCGTTCTCTTCCGGGTCGAGGCAAACCTGCGTTCCATCGTTGTCCACGTCGTTGACTTCGACGCAACAGTCACCCCTTACAACGGTGTTGAGCCAGTCGTTGGACCGGCCGTTGTGGAATTGACCCAGCAGCTCTTCAAATCCCCCACGCCATCACTTGGCTTTACCACTGTGCCCGCCTCCGAGTATGGCAACGATCCGCTCCAGGTGCGCGAGGCCGTGTACAGATGGGACGCATGGGCCGCCGTCGTAATTAACCCCAATGCCACTTTCCTGCTGTGGGAAGCCATCGAGACTGGCAACTCGTCGTACGACCCTACCAGCGGGGCAGTGCAGGTTGTCATCCAGACCGCTCGCGACTCGACAACGATGCAGAGCAATATATCGCCATACTTGCAGAAGTTCACCGAAGAGTTTGGCGCCACGTTTGGCCCCATGTGGGGACAAATGATCATGTCCAACGAAAGCCTCCCGCGAGAGAATCTGGCCAGGGCCGCCGCAGCAGTCAACCCCGGTGTAACACCCCTTCTCTACGACCTTCGGCCTTTCCAGCCACCAACCGCAACCCCGGCTGTTAGTATCGGCCTCATCTACCTCATAATTATGGCATTTTTCTCCTTTAGCTTCTTCCTCCCCATCCACATGAAGTACATCCAGCCCCAGGGCCACCCGCCGCTGCACTTCTGGCAGCTCATCATCTGGCGATGGCTTGCCACCATCGCAGCGTACTGCCTCATCAGCCTCGCCTACTCCATCATCTCACTTGCATTCCAGATTCCATTCTGGCCTGGGCCCGCTAGCCACGTCTATTCGCCTCCGCCGGAGGGAGCGACAGCGTATGGCAAGGCTACTTTTGTCGTCTACTGGTTGGTCAACTACCTCGGCATGTGTGCTTTGGGACTGGCCTGCGAGAACGTGGCTATGTTGATTGGCCAGCCGTGGACAGCGTTGTGGTTGATCTTCTGGGTGATCACCAACGTATCTACCAGCTTCTACAGCCTCGATCTAGCGCCAGGGTTCTACGGCTGGGGCTACGCCTGGCCGCTGCACCATCTTGTCGAAGCGAGCCGGCAACTGTTGTTCGACCTGCATTCCAGGATTGGCCTGAACGTAGGCGTACTGTTCGCGTGGTCGGCTATCAACACTGTTCTGTTTCCCTTCTGTTGCTATTTCATGAGGTGGAAAGGAGAACACGAAAAGAGGCAAGCGGAGAAAAACAAGGATCGGTACGTGGTTAGCACCCAAGATGGCGAGAAAGAATTGGAAAAGGAAAAGGGTCAAAAGCCACCAGTTAGAAAGAGAGGTTTCATGAGAGGTGTTTAGATTTGACTAGAAGTGCCGCCGAAGTTGGAAACTGAAGCAAACACTATACGGCGCCAAGTAGTCAATTGGGAGAGATCTCCTCGACATTGGATAGAGAGAATAGTGTGAGACATCAACATCCATCAATACCTAGGTGATAATGCCTCATCGGAAATAGTTTATTCATAGATAGGTTTGCTTTCAAGTATATATCTACGTCGTACGCTGCTCCTCCAAAAGGCTAACAAACTAGCGCAGCACTATGAATAGTACCTCTCTCGGGCAGATGGGCCCTTTTTGTGTCGATATGCCTCGAAATGAGCCTCCTCGTAGTGGTCACCGTGAAGCTCTTTTGCGATTTCATTCAGATCAATGTGTGCCACCGCGTCGTCACCGTCGAATATGCGCGCAATTTCTTCAAGCGTTGGGCCTTTCGTCTCGACGTAAAAGAGCCAGACAAAAATCAGTTCAACCACATCCCAACACGTGTAGAAGAGCATAAACATCCAGTGGCGGGGGAAACTGTCCCAGGCGATCTTGTTGGTTTGACTGGTCATATGTCAGCAGGTGGATGCTTCGGCCGGGGGAAGGGGGCTGGGCCCGAGAGACATACTTCCCAACGGCAAGGACAGCTTGCACGGTAATGTTCATGATCATCATGCCCTTGGCACGTAGATGGAACGGGAGGATTTCTAACGCGTAAGCGACAAGCAACCCGGAGAAGCCAATGTCGTAGAAGATGCCGAAGAGCCAAATGAAAACAAGCTGTGCATAGCCGCTCTGGATGTTGGTCAGATTGGAGTTCTCATAGATCGCGCCGGTTGCCGTCCATGCCGCAAATGCGACCACCATGCCGCTAGTAGAGATCAGAAACAGTGGTCTCCGGCCGAATCGGTCAACGTTGAGGGCTGCCGCGATGGTCACAACCAGATCGAGAATTGTCTTGCCGGTGGACATGGCAAGCTTCTGGCTCTGCATAGTGATGCCGGCACCTTCGTAGATGGTATTCATGTAGTTGGAGAAGAGAGCGTTGCCCGAATACTGCGAGATTATGCCCAGGGAAATGATGATGGCAAGCCGCCACCTGTTGCCCTTGGTGCGCATGAAGTCCAGGTATGATGTCGCCTTGTCAGCGTCCCTGTCCATTTGGATGGTTTGCTTGATTTCCTGGAACTCGAACTGCACGACAGCGTCGTGAATGTCTCCGCCAGAATGACACTTTGACAAGACGATCAGAGCTTCCTCGTTCCGGTCTTTGTTGACCAGATATCGCGGCGACTCTGGTAGCCACCAGATGAATGTGATTTGTATGACAGAGGGAACGATTTGTATCAGTGTGATGGACCGCCACGACCAATCGTTATCGATATAGGCTGTTCCCCATCCGATGGACGAGACAAGAAGAGCACCGAGGTTCCAAAGACAATTATAGATGGCAGTGACTGGGCCACGGTGCTGTGGGTGGCAGATTTCGGTCAACAGAAGGGGCGAGGCCATTTGCGCCAAGGAGTTTCCAAAGCCCAGGAGGAACCGTCCCGTGATGTAGACTGCGAACCCTAAAAATCAGCACTTTCTCAACCCCGGACGCGTGTCGTGAAGCCCGTCCACACTTACGCGCGTAGCCGTCGCAGAACGCAGTGAGGCACCCTCCGCCGATCATGAATATACAGCCCGCAATGATGGCGTTCTTTCGGCCATAGTTGTCCGCAACGTATGGGGTGATAAAGAAGGACACAATGGACCCGATGTTGAACATGTTGATCAAGACACCGAGCTTGTTGTTGTCGTCGATGTCCAACCCGAAATACTCCTCCCAGCGACGGATCTGCTGCGAGGTGTTGACGAGCATCCCATCGTAGCCCGTTGTCGCGGAGGCGATCATGAGCACCAGAGACATGGCATACAGCTTCCGCAGGTGAGGCTCCCTGTACCATGTCACCCTTTCGAACCGTGGGGCCTCAGGCCGAGCCACCTCCATCTCCGCCTGTGGTCTTCTCGCGCCGACCTTTGACATTTTTATTCGCGAGAGTATGTCTGGCTGTTCTTGGTTCCCCGTCCGAGACTGTTCATCGGCAAGCCGTTCAAAGCTCTTGGATGAGGAGATAGGCATTGTAGAAAGATGCAGTGCGTGTGGCCGGGGCCCGAGTGGAGAGACGCTGGATTAAAGAGCACCCAGCTCACGCCACATGGGGGCAAATCGTCGGCAGCGGTCTGGCTGCCCTATGCCCTAGCCAAGAAATGCAGCAGCCCGTGGTGTAGTACCTAGATATCACCGTGTCAGGCTCCGAACCGTGGAAGCGTGACACACGAGGTCCGTCAGACGTGAGGAGCAGAGTCTCAAAGCAGAAAGTTCGAGACTCTGACATGGAAGAGAGCCAGATATAGAGTGATCGCCATGTCCAGGGAACAACCTGGAGAACAGGGGATCATTACCCGTCTGGCCGGGGCGGAAGGTCTGACAACGGGATGGAGGGTTGCTCGTTTGGCTCTTCATGCGCGACATAAGTTGGCGATTGGCTCGCCGCGGTGGCTCCCCCGGACTGGGATCAGCTCGAGATGCGTGGAAATCCCTCCGACGCACCCCCCCCCACCCCAACTAGATCGGGCTCCCTGGCTCCTTCAGGCTGCTTCGTGGAATGTCTTTTTCGCTATGCGTGTCGGTGCAAGACTAATGTCGGTCCCCCTGGCCCCCTTTTCGCGCCCGCATGCCCGCTGATTGGGCGCCTCCCCGCAGACCCAACAGGTGCTAATTGCCCTTTGCGGAAACTCGGCCACGGCCCTCCGTTTTCCCCGCCACATAGCTGCCGAACTCATGATCACGAGGGAGTCTTGATGATTTGGTCTGCCGGCGGAATGGAGGAAGGACCCAGCAATAAAGCGACAGGAAGAAATACAAATTCTGGAAGCATCTCAGTGGTGACTACCTGACGGGGCAAATAAGTGGTGGTCAAAGTTGCCTGTGATTGTGCTCCAAAGTTTGGTTCTCCCCCTGCTGTGCCACCGAAGAACATATTCTAGCTGGCTTGGCAGCCTAGGAGTTGGATCCAGAAACAAGCCAGAGAACAGACTTAGAGCTGAGTGTGCAGCTGGTCCAGCTGGTGTGGTGATACAGAAGGATTCAACCGGACTGACCAGTGGGAATATCATTTCCAGGGCCATGGAGAAGGATCCGTGGCTAACAACTGAGCCGTGATGACCTTATAGTGCAGGCGCGATGGCTTCTTTTACAGACGTAGCGAGTAAGAAAGCGAACTGGGCTCGTGGCTGGTTGCCTTGGTGAACGGAGAAAGAGACTAAGCGTTGTGTCGAAATTTTAGCGTGCGTCCTTCCCCAGGGAAGCGAGAAGCGGCATGCAGTTTACTGACCCTGCATGTTCCTCATCTTAGGGTACAGGCTTACCAGTGGACGCGCAGGAACAATGTTGCTCATGTGTTTCAGCGGTCCCACTGACCTGATGTAGCTACGTCGACATTTGATGTCGGAACCCTCATGCATGGCAGTCCACCCTTCTCGTCATTCGCTCGGACCGGTCGAAGTATTGCCGAGTCATGGATTACATATGCACAAGATATCGTTCCGACGTATGATTCTCCCCTTTCCCTACCTAGGTGATGCTTGGCGAGGACAGGCTTCCTCCAATACATCTTTCTTATGACTAGAAATTTGATATAGATCCCAGGTGCGAGGAAGTGAGTGGGCAAGGACATAGGATATAAGCCTATGATGTCTCACGGGCTTCGGCGTCTTCGCGAGGTATGAGGGAAAGTAGGCCTGTCTTATCAGAGAAAAGCCAGAAGAGGCTGGTGACTCGTCGGCTGCCTGTGCAAAATTTCAAGCCCTGCAAGGCTTGGACCAACATGTCGGAACCGGCCAATACCTTTGTAAACCAAGGCCAACCAGAAAGAACGGCGATTCTCAGTCTCTGCAAGACCAACGGATAAGGTTGAAGTGAGATAGCGCAACTTGAACTGCTTGAGACCAATATGACCCAACTGCTGCCTAGATTTTGTCAACTGGTGGAGTAACTGGGCAATTGAGAGACAGCCAGTTCTCTCCACGGCTGATAAAGTTTTAGCTTAAACCCTACGACTTTCTTTCGGGTAGCATCTGAATGCTAAACAGTACGTGTGAATAGATACATATGTAGCCACATTATGGTGGAGCAATCCCGGTCGGCTGCCTGCGGCTCTTGAAGCCAACTGCGGTTGTTGCCTAGCGAACTCTCTTCTTATTCTACCAATATATTGATGCATCTTTCAGTTCAAAATTCCACCGCGGCAGCTGATCACAGTCTACGTTTTATAAAAGGGGGTCTCCTTCCCGTTCCAGCTCATATCTTTGATGGAAACATGCCACAAACATCCTTCACCACTTATCAGCTTACCAGTCGTTTCAGAAGGTCCCAAATCCCTCATTCATACTTCAAAGCACTATCAAGTGCCATCTATTGTAAACAGTCCTATTGGAATCAACATTATGGCCACATCTCAGTCAGAGTCTCAATCCGAAGTCCCACGTGATCCAGTCACAGCCAAGCTACTGGATCAATTGCGTGACGAGCTTGGAAAAGAAACAGAAAAGACCATCTTCACCTGTGGTGCCACAATTCCCATCACCAAGCCTGGTCAAGCCTTCGCATCCGACAACACAAAGATCTCAACTTCCGAGCCTGTCACTATCCGCTGGGATCCAGCGACACCGGAAACACCAGCGTCGCGGGCCAAACTCGTCCACCCCATCGTGCCCAACAGCCAGGGGAATATCGAGAAGCTGATCAATGATTTGGAGCCCGCCAGCTTCGGCTACCATGCCAAGGATATCTTCGATGAGACGTATCGAAAAGCCCTCAAGTTGGACACCAATAAGTTCGCTAGCACTTTCAATCCCTACGAATGCGGCATCATCGATGGCATTGCGCAAGTGCTTTTGCCAAGCACTCCAGAATCCGACCTCCGAAGAGGTGTGAGGGCGGAGCTGTACAAGTTGAATGTAAGTTCTCACCTCGGGCTCCCTTCGGCTCCGAACGAGCCCATTTGAACTTTCGACGACCTTACTCATTGATAAGGGACTGGGATGCATACTTCTTAAGAAGCATGCGTATACAGATTAAAAACGAGACCACTTACTCATTGATGAAACTCAGGTCTACTCCAGCCCATCTGGCAAGTTCAAACCACATATCGACACCCCTCGGGGCAGCACCCAGTTCGGCTCCCTGGTTGTCTGCCTACCACTTGAACACGAGGGCGGACAGCTCCAGGTCCGACACAAGGGGAAGGAGGTGACCTATGATTGGGGTAAGCACCAGGATCAGATATCGTGGGCGGCATTCTACAGTGACTGTGAACACGAGGTACGCCGCTCTTCACATAAATTAAGCCCAAAAGAAGAACTGCGAATTAAGGAAGGAGATAAGAGTAAATCCGGAAAAACTTTAATAAAAGTATAAGTATATAATTATATTAAAAGCAAGCATAAAAAAGAATTAATGTTTTTTTAAAAAACTTATTAATTAAAAAAATAAGGATAAATATAATATAAATAGCTTTATTTAAATTATTTATAATTAATTATTACTTAGCAGCTTATTAATAAGCATTTAAAAAGGTAAGGTTTATAATACTTAACTTATCTTTTAAAATTAATAGGAAATATTTTTAAGAAGGATTAAAATAAATATTTTATTTTTAATTAATATAAGGGTATTAAAAAGCTATTTTATTACTTTAAAGATCTTAAGATTAAGCATTTTAAATTAAATAATATAAAACTTTACCGTTATTTTTAAAATATATATTATAATTATAACTTTATTATTATTTTTAAAGTATTATAATATATATACTTTATTTTAATTTTATTTATATATCTTTATCTTAATATATTATCCTTTATAAGTAGTATTAATATTAATATTTAATTCTGTTTAAGTTCTTCCATTTTTTAATTAAGTTATACCCTTTGCCTTCGCCCCTGCCTTGCGTGTTACGGTATAAGTTTGCTGGCATAAAACGGGAGACTAACGCTTGCTGGAGAAGAGCAAAATAACCTTTTGAAACACGTCCGGGAGCTCATGAATTTGTCAGGGTTGTCAGAGAAACGAGTCATTGTTATGCGCAAGAGCACGCCCGGGATTTGTCTTTATGTCAAATGAATGTAAAGCTTCCTGACAAGGGCGAAACAGTTAAAAGGCAACGTTACTCACGCGCATCATTCCCTGGAGTCTAGGGGCAAACCCAACAACTTTCCCTCTGATCCGTGAAAAAATTATTCCACTACAACACTAGAACAATTGCTTATTGTGCTCATTAGTCCAGCGTACTCGTTGGGTCTTGCCTTCCACGACCATGTACGGGAACCTCACCCGTGCTGGCGAATTTCCATCCAGTTACACTGATGAGGGTTTGCCGTTTCAAAACCGGAAAAGCACAATCATATCTGTGATCGCGTCTGGCGTAGTATGAGCGCTCTGAACCAGGACATGACAACTCATTGCTGACAGTCACAGGTTGTGGCCTGGTTATGCGTCGGCTTAAGGATGTATGTGAGATTACGCGTCGTACGAGCACCTGGATGGGATGACGTTGTAGTTTTGCTTGCATTGGTAATACTGCTACTCCAAAGGCAAATCATGATAGGTGCTGACTCTAAAGCTTGCCGGTTCAACAAGCGCGATAGGACTCTCTTTGGGTAACGCACCCCGGCCCCACCTGGTAGTGGCGATCTGCATGCACACGTTGGACTAACAGAGAATTAGCGACCGATTACGGGTTGGGCCACCCTTTCAGAGAGTGTCCTGATAGCGACAGAGAAATGTTCTTTCTCGTGAGCTCTGCCCATTTTTTGCAATGCTACTGCACCAAAATAACTCAAGCTCACACTTGGAGCAGTTATTTTACATGTCCAACGCGTCATTTTCCACGTCGAACGCCCTTGTAAAACTGTCTATCCTTTTACAATACCTCCGTGTATTCCAAGATCGGATGAGAAGCCTGAGGATTACTTCAATTGTTTTGATTGTTATCATCTCGATCTGGGGCTTCGCTTTCTCCTTCATGGCCTGGTTCCCCTGCTTCCCAGTACACCAGTTTTACCGCCTAGGTTCGGAATCAAATTGCTACGGATACGGCTCTACCAACCCGATGGACGTCTATAATGTCGTCGTGGCATCTAACGCGACAAATATGGCTCTGGACTTTATAATTCTTGTGGTACCTATCCCTTTGCTATTTAGCGACGATACCAATCGACGCACAAAGCTGGGGCTTGTGGGACTTTTCTTGATTGGAGCATTGTAAGATGACGCAGAGACTTCTAATCATGTTCTTCGTAATCAACAGGAAGTGCGTACTAATCTTTCGTCTAGAATCAATGTCATCGCAGCAGGGCGCATCGTCGCCAACAGGGCAACATCAGACAGAGAGCCCGACCCTACGAGCTCCTTCCCGACAATTGTGCTGCTGGGAGAAACCGAGAATCGATTATCTCTGGCGTTGGCATCGATCCCGGTGTTTTGGCCTGTGGTCACAAAGACGTGGAACAACTTTATCCTTGTCACGCATGAGGTTAAGGTGGAGAGCACGACCAGGGACTTTCCAAATCAATTGGAGTTGGGTGAAATTAGCCTGAGGCATCGCCCTATTACGGGGGTAGCGCACGTCAGCACCGAAGACGAGACGACGGAGGCAGGACTTCGACATCCCGGGAGACTCGGCGAAGTGGATTGGTATGCACGGCGGCTGATAAGCCCGTTTGTTGAGGCTCAAAAGGACGAATCTACTACTTTGACAACGGAACTTCACCCTAGCTTCATGGAGGAGTTAGAAGGACGTAATCTGGATTTTGAGACCGTGCCGGAGATGGCCAGGTCCTGTGGACCATTGATGAACGACGAGATGCGAGGCCTTCCAATACCGACAGGTGGGCAGAGGGCAGCACGTGAACATTTCAATGTACAAAACACAGAGAACGCTTGAATTTTCATAATCCACTCATTCACAGCCATGATTTGGCCATTCAAGTTGTGAACTCGGAATAATTTCGCCTGAGTTGGTTCAAGCGACGGGAGGTGAACGGACATGCCATGAATACATTGGCTCCGAACTAACTAAGGTATATTGAACTCCAAGAACCTACAACCACCCAGAAGTTTGAGTTTCCAACCACGGCAGTAGGACATCAAGAACTCCCTGCAGGTTCTCGGGGAACAATGCGTGGGATGCATCCTCCACAAACACCACAGTGGAACGGGTACCCACCAAGCCAGTGGTGTAGTTCCATTGATCCTCTTTCCTCCATGGATCCAAGGTTGCAATGACATCCAGGATCTGTGTGTTGTTTCCTCCAAGACCGCTCACGCCAGTACCTGAGACAGAGCCGACGGCGTCGAGGAACCAACTTGTCAACCAGGCTGAGGCGTCGTGGCCGGGGGCAAAGTAACCCAGCTCCAGTGCCGCAAGTCTATCCTCGACAGTATTGCTGTAGTTGCTGGCAATCGTGGCAGTAGCGGCGATTGTGGCGTTGGTATTGATGCCAGTGTTGATGCATGCCAAAACGATAGACGGCACCTTCTCCGGGTACGTGGCGGCCATGTATTTTGTGACCCGCTGGCCGAGCGAGCCTGTCCTGAACACTGTTTTAATCTACAGCCCCGAGAGCCAATGTGACAGCAGAGGAACCCTCTGTCTGTCTTTGTCTCATGCGCTATTCCACACCACACTTTTGGGTGATCTGGTACCAATGCTGCGGGTTTAAAGATGAATATCGGTCATTTTAGACCACACAATTAAGACCACAAATGAAATTCGGTGTTTTCACTGTTAATGATCTATTTTCTAACATCGGATTATAAGAATGAACGGCATGTTTATGTTGTTCGTAGGTTCGATATAATTTAGCAGCCTCAAGCAGCCGATAGATCAGGCAGAAAGAGGCTCATTCTTCAATCCCCCACAATCCGAGCGGAAGCAATCAAGCTCTCACTGAATATCTCAACTTCGCGCGCCGCGGCCGGAATTCGGCCAAAACAAAAGTGCCAGGTGCGAGGCTGTTCTGTCCTTATCTTCAGGGGTAGGCTGCACGACTTGCTCGCACACACGGATGATCCCTAGCATATAACGGGGGAATAAGCTCCCTTAGTTATACCCGAATCAAAATAGTGTTGAAGGGCACTACTATCCCAAGTCGATTTGACAGCGTTTTACAGACTTGTGGAGTTTACCTATGCAGTGGGCTCCGGCTGTTTAATCATAGCTCTTTGCACTTTTCCTGGAGTAGAGCAGCTTTATTATTTTTTCCGAATTGGTTGAATAGCCGTAAGACTTTCATCCAAAATTCAACCACAGTTGCCAGTTGTGTACTAGGTCCTTTGCCTCCGCTGCTCGCTCGTGAGTCTCAAATTCTCCGAGAGCCTACTTATTAGTGAGATGTAAATGAGTAGGGCTAGGCAGTACAAAAGCTTTGCTCCAGAAGTCAAAGCCCCAACTATTACATATATAGTTCATACAATAATCAATAGCTTATGCCGTACATTGTCTAAGTTTGGTTAGTATAAATTCACTCCATTCTCAGACTGTGAACTGTGTCGGTGTGGCCATCCCCCAACCATGAGTAAGGGGCACTCAAAGTAAGTATCCATCGATCTCAGTATCAATTGCAAAATCTAATTAAGCACACGAGGTCAGACTTTCAACCGTCCTTCAAGAGTGGCCTCGCATGAAGGGGCTAGCAGCTGCATAAAGTGAGATAATAAAAAGAAGTCGAGGCGAAATAGCTGAGGCGACAAGATAATGCTTGTAGATCGGCATAACTATTTGCCACCGTCACTGCCCGGCAAGTCCTGCAGTTGCATTTAAATGCCAATAACGCCGCCCAATCCCTTCCAAACATAGCATGCACACCTCAATACCAGCACTTGATATTACCGGCCGTGGTTCTCAGTACATTCAATCTCCACCCTGCAGATGGATTATCAGCTTAACAAACGGAAACACCCTCGGTGCAAGGGTTTCCACTCTAACGACTACAGAGCCACTCACAATGACCTTTGCCGAGATTCCATGCATGTGGCGAACTGCATTGCTATTGTCAGACTCGGGGCGTCCCGATCTGTCACACAAAATTGCCGCTCCACTCTTGCGCTGCAATTGTATATTTTGTGACACAGTCATATGGTTGTATGCTCCGGCAATGAAAACGGGTATGTCTGGATGATAATGTCATTGGCTGCGTAGATGAAGCGTATATTATTGTTGCTTTGGTTGCAAGTGCCGTGCGGAGATGCATGGTCGATCTTGGTTGATTGTTGAGCCGCCGGAAGGAGTTTGGGCTATATAAATAATAACAATTCGCGAGAGAAACACCAAAATTCAGGTCTCTGTTGAACTTCACCTGGATTGTATTTCCTGCCACCCCTTCACATCTGAATAGGTCACATTTTCAACATGCGGAACATCTGCAGTTCTCTCCTACTGCCATCGCTCCTGATCGGAGTGAGAGCTGCAGCACTTCAAGCGCCTGTACCTGGGTTCTCGCCGAACATAGAGATGTAGGTAGCGTCTTATCCTTCTCTTTGCTTCATACGAGCTGACCAAAAGGATGATCCTAGTGTGCGGAACCCTGTCTATCCACTCGATGACGTTGATAAGCTAGAAGAGGCCACGATGCCCAAGGTCGAAGAATGGCTGGACAAGAAGATTGAGGATGGAAGTAATAATGGCTGTACCATGGACAACGCTGTGGTACGAAGAGAGTGGTATGTATGCCAATATTCAGAGGAACTGTCAACGATATTAATTCAACTTGACAGGAGCGATATGTCTGAGACGCAGAGACAAGACTACGTCGCTGCTGTGACGTGCTTGATGAAGCTACCTCCCACTTCAAACCTTACCAGGTTTCCGGGAGCTCTCAGCCGATATGATGACTTTGTCGCATATCACATGACACACGCTAGTGAGTACAGCAGCAGTTTCTGTCTATCCCTGACACCAGAGCGAAAAGGAACATCACTGATCATGACTGGCTCAGTGCAACTTCATGACAACCTCCACCTCTTCGGCGCTCACAAGTATTTTGTCTGGCTGTTTGAGAAAGCTCTTCGTGACGAGTGTGGTTACACTGGTTACCAGCCGGTGCGTTGATTCTGCCTTCTCCAGCCAGTGGGTACTGACCATTATTGACTCTCCGATAGTACATGAATTACGACCGTTATGCGATTGACCCGTTCAATTCTCCTTTGCTCAATGGCAACGCATCTAGCTTGGGAGGGAACGGTGTCTTTGAACCCACGTACAAGGGTATTCCGCAGCCTGGACGAACTCCCAACATAATCAAGTCGGGAGGTGGTGGAGGCTGCGCCAAGGAGGGACCGTTCTCAGAGTCGGTTACTTGAGTGCTTTTCGGACATGTGGCCTGTGTGTAACTGACGACTTTACAGCATGATCGTCAGCTTGGGACCAACCTCGACGTCGACGGGAACTAACCTCCCCAAGAACCCGAGAGCCGATGGCACAGGGCCGAATCCGCGATGCCTTCGTCGCGACATAAATAAGGATGCTTTCATGGGGGCTACGGCAGACCGCGTCTTCAATCTGCTCACCAAGAGCAAGGATATGAACAGTTTTTACAACACGTTGCTCGGCATGCCGCCACCAAAGAATGACTCGTATCCCTGGGGTGTACGTAAATTCCCCAAGGATATACTCCCGTGATCGGAACTGACACTCTTGAATCAGGTTCACACAGCAGGTCACTATGTCGCGGCAGTCGACCCAGGTGGTGATCCCATGACTTCACCCGGCGACCCCCTTTTCTACTTCCATCACACCTCCCTCGACCGCATCTGGTGGATCTGGCAGATGCAGGACGTGGACAACCGTTTGTACTCCTTGCCCAACGGAACTATGCCAATGAGGCGTCGACGGGCGCCGGACCCTCAGGACGTTATTGTGGACATGGAATGGCTTGGCCCACCGATCAACCTCTTCGAGACGCATGACCAGCTAGGTGGGAATGATGGAGCTTTCTGCTATATCTATGTTTGAGTTAGTAGTCATGCCGGTTTCACATGATGAAAATGAGGCTGGTCTTGACGCGGTCGTTCTAAATCCTCTCATGCTCGTTCAATGCAGAATGAATACAAGCTCTGTCGGATTCAATTTATATTGTACCAAATGAATGATCAAGCTGAGGCAGAATTGAGTGATATGGTTATAATACAATTAGAAAGCAACCATTTAACTGCTTAGTCAACAGCAATTATAACTTTGAGAGCGCCGTGCTTAGATGCCTCACCAAATGTCTCATACGCCGTTTCCATCTCGCCAAGCTTGAAGTCTGAGTCTCTACTTAGCAATTATCATGACCGTTCAACCAATTAATTGAGACTTACGGTGGGTAATAAGTTGTGCCGGCTTCAGTTTACCAGACTGAACAAGTTTCAACAGCATGGGAGTAGTCGTCGTATCAACGAGTCTGGTTGTGATGGCTGAAAGTTTTGTTAGCTGCGGAAAATGAATTGAACTCACAGATGTTCCTGTGCCAGATGTTCCTGTGCCAGATGTTCTATAAAGGCAGATGTTCTATAAAAGGACCCACAGATGTTCTTGTCCCAGAGATTCTGAAGGTGCAGATCCACCTTAGTCCCGTGGACGCCGACATTAGCAAGCACACCACCGGGAGCCAGCAACTCCTGGCAGAGGTCAAACGTAGCCGGAATACCAACAGCCTCGATGACAGTATCGCAGCCCTTGCCCTCCGTCTGTCCCCTAATAGTGGCAACAGTACCACCAGAACTGAGGACGACATCCGTGGCGCCGAACTTCTTAGCCACCTCGAGTCTGTTGGGGTCAGTGTCAATGGCGATAACCTGAGACGGTGAGTACATCTGCGCCGTGATGATAGCCGCCAGGCCAACCGGGCCGGCGCCCACAACCGCAACGGTCGCCCCGGGCTGCACTTTGCCACAGAGGACGCCGCACTCGAGACCGGTGGGGAAGATATCGCTCAGCATCACCAAAGAAGCCTCGTCCGCCCCCTCGGGGACCGGGTGCAGGCTTGACTCGGCGTGCGGGACGCGCACATACTCGGCCTGAGTGCCGTCGATGAGGTTGCCGAGTATCCATCCTCCCGTGGTGCAGTGGCTGTACATCCCCCTGCGGCAGTACTCGCACGTGCCGCAGCTGGAGATGGCTGAGATGAGGACTTTGTCGCCCTTCTTGTAGCGAGTGACGGAATCGCCGGTCGCATGCACGACGCCTACGCCTTCGTGGCCGAGAGTTCGGCCCGGTTGGCAGGTCGGGACATGACCCTTACGGATATGCAGGTCGGTGCCACAAATAGTGGTTTGGAGGACTTTGATGATGGCGTCCGAGGGGGCTTGAATCGACGGGATCGGCTTATCTTGCAGGGAGACGGAGTTGTTGCCGTCGTAGACGAGTGCCTTCATCGTGGAGGGATATAATAGGTTTTTCGGGTTTGTTGCGCTAGAGATGCTGTAATTGCGTGTGAAAGTTGTCGAGAACTCGGAGGTATACGTGAGCGCAAGAATCGCTCTTGAGGTGCGGAGTTCGTATAAGAAGAGAGGGTGGAAGTGGTCTACCGACTAGACTATGTTACCTGTTTTTAACTTATGGGTACTCACCAAATATGGTAATCCGGAAAAGCGGACCTCTCATAGACAACGAGACATCACGGACTTGGTTGGCAAAAGGCTCTGGTGGTTCTTGGAGTCGCCAGAGTCGGCCCACACGGCGCGTCAGGTGGCCCACAATGCACGAGGTGAAATGCGGGGTGCACAGGCGGGGAAGGTTTCAAGGATAAGAACAGAGAGTTTTCGACGGGGCACACAGAACCCACCCGGCACAGACAGAATCAGCAACTTGCCTAGGAACCCCAGCCTCTTGAGAAGGCCCGGCGTGCCCTGTCCCGTCAGCGATGTTGTCACGATCTGGCGCCGCCAAGCCTCCGCAGCGTGGCGCCGGCGTCGTGCGTCTCCTCGGTTTCCATGTGCTCATACGCCTCTAGCTGTCGGGCGAGCTACTTGGCCGCCCCCAGCGAGATGGCTAAGGACATTTAACTACATTTGGCGAGCCCCTGGATAGCAACCGTATCGCTAGGGCGTTCGTCCATGTGGCACATCTTGTTGACGCACGTCATGCTGGCGCATGGGATGGGCGCGTACCTGGCCGCGTTGGCGCGCTCGGGGATTGAGGCGACAGCTTCGACGTGAAGAATGGCACACGTATCCGGCGTCTGTAAGTGCGTTCCGTTGACAATACTTATGTAAATATTCCAGGCCGCACTCAGATTCACCGTGCTTTGTGTCGCCATTGGTCCTTGGCTGTTTTACATGTAGTACCACCCCTTCTTGCATGCTCGATATGCTCCCGTGCTCAACAGTGAGTAATAGGTCCTGGGTATCCAAAGACTTGCTGTGTTCCTACCGTCATGCCCGCCGTATCACCCAGTGCCGACATAGTCGCCGGCTTTCCAAGTCGAGACACCCTCGCCCACCTCAGCAACGTGCATGATGATCTAGTGGCCGGGGACCAGAGGGCTGACGATCGGTCAGATCACACAGTAACAACCATAAAAGGGACGACCAAAGAGATAATGGCTTATAAGACGCCGTGTGTAATATTCTGCCAGGAGAAAAGATTAAAGAAACCCATATTATAAAATTTTACCTTTATTAAGAAATTACTTATAATAAAATACTTAAGCTTAATATTTTTAAAAAGATTAAATAAAGGTATTATATATAAATTAAATTTTTTTATATTAAAAGAAATATAAAAATAACTTTTTAAAATATAATATTATTTTTATTTAATAAAATGTTGCTTTAAAATATATAAAATTATTTAAATAAATAATATAAACTTTTATAAAATAATTAAAAAAATAATATAAAACTTAAATATATAATTATAAATAATTTTAAATATTATTTATTATTTTTTTTTAAATTATTTATTTTTAAAATATTTATTATTTTTAATATAATTTATAATAATTTATTAATTTATTTTATAATTATATTTTAATTATTTATATTATTTATTATAATATAATATATATTTATATTATATTTATAAAATATTTTAAAAAAAATTATATTTAAAATTAATTATTTTTATAATTATTATATTATTAAAAATATATAATAATATATATAATTTTAATAATATTTATTAAATTTAAAAAAAATATTAATTTTATTTAAAATTATATATTTAATTAATATAATTATTATATTTATAAAATATTAATTAAATAATTTATATAATTAATATTTTAATATTAAATAATATAATAAAACTTATAAATATAATATATATTTAAAAAAAATATAAAATTTATTATTAAATAATTAATATTATTTTATAATTAAATTTTATAATTTTATTTAATTTTTATTAATTTTAATAATTATTTAATATAAATTATATTTATTTTTTATTTTTATTTTAATAAATAATATAAATATTATATAATTAAAAATTATTAAAAATTATATAAAATAATTATAATTTATTATTAATTATATTTTAATTTATTTATTTAAATATTTAATATATTAAAAATTAATAAATATAATATATTATTATAAATTAATTTAAAGTTATTTATTAAAAAATATTTAAATAAAATTAATATTTATTAATTAATTATAATAAATAAAGCTTAAATTATAATATATTTTTTTTAAAATTTTTATAATAAGTTTTAAAAAATAATTATATAATAAAAAATAAAAAATATTATAATTTAATTATAAATTAAATATTATTTATTATTTAATTATTTAATTATATTTTAATATTTTTATAATATATTAAAAACTTAATTTATTTTTTATAATTAATATATTTTATATTTTTAATTTTTATAATATAATATATTTTATATTTTTAATTTTTATAATATAATATATTAATTAAAATAAATTAATAATTAAATAATAATATTTTTATAATTTTTTAATTTAAATTTTTTATATAAACTTTTTTATTTAAAACTTTAAAATTATAAATTTATTATATAATTTATAATTAATTAATATTTAATTATAAATAATTTATTTTATAAATAAAAAATTTTATAATTTTTTAAATAAATATTTTATTTTTATTAATTTTAATAAATAAAAATTATATTTTTAATTTTTTTATAATAATTAAAATAATTATATATAAAATATTTAATTTTATTTTTTTAAATTATTATAATATTAATATTTATTATTTTATTATTTTAAAATTAAATATTAATTTTTTTTATTATAATATTAAAAATATTTAATATTTTTTATAATTAAATTAAATTTTTATAATAAAAATTAAATTAATAATTATTTATAATATTTTATATTTATTAAATTAATTAATTAAATAAAATAAAATTTTTTATTAATTTTTTTTATAATATTATTATAATATAATTAAATTAAGCTTAATATATTTTTATTTAAATATTTTTT